TTTTATCATCATCTTTTATCATCTTTATCATCCTTTATCATTTTTTATTATCTTTTCATGATTTTGGCACTGATTTTGGGGGATCCAACCCATATCCAGCGCATATTTATCATGGTTTTTTCGATCCAACCATATCCAACCCATCCTCGTTTTCTTGTTTTGGCACTTCCAGCCACACTTTCAAGAAACACCTGAGGCCTGCAGTCCAGGTCTCTTTGAAGCCTTTAGAGTCGACCTCTCGGCAGATTCGGCTGCAACTTGGCAGCTGGTGGCTTCGATGGCTTAGATGGGTTTAATGGGATCTGAAACAGTCCGAAAATCGTCTTAAGGGGCAAACTTTGGGTCATGTGTTCTGCACTAAGTGTCTTTGTGCACTGCTGCGAAAGAGCCTTCCTCCTGGAGTCCGGAGGTATGTTTCTGGAGATGGAAGCGGTCGATTTGATTGCGGGCTCCTCAGAGCTAGGATGATTTGAGTTGAGTTTGTATGAAAATTTAGGGGGCACCACCAAAAAAAACATGGTATATCATGTAATACAAGAGCTTTGGTTGGGGCCACTGCCCCTTTTTCAAAGCCAGATGGGCACCCCGATGCAGGCAATGTCACGTTGTTTGATGCCCTGGGAGAGTTGACTGACTCTGTTCTGCTGCAGGCCGCGGCTGTCCATGGGAAGGGCCCCCCCCATAACTTGAGACCACCCCGAAAAATCCCGAACCGGAGATCCGGTCTTGCTGTGTTGCAGCCAGGTCAACATTTCATCGCTGCATCTGGGCTGCAAGAGACGAGGGTGTGGCGAAATGAATCCACATTCCTTGCTTCTATGATGATGGATCCCCGTGGTTGGAAGATGGTGCAAGATAGCACAACATGGTGCTGGTCATTTGATGAGGATCACCCATTGAAGTTCATTTGGACAAAGACAAAGACGGGGCCATTTATATACATATGTGGCACCAGTAATAGAACAACATGGCGAATCCAGAGAAACGAGGGAGGGGCTGCACATGACTGCACCAATGACTTTGGTGCTGCTCCGAGGGAACGAGATTCAGGTGCCCAAGGAGGGAATGGTAGTGGTGGTGGCGACACAAATTTGCCATCTACGATTACTGGCCAGATGCTTAGCAGGTGGCAGGTGAATGGGGACTGCATAGCAAAGGCAGATTCCAAGCAGACTCTAAGAAAATAAGAACATGTGTTTAGTTGGAGGTTGAGGGCTGCGACTTCAAAGAGGAACACGTTGGAATACTCTCGCACAATCCTTAAAATGGCAGGATGCTAGACAGTCCTTGTCGAGAAGATTTGCCAGAACCGCTCGGAGAAACGATGCAAGGGGAAATCAAACGGACTTTGATGAGCCATGAACGATAGAGGGTAGATGGACCCGACCATCAAACATATGATGCCAAATGGCATCTTATGACAATTACAAGGCAGAGGCACGTGTTCAACGCTCATTGCCTTCTCTTCAAGCCTGCAGTTGATTATATAATTACATTGGGGCCACGCATTCTCGGTTTCGCAAGCATTCCCCATCCAGATGCGGTTTTGAGATATGTTTATGGCTTTTCCCTGTTTCTAACCATGGCTTTTGCTCACTTTCTTCCTGACCCATGGAGTCCATGGAGAATTATGATTCATTGTTGAAGAAAAACTGATCTGTAGTCACTGCAGGTGGCACTTGTGCCACCACATGTCCCAGCTTTGTGGATGTGGCTGGGGCCCTGGAGTTTTGTGGTGGGCGCAGTGAATCCGACTTCAAAGCCCGAGACAGAAAGTGCCGTTTTGAACGCACGGATTGATTGGATCTTGAGCCAAAACCATTGGGAGAGTGTGATGAGGATTGAGAACATAAATAGTGGTTGCCTTGACATGCCACAGTCCCACCATGCACGGCAGAGGCAGCGCTTGGACATTCTCGTTGTTACTAATAGCTTCAACACACAAGCATCTTTTAGCAACCAACGACATGAGATGGGTTCCAAACACGGCCTGCCTCTATCACAGAGATGATGAAACCATATGCCATATTTATTATATTTTCTTGGCTCCACATCTGCTTTCTCCTGGCAGATGTGCTTTGTGGCGCATGCTTGTTGGGATCGCGTCGGAATGCTTTTGCTTGTGGTGTTGGGCTCAGATGTGTGGCTCAGGCCTTTGGCAAGGCTGACAATAGCATGCAATGACAATTTTGGACGCGTAGCATGTACTAGCAAGGTTTGTGTGAAAACAGACATCGTAGTAGGTGAAACAATCTCTTGGATTACTGTTCACTTGCAACTTGCATCCAGCGAAAACTCATGGCGCAGTTAAGGTACTACTGGTTCTGGCTGCCGCGTACGCATGCTGCCGTATTCTTGGTGTTTGTCGACTGTAGTATTAGCTGGTGTTCGAGGATCCTTTTCAACTTGATGTTTTTTGTCGGGTCAATGGTGATAGCGTTTCGCTCCAAGACTACCAGTTTTCAGGAAATGTCTTTGAGATACTTTGGGAACTTGATGCGAATGTGAGCCTGCCAGCAAGCAGATAACTGTGTGATCGCTCCGCAGGTGTACAGGACAAAGATGGACAAAGTATTGATTCAATACCAACACGAAAACAACATGAAGGCCTACCACCGCACACTGAAGCTTCTAACAAAGCTGGTTGTATTTACCAACCTGATAAACTGCTTGTATTTCCGCATTTGGGTTCCGACTGCAGCGGTTTGATAGACTACATTCCAGGTTGGTTTCGCATTGATTTCGCATGTTGCTATCAGGCATCCGTACTTTCCCTGCCATAAGATCAAAAAGTAGATTTAGGTTTTGCATACCTGCCTTGTTGGATGTATACGCAGTATACGCAAAGCTCCAAATCCATGCTTTTCCGAGAGATGCAATGGCGATGCTGGATGTGAACGTCACTTGGGCCGCCATTCTTGAGCGGCTGTCCAAAGGTCATGTCGAGGCTCTGGAGGGTCTGGCGGGATTCATCCAGTGAAGAGGTCCATTTTGACGGAAACTTGGGAAACCCTTGTGCCTGAGCTGGTTCAGCTCCTGTTCTTCTTTTCGCTCCTGGTCTTTCGCATGGACATCCTTCTTCCAACTTCTGCATGGGGTGCCGCAGGAGGCCAGAGGTCTAGCAAGAGAGTTGAAGGGCCAGTGCTTTGGCTTTGCTTTGTCCCAGGAGCACACAGCTTTCGGGGCCGGTTGGTTTCAACTGTAGTGTAGCGAGAATTGCCACTGTGGTTTCATCCATGCCAATCTTGTAGATGGTACCAGAAGGAATCGCGGTACGGTTAGATGAGTTAATGACCCATGAACTGCTATATGAGGCTCTCTCTCTATATATATGATATATATGCAATTAATATTATGTTACATTTGATGGATTGTATTATACGCGTATATGTATATTAGAGTAATTAGAGTATGTAAGCATGTAATGTAGCGTGATGTACTGTGCAATGCAATGTAACGTAATGCAATTTTCATATGTGTGTCACGTACTAGTAGACATTTCAGTCCGTGAACATTCATGTGCTTCAAAGGATATAATGTAGTATATAAAGCCAATGATAAACCGCCCTCACTATTTACCAGAGATGGTTGGTAAAAATCATCAACGGTCTATGATTGGGTTATAGACTATCCCATTAAATCCCATTATATCTCGTTATTTCCCTTGTTTTCCAACCTGATTCCCTCACATCCCCTGAACTTCCGATGCTTAGGCGGGGAGCTTCACGGCAAGCTGCTGGGGAGATCGCGCTGAGATTGTCTGCGTGCTGCGCCGCGCAGGCCTTTTTTGCAGGGTGAAACCCCATGGTTCCCCTTGGATGTACTGGGGATATAGTGGGGCTATGATATAACATGGGATATATGATATCTCATTAACAATCTGATATTTGGGTGTGTCTCGAAAATGGGATATGTAACATGGATTTTGGCAATGTTAATAGGGAACCTAGTGATAATTCGGTGGATGTAGTCCTACCCTACTTTGAGGCAAAGCCAGGCCAGGCCTGATTTTTGGAGGAGAAGTTTTGGACATCCTAGGATTGCTGAGTGAGAGATTTGTAGATGTGTGCTGGTTATCAGGACATGAATCAATCCTTATTTCCTTAGAGTGTTGGTACCCTCTGGTCATTTAACATAGCCATGGTATAGAGATGGCCCATTTATAGATGGTTTACCTATTAATAGCATGGTGATTGTCCATGGCAAATTGTCAGCCATAACCAGATGGTAACATTTGGTGCCAAGGTCTCCAGCTCTTACCATTCCCTTGCATTCGCACGTCGCAGGTTTGAGGTATTAAAGTATCACAGATCTCTCCAGGAAGATCATTTGATCTCTTGGTGATCTCTCTGATCTATTTTCTATTCCGTTGAGTTTTCCCAAATTTTCACCTCAATCTTTGTTGAACTACAAGCTTTTTGCATTTTTTCCCAAGTTTTTAGATGGTCCGTGGTCCAAAATCCACAGCTGGAGGAGCTCACTCCACTCATCACAGCCTTGCGGGAGATTGAAGCTACATGGAGTGAGACGGTCACCTGGCGTTCATGCTGCGGGTAGGGATTACCTTTCAGTCATCAAACATGAAATGGTGGATGTTCCATTGCTAAGTTTGATTACCGGAGGGCAAATATTTTCACAGATATATTGTAAAATATACCCCAAATCGTTGATGATATATTTTTAGTACCCTCCAGTAAACTAACAATCTGATCTGCTATGGAAATCCACGGGTTCCTCTTCGGAAATGATCTACATTCATGGTGGAGTTGTCAATCGATTTTCCATGATTTTCCATATCTATGGAATCTATGTGAATGTTTAATGGAGGATATTATTTTTGATACTGTACCAATCCTGTACCAGCCATTTTGATGAACTTCTGATTGACGTTGAAGACTTTTGCAGCGAGCTTTTTTCAATTGGGTTGGGGATGGATCAAATCTTGCCAACGCTCCAACGACTCCGACGAACATACGGATCCATCTGGAGTTGTACGAAGACTCCCTCTGGATCTCTTAGGATGGGCAATTCTCAGGGTCGAATTTGTTGCGGGGATGGTATATATACAGTTAATATATTATAATATATATATTATAATATATATAGATATATATATCTGTATATTAATATATATATATACACTATCATATACTTATACTATCTTATACTTATATAATTTGTTTGTTTTTTTTGAGAATGAGCATCCTGCCCAAGAGTTTCCCATAGTGTTTGATCCAGACGTTTCTCCCTCAGATTCACAAGTGCAAAGACGTCAAAATCTACCAACCAAAACCTACCAACATGGTCTGGTGGAGTGGGGAAAACCATGCATGGTTTGTGAAGTCCTTGGTGTTTGGAAAATGTGGTTGGATCCGTTGGTTCCTCTCTCCGTTTGTTTGGTCTTATTGCTTATGACTCAGCACACGAAATACCTGGATCTGTTGACTGCTGATCCTGGAAGTCTGGCAACATGGGAGACATCCAGACCGCTGCTGAGGTTTGCCTTCTGAGCACATCAGCATCAGGTCCTGAATCTGGGCTGCAGATCAAGGCTGCTCAGGATTATTCAGCTGCGCCGTTTTCGGAAAGGCGCTGGTTTTTTCAGTGTCACGCGACACGAAGTGATACCAAGGAAAAGTGGGCTGCTTGTGCGCAACTGGCCAAACGAGCTTCCCTGAAAGAAGTCCTGGAGCCTGGCAAGGCTAGGCATTGCTTTTTTCGACATGTGCATTAGGCACTGATGGTGTGCATGTGTTTACCGAGTAACGCCCAGTGGTTTCAAACATATCTTGCCTGCCATTTCTGGTTTTAAGTGATTCACTCGGCCAACACGGAATTAATGATAATTCATGTAGTTTCACGGAACTGCAGGCTGAACCACCATCCAAATTCTGAGCTTCCCAGATTTTAATGTCACCATCGGTTTTGGTGAAACGGCATCTCCGCAGCAGAGGCGTTGGGTTTGCTGTGGAACGAGCGGCTGGACTGTCCAAGTCCTGCAGAATTAGCTGGCGAGCCAACAGAAGACGTAGAGGAGATGGTATGGGGAACTGTAATTTGATATGCTGTTGCTGCAATTCTTTTCAACTTAAATATCCCAAATAGTTATTGATATTGCCCGCGTCCTGTGGCTTTTTTGCATTTACCAAAGACCATGCCAATAGAATCTCCGTAATTTGCGTAGGCTTTGAGCCTTATACTCAAACCCCTCAATCAAACCCTCTATCAACCCAATAAAGCCTAAACCAAACCGGAAAAATCAGTTGACAAACCCGAAAGCAACCTGCTATCAGCCATAATTAACCCTAAACCAAGTGAGCAAAGCCAAACCACCCCTAAAACATCCTAAAACAACCTGTGACCAAACCTAAGATTGACCCTCAACACACCCTTGAATCCTGCAACCCTAAACTGTTCAGATTTTGTCATCAAAACGCAGGAGCCTTGACTCTGAGTTGTAATGCATTGTAATGTACAGTTACTTCAAGTATTGGTCAGCGTTGGAAAACGCAAGCATTGTAATACCAGGACTGAACTGACAGTACTGCGATGCGGCGCATCGACTGTAGTGTTGGTGGCCAGAAACTTTGACCGATCAATTGTGGATCCCAACAGGAACTGAAGAGCTCAACTGACCCAAGAGAACGGTGGGGAAGCCCAGATGCCTCAGGAGTTCGGGATGATGTCATGACCTAAAGAGTTTATATTTCTAGATGTGTTTAGAATGTGGTTTTTATACAGTGAACCTGTGGTTGGTTTCGACTGGTAGTGTTGATATGTTGATATTCCTCAGCTCTCAGAGGAGAGTTGCTGAAAGAAACCTGCAAAATAAATCCCGTTGGAGGTCCAACTGTCAACACAAAATCCCAAGGGCGACGATGCTTCTCCGCTCAGCCCTGACTCAATTGGCACAAGAACCACCGCAGCAGAAGGTGCCTATGAGCATTGTGGCCTGGATGGTGGGTATTGATGGGTCAAATCCTATATTTTTTTTGTGAATGAAGATCCATAGCTACCAGCTGTTTTGATTTGAATTACAGGGTGCCAATGGGTGCCAGGGTTTTGACCCGCAATCACGCCTCTGGTAGCTTCATGGTGGGGCCAAAGATGGATAGATATTGAAAGCCACCGGAGGACTTGCCTGAAATTGGGGGTTAAATGCAAGTACTAAAAATTAAATGTAAACCTAATACTACACTCCAATCATTCACCCAGAATCCACCAGATATGTGTTCAATGGGAAGGCCATGATGTTGGATTATCTTGGTGCATTTGGACCCATTCCCCAAGTTTGTCAGGATGCTTTGAAAGATTCGAAGGAAGCTTTGGCCACTTTCCGCGACCTGCAGTTGCCAGAATGCGCCGACCTCAACGTTTGAAGCACTCGGTGACATGGATCTCATCCAACCTGGCATAGCTCTCTGAACTGGGGACACTGCGCCAAGAGAAATCCACCGATATCAGTTATTTCAGTCAAGCTGCCCGGGAGAGAAGCAATAGGTTGTGATACTGAATCTCTTCTTGGACACAAACAAAAAAGCTGGCTTGTCCATTTCGACTCCAAATTCTACAGTAGGTTTGGCAATATGAATTGAGTAGGTACCCTATTGCCAATTTGAGGTTCATATGCTGTAAATGTCAAACTTGTCACCCCCAAAAATTGACGACCCAATACCAAGAATCCAAGAAAGACATTGGTATCCCAATTTTGAAGCGTTCCCAATCTTTGAAAGTTAAATCCCTGATGATCGATGCTTAAATCTGAAATAATCTGAATTTTCGGATGGTTAGTTTATGTTACCATCTGGTAATTTAACATAGCTATGGAAAATCACCATTTTCAATGGGAAAATCCACTATTTCTATGGTCATTTTCAATAGCTATGTTAGTCATTACCAGAGGGTAGCTCCCCGTGTTTGCTCACCTGGTGCCATGGGCGCACCAGGTGAAGCTACCGCATTGTTGGCTGTGAGCCGTAGCTGCATCGACTTCGCAGAGCAGGAAGCGTTTCAAGCAGCCCTCCAGGCGGAGTTGCCGAACGGAAGGGGTGTAAAAAATGGTGAGAATGGGCGCATTTAGCATCATTATCCATCATTTACCCCTGATCTATGGCCATTTTATGCAATTTTCATAGGGAAAATGGTGCAAAATTGCTACCGACTGATGTTTTAATAGGGCAAATCATGATGTTCAGCCAGCAGTGAATGGAATGGGCATTCCCTATTTTATTTTCGGAGATGGGTCGATCCCTAGCCAGCCATCTTTTTTTGCTCCAGTTTCCAGGCCTTGAAGATCTTCAGAGACCAGGGCCATTTGAAGGGCGAGATAGCTGCGATGCATCGACTGGCCCGGGTGGACCAAGCCACTTGTCTTAAGGGATCAGATATGAGTTCCGAAGGTTAAAGAAACAAACAAATGTAGGTTGGCAACATTCACTTCTCCCTTCCCAGGGCTCGAACTGTTATTTGTTTATATGATTCCTCCTCTGCGAACCCCCTGAAATGGGGCTACCGAAAAGTTATCCGGGATAGAGTGTGCTGATCTTAGGACAGTCTTGTGAAACAAACCTGAACGACTCGGCAAAAATCTTTCAGATTCCTGGGAACCTCAACAGCCGAAGATGAGATGTCAGCTGTCCGATATCTTTAGCGGGAGCCAAAATCATACATCCGAACGCAGCTGCAGGCTCGAAAAAGCTTTGACGAAGCCAGCTACAAAGCCTGCGAGGTGCTGTTGCTGTTTGGACCAAAAAGTCATGTTTTTCCAGCCTGAAACCTTCATAATTAATTGGTGGCTTGAAATGCTAGTTTTCCTGTGGACGATTTAACATGATTTAACATGATTTAACATGATTTAACATGATTTAACATGATTTAACATGATTTAACTATTTTTCCATTGTAGATAATTATTCGCCTTTATCAGGTTTCGCAGAGTTTTTATGATTGACCTATTTTTTTGTTACTCCCACCACCTGTCTGGGATGTTTATTTCAGGCCTTGAAACTGGCGCGGCAGATGGGTGATCGTGCCCGAGAACTCGCTCTCTGTGAGCCTTGATGCCTTGGGACGATAGCTATGTCTGGCATATGTCTGGTCTAATTTAAACTTGGCACCAAGATTGTCATCAACTATTATGTAGTTAGATAATGTTAGATAATATACCATCAACTACATTGATATATCTCATCAAATATCCCATCATCAGTTTTGGCACCAATTTTATCCAATTTTGATGATGGGATATGTTGAACTAACAACATTGGATGTGGGATGGGTCGATAGCTGTGAACTACAGCAACTACAGTGGTACAGGGTTTTGACACATCCTCATTTTGGCCCACCATTTCAGTTTTAGATAGTTTTAGTCGGAAACATGATTATAGTCAGTCCATTGGGCCGTTATCCTAGTTTCAGACAAACCCCGATGGTGAATGATTAAAGTGGCCACAATCTTCAGGTCGCGGGTCCAATGGTGGGAGGCCTTCCAACTTCTAACTGCTTGCTCAGGAAACTGTGCTGGAGGTTAACATTGCTCAGGACCTACACAATTCTTCATGTCGTACTTTTTTCATGACTTGGCAATCATGGTTTTGCTTTGCATGTGCTTCTCAGAAAGGTCCTCAAATTGCAATGCTTGAGACATGTTTCAAAGATCTCTAGATCGGTGATGATCAGTTGGGGTGCTACAATTATTGTTGCAATTAGAGGGTCCAAGAAACCAATAGAAACCATGGATGGATCATTTTTCCATTCAAACACTATTTCATATTTCGGGCTGTTTGACATCTACGAATCCACAGGATCGTCCCGAAAGGGCCCTGGAGGCAGCCAAGGTGGGCGCACGGTCACCCAAACTTGCCAGGGATACCTTAAGGGATACCAAAGTCATCCTCCATTTTATGGCCTATGATGGCCGATGATGGCCTATGATGGCGTATGATGGCCTATGTCTATGTCTAGAACTGGGCAAATCTGGCTGAATGCTGAATGCTGGGCGGCTTGGCGTATGTGAGATCCTGCTTGGCATTGTGACAGGATGCTGAAGTGCTGGCCAAGATCTTCGAAAGTCAGGCATGCTGCAGCTGCTGCATGCTTCACCCCAATTCCAAATAGTCAATGGTGATATTTGCCATGCAGGATGGGCCAAAGATTTCTTGATGCCATTTTCATCCATTTTCAGCCCTTCACCACATCTCACAATGTAAGACCGAGACACTGAGAATACCACAGCGATTTTATCCATATTAATGGGTCTATCTGAAAATGAGGTATGGCGGTATGCCCCCCAAAATGGCCATTTCATGGGAAATATGATAGTTAACAGCTTTAACCAATGGAGTTGGGATACTCCATTGATCAATGGCCATTTCAGGAACCTAAATTGGAGGTACCTACCATATATAAGGCCTATGTAAGGCCTATGTAAGGGAATACCCCCACCAAAATATGGCCTTATATGGTACAGTACCTCTATTTTAGGATCCTGAAATGATCATTGAATTGATAAAGTTATGTTTGTTGACAGTTCCCACCGAGTCAACGTGGCCCAGGGCCCCCGGGGCCCGGGCCGCAGGTTCTCCTGGCCAGAGCAAAATGCTGGATTGCCAGAGCCTTCGGAGCATACGAGGAGCCGCGCGAATCGTACAGCATTCAAATTGGAGGCAATGTGTGGGCATGCATAGACACATACATATGACATTACATCATATTACCATATACTGTGTATATATATACACATACATATTATAATCAATTGTAATTTATATATATATATATAATATGTAATTATATATATGTACATATTGTGACATATTTGTACATGCAAAAGATAAGCACAAACTTGTACACACACACAGTCGCTGCTTTAGGAGCGAAAGATGACTGGAATCAAGGCCGCAGAAGAGGCGTTACAAATCTACGGCACGCTGAATCAGAAGCATGGGGAAGTCGAGGCATGGGCGGCAAGGTGGAATACCCCAAATCCAAATGGTTTGTCCAAGTAATATGTAAAATTCACCAGGCTACGGTGGACTTTGGGGTCCCTACTTTTTTGGGGGGTTCCACCGTTGGAATGTCTCAAGTTAAAGCCTACCAGGCTTTAGAAGCTTTGGCAGCTGCCACAAAGGAGGATTTCAGTGATGTTTCGAGGCGAGGAATCCATTGGGTTCGGTTGTGGGCTCAGACTGATTGATCCCCATCTTCTATCATCTTCTATCATCTTCTATCATCTTCTATCATCTTCTATCATCTTCTATCATCTTCTATCTAGAATCTAGAAACTGATCCCACCTGGTTACTGTAGTACCAATCATGGATGATCAGCAAAAGCAACAGCACGTGCAGCACTCCCCAGTTTGTTGCAAAGCTTGGAAGGATGATTGTGGACTGGTGCATGGAAGGGAAGATGAATTCATGCAAATCTTTAGGATACCACTGCAAAATGGGGCCAAAAGCTACTGACCGTGTCATTCTCTGCAATACACGATTTGCTGTTTGCGTTCCCTCTTCGCGCCAGTAAAAGTCAGATCTTGGCGGAGAAGTTTGCTGAAAGTGGTGACACAAAGGCAGAGATCCTGAAACGAAGTGGATTGCCCATGTGTTTGAAACAACAAGGAAAACAGTAACACAATACCAACAACTCATCAAATTTTAATAGGATTTTTCAATTACAAACAATCCATTTTGGGGTACCCCCATTTGTGTCGAACCCCATCTCCTTGCATCTTGCGTTGTGATTTCCCGCAGGAAGAGGTGCAATGTTTGCTGGTGGCTGCGTCCTGCAGAGAAGGAAAAGATAGCCAGAAGGCAGACCGTGCCACCGTTTAAGCCGTTTAAGCCGTTTAAGCACCTGGTGTTGCAGTGTTGCAGTGTTGCAGTGTTGCAGTCACCTGGTTGGTATTGGTTGGTAGTACCTGGTTGGTTTCTGGACCTTTAGTGACCTTAGTGATGTGTGAATCTTCACCAGTCAGGATTTGAATCACCTATCTCGCAGTCACTTGAGTCACCTGATGACAAATTCTGAATATCTGACATCAGTATTTGATATATATATATATAGTATTATATAGTAATATTATAGTAACTTTATTAATTAGTATGTATTAGTCATTTTTTTGTCGTCAAGAAACTGAGAATTTTGGATTCTTTCACTTTGGATCACGGAGGCGATGCAGCTGCTGCAGCGTGCCTCCACCGCGGCCAAAGGGCTCCGTGCCTTGCAGGGCCTGGTGCTGCTGCGGATGGCGCGATTATATTTGGACCGGGAGGAGCCCTTTTCTTAGCGATGGGAAGCTGTGGGAAGCCGTGGGAGGGGGAGATATAACCAATTAGATATGATTAGATATGATTAGATACAGTAATATTAGAGAATATTAGATATGGGAATAGGTCAAAACCTATGATTTTCCATTTGAATGGGAGATGAACGTTCATAAAATCACAGCTATTGCAAGGTCACGAGGATATCTTTGGGTATTGATCCATAGATATCCATAGCAATACGGGACCAGATCTGGGGATGAACACCAGCGATCATGGGAACTAGAGGGTGCCAGGGTTTTGGTGCATCGCCGCCCGTGAATGGTTATGTCATCTTCAGCTGTTGGCAAGCTTCGATTTCGTGAAGCAACTGACCACGGACATGTGAAACACATGAAACCATGTTACTAAGTGCATCTACCCTCTGGTAATTTAACATTTTAATGGGAAAATCCACTATAAATGGCCATTTTAAATAGCTATGTTAAATTACCAGAGGGTAAGTGCATGTTCATGTTCCGACCCATTCCGACCACCGTAGATTTCCGGGTCATCAAACATGTAAAAAAAATTGCTCCAGGAGCCAAGTGAGGCCATGCGTGCAGCAACACAGGCTGCTGCAACGGTGCAGTGTGGGGAATAAAACCAATCCACAAAAGGTATAGGTCCCAGCTAGGGGTGATCAGTCCATTCTATAAGATTTATACATCCATTTCAAACTACTACAGTCTACAGTTACATACAGTTACTACATCCCCATCCCACTAGTGTTTAGTCTAGTCACTAGAGTCCGCAATTGTGGAAACTGCTCATCTCTTCCGTCATCTCCAGGCTGGGAGCATCTTTCGAAATGAGCCTTACCCGACAAAGAAGATTCGCAGTGGAGAGATTAAATGCGTTGAGATCCAGATGGATGCGCACGTTCTTCTAGGCCCATGGGGCCCATGGGGCCCATGGGGCCCATGGGGTCAGGGGTCCAACGTGGGTCTAACATGGGCAGTTGGGGTGCAAAGATAGGTCCCTATGGAGAATGCGACAAGATCAGATGGGATCCCAAGCTCTCACCAAGAATTCACAATCCAGCAACATGAATGAAAACATATGAAAACTAAGGGACATGACCAACCCTGGTCTTTGGATACCCCCAGATGCAACAGTCCGCAGGTGCCATGGATGAAGCCTTTCGGGTGGGTGTGGAGCAAGGACGACGCTTCAAGGGTCTTCGTGAGCGACAAGCAGAGGGGATGGTTGGGAGGCTCAGGTGCCGGTGGGCCGGCTTCTCTTCCACAGAGAAGCTGGATGAAAAAAAAGCATGGGAATGCGATGATTTTGCCCCTTTTATTGGGACTCCCAAATTCTGTGAGCTCAGCGAGTGAGTTTGACACAAATTTGCCGCGAAATCGCCGAGATCTTAATGAAATTGGCATCGCTTCATCAGATGCGGTTGGAAGAGGAATCAGCTTTGAAGGTGCATTCAGCGATGCAAGTGGTGGGTTGGGTTATGAAAATTCAGGGCTCAGGGCCCCTAAGCTAGGCCGGGGAAGACTGTCCTTTTGAAAGTTCAGCCGGGTACCCAGATTTGAGTTTGGGGGCCGGCAAACAACTACCGAAATGAGTCTTTATCATTTATATCAGTAGGTTATATAAATAGGACATCCCATAGTTTATGTGTCGCAAGTGCAACTTCAAGAACGAATGACCAGTGGCAAGAACAAGGTGGGCTTCATGGACCTCACAGTAGGTTTTCTGTTTGGCCCTTTGGTTTGGCCACGAGCAGATTATTCCACAGACCCAAAGGTTTAAGCCTGAAAAAATACTGGGGTTGTTGGTATTTTGGACAAATATGAACATGACCAAGAACTGTGACTTTGGGGTCTGAGATGTTTATCGATACTCATGGATCTCATGGGTTAGCCATGTATTGATTATGTTGCTGAAGTATACATCATTATACATCTATTTCTCAAGCTGAAGCTGCTAAGCTCTTCCAAAATCTTCCAAATGGTGAAACAGCATCAGTAGGTGCTGCAGTACGTGCCCATGATCTTCAACACAGTGGGTGATCGCCAGCTCGAGGGTCTGGCCTGGGAACGCATTGTTGGGACCTCGGTGGCCTCGGTGACACCGGAAACTCCGACAACGGGGACGGCCCGGGGAGATCTGGGAGCTGAGGCCAACAGCTACTTGGACGCCGGAGATGCGGTCAAGGCCCTGAAGGCGCGCCCTAAAGGGGACCAATGAGTCCCAAGGGTGGCAAATGGCTATGGATCAATACCTATAAAATCCTATAAATAATAGTATTTTTATGGAGATGAACATCCATAAATCCCAGCTATTTTGATATTCACCAGGGGTATAAGGTTTTGACCTATACCCAAATGAGTCCCTTGATATCATGATGCCACAGTTTCAGAGGGAGTCTACCGAGATCTCTCGTTGAGGCCATGGAGCAATGCGTGGGGAACTTCCGCAAGGTCAACAGTCGCTTGATGCGGGCCAGGGCGGCCTTGCTCCAAGCAGATGTGCAGACAGCTTTGGTCTCCATCCGGAAGGTGGGATAGAAACGGATAGAAACTACGAAAGCTGTGGGCATCCTGTGACATGGGTCGTATTCTTTGATGAAAATCTCACATGATTCATGGCACAATGGTAGATTGTCAGATGGATTCAGATGGCTTAAGATACTTTCAGTGCTGAAAACCAAGCGCGAATCCGGTGAACGACCACATGCTGATGCTGGATGTGGGCATTGGAGTTTCACTCCTGACAGGGCAGCAGCCTTGATGCCCTCGATGCTGCCAAGGCTCAAGAGTTCAGAACCAATAAATTCACGAAATCCCGACGTTTGATGGTGAAAAATCTCACTCTTTGACAGTCAATCCATGTGAATCCCGAGACATTTCTCGGATTTTCTCGGTGAGTTTTACCCCAAAAAAATGATCCTCAAAGATGATTTGTCTATTTTACACTTCTACATCTACTACATATTATATTATATAAGCCAGCTACGGGCTGGCCAAATTATATATGAATATAGACTGGAATGTATCCTCACTGACTTGAATGTATCCTCACTGACTTTGCAGCCGTCTTCCCTGTGGTCATGGCTACAGATTTTTGCTGTTCAAACAGCCCCCCAACAGCTGGACATCATCGATTCCAGGAAGCCACCCACTTGTTCCAGAATGAAGAAGCTTTTCTGGCACGCGCCGTGCAACTCTTGACGAAGCATGGCAATAAATGGGTGTTTGGGATTGGGGCAAGACCGCAGACACCCATGAATATCCCCAATTTTGAATGGTTTGTTCATGTCTTTCATGTCTATTCTATACATATTCTATACATATATACATTATATATATATAATTGTATATATATATTATTATATTTATACATACACTACTCCCAACTGCCCAAGTCGTGGCGAAATCCCAAAAATCTTGAAATTAGCTTGGGGGAAGGCTTTTGTGGAAGTTGTGGCGATGCGGCGTTTAGCTTGTGTTTAGGGTAGGTTGCTGTTTTACTATCTCATGTAGACCTAAAGTGGCGAAGCGGCGTTTAGGTTGTGTTTGGGGTAGGGCGTTGTTTTACTATTCGCATAGTGCTTTAATCTTGCTAGTTGCGTTCTCATTGTGTTTGGGATGGTTGCTGTTGGGTTCTGCAGCTACTGGGGTCTTGCTGTTGCTGCGGCTGCTGGTTCGACGGCTGCTGCTGTTGCTGTTTCCGGGTACTTCTACACAACGCTGGGATTTTCATCTCTACACTGCCATGGCGGTGTGCTGGGATTCTGCAAATTGTCATTGTTTCGCTACCAGTGATCCAAGGAAGGGCAGGTTTGCGGCTTGCGGGCCAAAGTCCATGTGTGTAGATGCGGGGCTTTTTCCGTACCTCGTTTGGACCTCGTTTTGGACCTCGTTTTTTCCCTTTATCAGAACCCATCCTGCAGTATACAAACTAGGAAAAGGGCCTGCTTCGCGTTTTTGTTTGTGGGCGTCAACAGTGCCCACGAAAAAAGGCCCGTTGGAAACCGGCGTTCCGATGGGATTCGATCAAAAACGAATAGAACCATGATAATTTGGTCAAGGCTTGTTCAAGCTAGCGTTTCCAATGGGCAAAGGGGTTTTGCAAGGTCTGTGCCGGGACGGGTCGTGGCGAGCGTTTTGATTGGGAATAGCTGTCAAACGCAAACATTGCAAGGACTTTGGCGTATGGGTGTAGTATATACGATAATGAATATCTTCAGAGAGCTATCAGGATTCCGACTCAATGCCCACATGTGAATTCCGAAGATTTAGTCAAGCATCGGCTGCTTTTGCTTTGGTGCTCTTTGGGTGCAGCCAATGATTTTCTGTCAGTTTTCCGCCAGCTTTCCATCATTTTCCATCCCTGGACTTTGGACTCTACAACATATTCAACAGCATTCAACAGCACCTTGGTATAGCTCCGAGAGAATCACTCCCCAAGATTCTCAGATCATCTCAGATCTCGTTTCCAAGGAACGCACATTTGCTCAACGGACAAGCTGAGGCCGCGGCCATCTGATTTTGCTCCCCAGGGCCCCCATTCTCTACGAAATCATTGGTTTGCGGTTTCTATGTTTTCTATCCTGTTTTTTTTTTTTCGGTCGTATTCCACAGCCTTGTTGGTCGAAATTCAAATTTAGTTGGTTACGAATCCCCAGTTTTTGACAAATTTTGCTCACCTTCATGTTGCTTGTCCCTGGGTGCGCGGCGCGGGTTTCAGGGACTGGCTGTTGGGAAATGGCAGGAAGCCCTTGAGCGCGCTCGCGAAAGCCAAGACTTAGCGCGGAAGCAGCGACAAATCGGTGGCGAGGCGGGATCCGCTTGGGATTTTGGTCAAGATTCAGGACCGTCATCATCATCGTCGTCGTCTTCGTCCTCCTCCTCCTCCTCATCATCAAAAAACACCAACAGCAATTGCAAGGGGAAGATGAAGCTGCTACAAACTAGCAATACCTAGTTGAACTGTTGAGATCCTATATTTTTTTATCCCAAATGGTGGGCAATAAAATATATCCATATGTATCCAACATGTGTGACTAACATTATAGACGACAACACTGGGTATAGCACCAAGAACAATGGGATTTGGGACTTTAAGGCAGGCTATGCTTTCAATGCCGGCGTCTGCAAACCTCTCCTGGCTGCCTGTCGCATGAGGCATTTTCCTTGTTGATGGAGGCAGGTGCGCACCTTTCCCTCCAGGACTGCGTGATACAGTAGGCTGTGACAATGACTCAGATATCATCAAGGTCACGGTCAGTCTTGGGTTCCCCCAAAGATTGCATGGTTGAGATATGGTAAGATCAGCCCATCCGTGGTTTGACAGGTCACCAATTTTGCGTCGAACATCATCAGGCTTCATGAATCCAGTATTATATATCACCTTTCATCACCTTTCTCCCTTGCTGCACGTGTCAGACAGGACTTCGGAGAAAGCCAGAGATGCATCAGAGCAGCCAAGGCCATGCAGGGGTGACTCCCTAAATTTGCCTTGAAGTCTGACTTCTGCTGCCACTGCAGGGAACAAGTTGCCTATTGGACTCTGTTTGTTGCAAGAAAAGGATAGTGCAGAATCTTGAGACATGAGAAAAGCACTGCAGAATATCATTTAACCCAACTCGAGACTTTGCACAGCCAGCAATCCACGATGGTCCCGTGAATGGCCCCCATCACTAGCCATGATGGCCATGGGAGACGTGATTGCAGGATCTCTTTGATTCCGACTATGATGAGTCTGGAAAGCGTTCGGCCAATGATTTCGCAGCTTTTGTCCAGCAGGCGTGGAGAGAATGTTCCGTTCAAATTGTGTGGGACAAACCACGACTACAAGAACTGATGTGAAGGAAAATCCTGTACCAAGTGTGGTGAATCCGTTTTTTTAGATCGTTTCAACTATTTTTAGATCTTTGATTTTATGGATATGTTATACAGTCGTCTTGTGGCCAGGCTGAATCTGGCAAGGAGGTGCACATCCCCGGTTATGGATGGTTTCCCCAAAAAAGACAAACATGTTTTTTTTTGATATTTGGATGATTTTGATGTTGATGATTTTTGAATGATAGTTCATGGTATTCAATAGTGCTGGAGGATGTTTGGTGATTTTTGATGATGTCGGATGAATTTTGATGATTTTGCATGATTTCCTCAAGTGTTGGATACAGATTTTGAAGGGGTTCCATGGGCATTCATCTTGGGACATGCATGTATTATGCAATCCATTACTGTACAATCTTATATATGAATTATATGATGAATGGAAAGTATTATGCGCTGGGAATGGCATTTGACTCAGGTTCCCCCTATCGTTATCTATCTTTGAGGTGCACCAACTCACAAATGACTTGGCCGTAGCAGCAATTGACGGTAAATTTGGAGATCCATTCGAGCTTTGACAGCAGTTCTTTTTGATAGGAACCCGTCCCTCCAAAAACAAAGTGGTCCCTTCTCTGTTACATCCCCACTTCAACCGTTTTAAAACTCTCCTGCCGATTTTGTGCATGTACATCCTGATGACATTATGCCTGTCCGTTGAACCCCAAAATCTTGGTCAAATTCACATATCATCATCATTTGGCCAATTAAACTATGATTAAGTCATATTAAATCATATTAAAGCCCCATTTTTGCATGGTGAAATCCAGGTTTTTTCTCCGATTTCCGCTGGTTATCTCGGTGAACGTCCCCCTGTGTCCAGGACCCCGCGCAGTTCCGGGGCTTCGGCTTCCGGCGGCTGAACGCCACGGAGGTGCGACAGAAGGCGAAAAGCGCTAGGGAAGCGCAACCCAGGAGGCGGGGAGCCCAGTGGGAGATCATCCATTGAAAAGCAATCTATAGTACTATATATATGGTCCCGTCCTCCGTCTCTCCACCCCCCCCCTGGGTTGGGTCCCCAGGTAGCAGCCCCAATTCCCTTCTATTTGCAAGCTATTGGCAGCATTTCTGAGGTCCAGCTGCGTATTTGCTAGGTCTTTGCAGCATTTCTGACTACCAGCCTCGCATTTACTAGATACATGCTACCTTTTAGGCGGCCTACGTAGCACACATACTCCTTCAAAGTACCTACGTGCTACCTATAGTCATATATACATGTGCTATGTATCTACTGTATCTACTTCCTATTTACTACCTGTGTACTCTGACAACACTACCTGTGTTTAACATATACCGTACCTACCATACATGTCAATGATGCCGAGCATACCATACCTATCATATCTTTCATACATACCATACATACCATACATATGAAATGTAATTACCACACCTACGTACACCTACCATACATACAATAGCAAACATACATGCCATACATACCACACCTACCTTACATAGGAAATATTCCATACCCATCATAGTAACCATACATACCATACAGACCATACATACTGTCATATCAAACATACCATACCCAACAGACTTACATACCATACCTACCATCCATACAATACCAACCACTCATGCCATACATACCATACCTACCATACATACCAAACATACCATACTTTCCAAACATGCCATACCAGACCGACCATACACACCATACATACCCAACATACCATACCACACCCCCACCACACCACAGGGGGGGAGGGGGACAGTGCCACACCCCCACCACACCACAGGGGGGGGAGGGGGAAGATCTCATATGGGGCCAGTATATGGGACCCATCCCATGGGGGTGGGGGGGAGGGGGGGGGTGGCAGGGCCTGGTGCATATATACATATATACATACGTATTACATAATAATTATATATATAGTGGGTTATAGTGGGTTATAGTGGGTTATAGTGGGTTTTAGTGGGTTATTCACCATCTTATATATATTATACATATATAATCATATATATATATAATTCAACATAGAAGGGGTTCAATGGGGTATACACCAAACATATCCAGGAAATCTTATTTAATAGGGAACATGATGATAATTGGGGGTAGCCTATTTTCAGACTACCCATTTGAACCAATTTCTAGCCATGAAACGTCATGTAAACCATGGTAAACTGGTAAACCCCAGAGTACAAAACCCTGAGCTGTGAAATTGGTGAAACATGGTGAAACCATGAGCCATGTGAAACCCATTCAGTTTCCTGGCAATGGAAAATAATCCAGAAGATTGCAACCAGCAGCATACAACTATGTATACCATGTACATCCATGTACCAGGATCCGCCTTACACTATTTTTCTGGGTGGTATCAGTGGGAAGGGGCCATATGCAAAGAAGGTCTCGTCAAATTACTCTAGTTTCAGAATGTTTCAGGCGAATAGTCTGAGGGGTTTGCCATCTAAGTATTTCTTTGTTTTTTGGCAATTTGGTAAGTCTAGCATTCTCTACCTGATACAGCTCATTGCATGCACACCATTCAAAGCTGAATCTTGTGCTGGTGGTATTGTGAACCATTTCACAGTCTCCGGATGCTGGGGAGGAAGCAGAAGACTTCGGAGCAGTCGGACATCATTCTGTGGCAATGTGCGCGTCTCAATAGAAAACAGGACGCCTACTGATGCTCGTGTAGATGGACATGTGAAAATCTGTTTGAGGTGATCCGAAGAGCAGAGACAATCCGGATGGGTGGCGCAGCTGCGTGGGAATGGGTTGCAAAGTTGAACCAGTGCTTATACCATGTGAGCAGTGTTCAAAAACACCTGTTGCTTGATGAGTAGTTCTGGGGTTAAGTTATACTACCCTTCATTATACATGTAATAACATTATAAATGTATATATTATATATTTACAATATATATGTTAGTAAATTGCAATCTGATTAAACATGATTAATGTAAATATATATATATACACATATATTTTCTTATTAATAAGTCTTATATATTGGCGATTATCACAATCCATGTGGGTTTCTTTGAAATGTCCCAAGTTTCACCACCGAGGCGCTGCATCATGACCATCTTCGAAGGCTTCGAGGTTCGCACTGGCGTGGCGCGTGGGGCGCAGCAGGCGCAGCCCAAGGCGCCCAAAGAGGAGGAGGAGGGGCCAGGGACCGTCAGCGCAGACTACTCCAAGGACTACAAGGACAATTGCTGGGCTGTGGGGTTGCGAACTTGACCCTTGGTTTGTGTAAGTGAGCACAGTTGGGGATTTACACAAAGAAAAGGAAAGCATAGACCGAGGACTTGCTGGGTAAGTATGTGTATATATATATATATGTATGTAATGTAATGTAAATGTAAATGTAAATGTAATGTAATGTAATGTAATGGTATGGTATGGTATGGTATGGTAGTATGTATGTATGTATGTATGTACGTACGTACGTAGGTAGGTATGTAATGTAATGTAATGTAATGTAATGTAATGTAGTGTAGTGTAGTGTAGTGTAGTGTAGTGTAGTGTAATGTAATGTAATGTAATGTAATGTATGTATGTATGTATGTCTGTGTGTGTGTGTCTGTATATATATATATATGTATATATATATATATGTATATATATGTATATATATATATGTATATAAATATATATATGTATATATTATATATATATTTATATACAATGTATATGTATACACATATAGCCGCACAGCACTGGACGTTCGCCGTCGCTTGACGACGTGAAACCAATGGAATCAAATTGCTGTGAAGAAGTAAGCGCCTCATGTTAAACTCGGGGTTTGGAGAGCGTAGCATCAAGAGCGTGTTGAAATCTCCAAGAAGAAGTTAAGAGCATAGCATCAGGAGCATGTTGAAAGTTTCAAGAGAAAATCGAGAGCATAGCATCAAGAGCGTGTGAATGTTCGCAGGCGAATCCCCACACCATCCCCCAGACGTTACCCACGTCGCGTCATCACAGCGAAACGACAAAAGAAAACAGCCTCATTCATCCTAATTCGGGACTAAGTTGCAATAAAAAATACGCGGTTCAACAACAACGCGGCAACATCTATTTCGCCCCACAAAACACAGGTAGAATGAACACATCGACGCTTGCGCACGTCAAGATCCGACGACCCAAGAGCGCTGTCTACCGACGGCAAACCCCCCGGATTGTGGGTATAAATTAGAGGACCATCTCAGGAATTGTATGTGATTATATATATAATATATATATAATATATATATTATATATATATATATATATATATATTCAGGGTGCTTACAAAAGATCCGCTGCACTGCCAGGACAGCGTGAAGGAACAGGGAACCCCCGAGCGAGAGCCAGCGGTTTTTGCTGTGCGATGGGTACAAGCAACTGACGACAAGAAGGACCGAAACATGACATGTTTTAAGCAGTTTTAACAAATGAAACGCTGGGATCGAGGAACATTACCGTTTTTTGGGGTTGAAACATCAAAATGATTTTCAAATGACTAAAACTCCTGAAAGTGGGATGGAAAATCCATGAGGAGCCAGCCAAAAGCCGCCGAGAGCTGCGAAGACAGGAGGTGGCACGTTGGTGCATTGATAGATTCGTTCGCGTTCTGTTTGGGGGGCGTGTCTCAAAATAGGGAAAGGTCCTAAATCCTGGCTTTCTAGAATGGAAAAATTACATATTTGGAATATTTGGGATGATTTTCTGATGATTTTGGGGGTTCCCAAGTTTTGAGCACCTGTCAAGTGAATTGGATGACAGGTTGAGATTGAGAAGGGGAAATGCAGAATAAGATGTCAGTTCAATGTAGATTTGTTGGAACTTCTCGGAATGTACACAGCATAGAACTGAACCTGAAGGATATCAGAATTGGTCCGAACAACGGTCTGGCATTCCAGCATCTTCCAGCAGGACACTCGTGTGGTGTTTACCAAGTCTCTGGATGCGCCCAGCGGTTGCGGACGCTATGCCAAGTCAGATCGATTGGAGGACAGGGATTTGAAAACCATGAAAAACCTATGAGCTCCTAATGAGTTCCTTTGAGTTCCTGTGTCTCAGCAGATTGGTTTCCCAAAAAAGGTAGGGAGACAATGGGAGATAGCCTTCTCATCATGGGATACTGGGGATATTGGGGATATGCTATGCACCTGGAATACAGGCCATGGGGTACTGTGGGTGTCGCCATTCGGCAGCGGCAGTCTCCATTCAGGTCACGATAGGGAGAGGTTGGCAACTGGGCCCATCGAACAAGGGTGCGAACATATCAGACAGATTTTCGCATGTACCGTGCGTATCCATGAAGTCAGACTCCCCAGACTTATTTTCCATAAAACATCAAGAAAATAGGAGGAATAAGAACTGGAAAGTTTTACGAAAAAACACCAGATAACCCTAACTGTAAAGACATGAACAACACCAGGCTGAGGGTGAAAGACACGGCTATCGCATCTTCTGAGCTGCTGAGCTGGTGGCATTGATGCGCGTCTCTTCCAAATCTCATGGGGTCTGACCTATGTGGCGAAAGAAATTCAGCTGACATTTTGCTCGGAGTACGGTTGGGCAGTGGCCAATTTCCCCACAATGGTGGATGTTTGTGTTGGGACCTGCACTGGAAGCGGGATGATTCACAAATCACATCACTCAGTTCAGGATAAAAAGGGATATCCCCATAATATCACCATCAATTGGCCAATTAAGCAATCATGGTTTGCAATCATTGTTTGCACCACTTCGCCACTGCTCCATGAAACTTGTGATGTTTTGATGGCTCAAGTCAGGGATGGTGTTGCAGCTACTGGAAGATCCCCCAGTTTTCATTTCTTGGGATGATTGTTCATTTGGCTTGGTCCAATTCCGATTGGCCAGAATAGTTCTATTGAAAGCTGTGTTAGCTCATTGTATGCTCATTGTATGCTCATTGTTAGCTCATTGTTAGCTCATTGAAGGTAGCTGGCCGCTGACAGCAGCGGTTGCTACCAGATGTCGTCGTCCCTCTTTGGCGTGCTGACATGGCTGGGTCACAAGGAAACCTTCGTGGAAAATGGTCGGCGCTCTGATGATTGGAATTTGGATGAGCATGGCTTTTGTTTGCTGGAGGCTGGGAAATCTCTGAAAGTGCTGACATGGGAAACGGAGAGAAAGAAACATGGCATATAGACCGATGCTCCAGAGCTTGGGATGCTTGCTGTTACATGGCATGGTCATAGGCATAGACAATCATAGACATGCATAGACAGCAAGTGGTCAGGATATGCCAATGCCAGTGGCTGAAAAAGACCTCACGCAGCACGCTGGCTTTGAGTGTCGTGAGCACCCTGTGCTTTTTGGATTTCAGAATGAGAGACCTCAACTGCTGACGCCCGAAGCGAAAGAACCATCCTTTGGTTTGGATCAATGGCTGGTCTATTACTCGCATGTGGCGAAGGCTGCAAAGAAGGTCCTCCCCGAGGCGATGCCATTGGGGATATTGGGGTCTTTCAAAGACAAGGAAAACGCCTTTTCTGTCAAAGGTGTATGTGAGAGGTGTGAGAAGTGTAGGAAAATTATGGAAAATGATTTGTGAGTCAAACATGTCAAACACACGAGTGAAACCTTGGTCTTTTTGGCAGTGCTGGAGCTGCGGCAACTGTGCGAAGGCCGAGTACGTGATCATTACTGGACACTCGACCTTTTCTGCAGAGCTCTCACCCTTCAGGTCGGAAAAGTATGGAACATCCCAGCCTTTCCTGCCACAAGCAGTTCCGACTTGTAGCATCTGGTAGCACCTGGTAGCCAAGCAAAGTCCAGGTCATAAAGGTCCTAGAGTTGACCGGAAAAGAAGGCAGATGATGGCAGATGTTCATCTTGAATCATCTTTGATCATTTTTGGTCAGACCCAAAGGAATATGAATCAGTACTTGAATCAGTACACCATATACAATCTATATCAATCGCATTCCCGCACCACAGGGCAGAGTGACAGATTTGACAGGCAAGTGGCCTATGCTTTGCGTTCCTGCTTTCTCGGGGCCTTGCGGCTGCTTGGCACAGAAGAAACACCGCCCATGGGAGCAATGCCAGATGCTTGGCTGAGAATTCCCTGACCCAAGCTTCATGAAGTTTCATCAGAAATTCTTCAAGGCAAGTTAGCTATCAAAAGTCATCAACATGGACGTAACATGAAGTAACTGAAAACAAGATCAATTTGGCAAATTCCAAAGAAACGCTGAGGGATCAGAAGGATCAAGGTAAGTAGTGTGAGCAACATCTCAGATCGATTTCTTGTTCAAATTTTGGCACCATGGATCTTGAAAAGTTTTGATGTTACCAGTTGCTATCAGTTTCTATCACTTCAAATCTTGGAACACTTTGGTATTTCCATCGCCTCAATCTCTGACACCAGGATTTCATCCACGCTGACCACACGGTGGAACAAGGGGCGCATCTGTTGTCAACGGCCTTGGAGAGTTTCAATGGATTGGAACTTGGTGGACGGCGAGTAGTCTCTGTTAACTTTTGGAGGACAGGATGGGCATTGCGGCATCGGCCACGAGGAAATGTGCATAATGTGCGTGAACGAAGGTGATCATTTGAAATGAGCAGTGACGTTCGACACCCTAGTGATGTTGTTTTTGATTCGTTTGGGGGTTATTCTACTCAATATAGTGGGACTTATCATGAATTATCACAATCCATGATGGGAAAGCCATCGTTGAAGACCCGCCATGTCCTCCAACTTGGCGGCGAGGAATGCTCGCGCGGAGGCCCGCATCCAGAATCACCACATGGCTGTTGTGAATGCGCAGTCCATCTCTGATGATGAGTTGCAAGCATCCAAATTCAAGAATTACAAAATGGGAGGCTTGGAGCAGTACCACTTGACTCATTTGAGCGACAATCAAAGATTGGTCTACTTTCCTAACATGGAGAGTAGTGAGATTCTCGTTTTCAAGCAGCGTGCCTATGATGTCTCAGACACGAATATTGTGACACCCCTGGCAGAACCGCACAAGCATCATATCCTCCACACCGCTTTCCTGGATCCAACAGCTCCCAGAGGCACAGTCCCACGAAAGGCCATCGCTTGTCCAGGTGTCTTGGTTGTTTTGAAGGCAGCCGAAGCAAAATCTGACGTCAAAGGCGATGCCAGATCCACTCTATTGCACCGTACAGGATTAGCTCCCTCCTGGAAGAAAGAGCTGAAACAAACATTTCCTCCTGAGGAGTGAGTGAGTGTAAAGGGCGAATCTTTTTATTTGGTCCCTGAAATTCAGTTTGCTCAAAGGGGCAACTCTCTTAGTTTGTACAGCAGTGTAAAGACTGGCTGCATTGAGATGCGCCTAGTTGCAGCTTCACATGATGCGACCGATCGAAAGTCGGTACGAACATGTCTTAGCTGACGCGCTAGGATTGTGTTTCAACTGGAGCCAAAAAACTGGGTATGTCATGGTATGTCACCACATTGGGGACCCTATTTTTTTTTCAAATTTGGGAGTGGGGCCGAGTCCACATAGTCCACGTTGCATACTTTCAACATCAACATCCAAGGCTGGGCGAGCCTCCGCGGATTGCCATGCAGGCAGAGACCATGTCCAACTGATTGATGCGAGGAACCCGAGATTCGGGGTATATCCTCTGTCAGGATCTGTCAGGTCTATATAATGGGAAACCATATGGGAAACATTGGGAAACTACTTCAGAGTACAACAAAAATGTCTTTTGCCAGCTGTACCCCCATTGGACGGAGAATGCAATTGGCGAGCATACTTTGTACCGGGAAGGATGAGATTTGACAAACTCCTCAGTATATTACGTAGTGCTGCTTTGTTAGCAAGTTACATCATGTCAGTCAGACAGGTGATGCTTGTAGCAAACATGCGCAGGCTCCTTGGTTGTCTTTGCAACTGCCTGCTGCCGAGCTCGAAACAGGCTTTCCTCTGCACTGGCTGTTTGTCCTTTGTGCGTGCCTATGAGCATCCGATTTTAATCCCTGAGATAGATCGTTGTCAACATTTAACTACCCTTGCTGCAAACCAGGAGGCTGGCCAGTGGCAAATGCAAAGCTGGGCGCAGCAGACTGCCCTGGCCCAGCAGGCTGCCATGGCTCAACAGGCTGCTCTGGCCCAACAAGCTGCCCTAGGGCCAGTGGGCATTCTTCCCCAAGCTGCCTTAGCACAAGGAGCGTATGTTGATGCACTCCCAATCTTTGCAGTCAGCTTGGCCATGTCAGCTGGTTAGCTCATCAGCCCTTGATGCCTCAGGACAATTGCCATATGGCCAGATGGAATCATATGACATTGAGCAAGGGGAAGGCGCAGATGCTCACTTGCTTGTGGAAGGTGTTTGAATCAGCAGGCATTCTACGTTGTGACATCATCGGAGGGCCCCAAGATGGATCCGATCACGTGTAGGCTGTTGCAGCTTGACTTCGCATCTACAAGCCCATACTAGGCCATATATGATATATGTATTCTCTCAAACGAGTTCCTGTTGCCCTGACTCCCTCTTTTTAGAACCAGCAGCAAACCAGCATGTTTGTGGCAGAACAAGTCTGAGTCTAAACAACTGATGAGTTTTGCGGCATTTTGTGGCAATGGAATATTCCCTTCCGCCCTAATATTAAACACCCAACCCATGGTTTAGTGGGGGATTCACAGATGTTTGGAACCATTTAAGGATGGTGTTGAATATTAGGGGAGTGGGATTATGAACATCTGCAGAAGCTGCTCCATCTGCAGAAATGCAGGAGCTGCTCCGTCTCGGCGCAGTTGCAGCGTCCGCCTTTCCGTCCAGGTTTGGGTTGGCCGAAAGCTGCCGCAGCTTTGGTCAAGACGGGTTCAAAGTGATACTCTCGGTACTCTCGGTGGAAAAGATCAACAGGACGGGTCTAAAATCTCCATTTATCTGAACATCCCAGACACATCCACTAAAACCAGGCAAACATCCCAGCTTGGGTAGCTGAATGGATGATTTTTGATGATTTTTGATGATTTTTGGCCATAAATGCAAGGAACATCAAGGAACATAATGGCCCATACCAAGGTTTTGTTCGTTTCAGGGTAAAAGACCCCAGGCGGCGCCTCCAGTTCGAAGCAGCCGAAGGATCAAGGTGCAACTCTGGGATGGAGAGTTTCACGGAAGCCCTAGGGATGTCCAACAAGTCCCAAAGGCAAAAAAGACAAATTGAAGGCATTTACCATTTAACATACTTTGTATGTTATAATAGAAATCTAATGTTTTCTATAATATTTACAGTATATAAGTTACACCCGGCAAATGGGAAGTGCAACAGATTGTAACCAAGAAGCAAAATTTGGATGGAGCCCAGACGGGGGTGATTTTTTCCATTGGAGCACAGGTTGCGTGGTAATAGAATTGGACTTGTCATCCCTGTAGAACTGGGATTCAGCCAATACTAATGCCATATGTCATGGAGGATGTCATTACAACCAGAATGATTGGTCTTTCAAGTGCCTCCCTTGGGTATATGTATCAAGGATGTCAGAATATGTCAGGGGATGTCAGGGGTTCTACTCAAATCGGCAAGGTTTATACAGTTTGTCATGCAAATTTTGTTGATATCGTGTCGTTTGTGATATGCAATAAACAAATATAAAAATATACGCACATTTGATGTACCCGTATAGATTGCTTAGGAACTTCGTAAGTACTATTGCGAGCCACCTTAAAGATTCGGAAAGGATAACTTGGGATACAGTAACTCCCAGATTACAAAGCAGCGCCCTGCAGGCCCCAAAGGTGAAACCTGCAAAGAAGGCCACGGGATGACGGTGATGTGGTAGGTGTAAGCTGTAGGCATTTGGGTATGGTTGAGAATGTGTGCGACCCCGAAATTGGATTGCTTAACATCAATTGAATCAACAGTTTGGTTCTTTTTCTTTTAAACCAGACTAGTACCTATAATTATATTTAATGCCCATCATCCATTGTATATTCGCAATTGTATTGCCAGCTGCCTGTGCGACTTGATGCTAAGCGCATGCCTGGATGAAGATTTCTGCCACCAGGGTGATCAAGCAGCTTGGGTGCCTCTGAAAATTGGCTCCTACTTCATCAACTCATGGGATAGCTGTGACGCAACTGGTGCTTCCCAAAATTACACTACTACTAGTATTAAAACCAAGATGTTTTTGCCTCCCATATTAAGAAACACCCAAATTTATGCCAAATACCAAAAAGAAAAATGTTTGAGGCTCCTCACTGTACATTGAAAACTGAGTCCAGGCGGACACCTTCATTTCAAGGTGAAGATGCGAGCAACCAGTGCACCAGCCAACACATAGGCAAATGCAGACGCAATCCAGCCGAAATGTAACCAGAATTCACAGTCAATAACGAACAATGAAGTTTCTCTCAGCTCTTAGTCTTGGTTTCGAAGGTAAAAGCATATTGGGCTGCTCCTACAATAATTGTACAACCAGCTGGCTGGGAGTATATGCAACAAAGTTTCGGTCCAGATGTCCAGATGTGCTGATTTGGCTGTTAGTTGTGCGCTGTTTTGTTGGCTCCCTGAATGCTCCATTACCAATACCTTGCAAGCTTCTATCTTGTGAGGTTTAACGGCTCGGAGCATATAGCGAGCTGCACATCAGTATGCGGTGCCGCTGGAACCATGAATGTGGAACCAGTTGGCTGGGAGTATATGCAACATTATGCAACAAAGTTTCGGTCCAGATGTCCAGATGTGCTGATTTGGCTGTATGTTAGTTGTGCGCTGTTTTGTTGGCTCCCTGAATGCTCCATTACCAATACCTTGCAAGCTTCTATCTTGTGAGGTTTAACGGCTCGGAGCATATAGCGAGCTGCACATCAGTATGCGGTGCCGCTGGAACCATGAATGTGGAACCAGTTGGCTGGGAGTATATGCAACATTATGCAACAAAGTTTCGGTCCAGATGTCCAGATGTGCTGATTTGGCTGTATGTTAGTTGTGCGCTGTTTTGTTGGCTCCCTGAATGCTCCATTACCAATACCTTGCAAGCTTCTATCTTGTGAGGTTTAACGGCTCGGAGCATATAGCGAGCTGCACATCAGTATGCGGTGCCGCTGGAACCATGAATGTGGAACCAGTTGGCTGGGAGTATATGCAACATTATGCAACAAAGTTTCGGTCCAGATGTCCAGATGTGCTGATTTGGCTGTATGTTAGTTGTGCGCTGTTTTGTTGGCTCCCTGAATGCTCCATTACCAATACCTTGCAAGCTTCTATCTTGTGAGGTTTAACGGCTCGGAGCATATAGCGAGCTGCACATCAGTATGCGGTGCCGCTGGAACCATGAATGTGGAACCAGTTGGCTGGGAGTATATGCAACATTATGCAACAAAGTTTCGGTCCAGATGTCCAGATGTGCTGATTTGGCTGTATGTTAGTTGTGCGCTGTTTTGTTGGCTCCCTGAATGCTCCATTACCAATACCTTGCAAGCTTCTATCTTGTGAGGTTTAACGGCTCGGAGCGTATAGCGAGCTGCACATCAGTATGCGGTGCCGCTGGAACCATGAATGTGGAACCAGTTGGCTGGGAGTATATGCAACATTATGCAACAAAGTTTCGGTCCACATGTCCAGATGTGCTGATTTGGCTGTATGTTAGTTGTGCGCTGTTTTGTTGGCTCCCTGAATGCTCCATTACCAATACCTTGCAAGCTTCTATCTTGTGAGGTTTAACGGCTCGGAGCATATAGCGAGCTGCACATCAGTATGCGGTGCCGCTGGAACTATGAATGTGGAACCAGTTGGCTGGGAGTATATGCAACACTATGCAACAAAGTTTCGGTCCAGATGTCCAGATGTGCTGATTTGGCTGTATGTTAGTTGTGCGCTGTTTTGCTGGCTCCCTGAATGCTCCATTACCAATACCTTGCAAGCTTCTATCTTGTGAGGTTTAACGGCTCGGAGCATATAGCGGGCTGCACATCAGTATGCGGTGCCGCTGGAACCATGAATGTGGAACCAGTTGGCTGGGAGTATGTGCTACAGAAGTTTGCCTCATGTCGCAGGATTTTTGAAGCTTTGGAGATTGCATGATATCTTTGAAATTCTATGACATGCTCACAATTGTTACTAGCTTCCACCCCGTAGCACTGTTCACCGGGAGCTGAGAACTGCATGGAGAAATGCGCAGCTTGGCTCAAGTTCGGAGATGACCAGCCAAGAAATCTCACCAGCCACGTGGGAAAGATTGGGAAAGCAGGTTGAAATAGGTGGAACGTCTCGTGGAGCTCGTGGATTTCAGCTGCGAACAGCGACCCGGCGACGGCGCCATGGCAACTGCCGCTGCGATGCAAACAGCTGCCGAGGCGAGTGCTCGGAGCTGCAAGCACTGAGGCATACTGAGCCTTTTGTGAATCACACCGTCCTTGAAGACTGGCAAATCATGGCAAATCCATTTTCTGAAAATGGTTATAGTTACTATATAGTTACTATATAAATCTATATGATTAATGATGTAGTTGCTTTTGCAAGTTGATGTCTAGGGCTGGAAGCAGGCACTGTATCTCCTTTGACGGATGCATGTCACAACTGTAGTCATGTGCTCAAATTATACAACAGGCCAGACACCGTCATAGAATCCTCAATTCAGTGAGGGGTGCAGCCTGCGGCATTGAAATCACTTCAAACAAAGATATGATTCTTCCAACACCATTTTTTTGCAGGATGACAGCCACTAGGTTTCATCCCTGCAGCCTGGGTTTTATCCGTTTGGCTTTGCAATTGGACTGCCTTTTCAAGCATTTCAAGACTTTTAAGCCACTTAAACTGGGGGGGCTGGGTTGCAGCCATGGCTACAAGATGTTGGTTGCTGCTGTGGTTGCTGCTGATACCAAGCCAAGCTGCCTTGAACGTTGGTGCCTTTGGAAATGACGAGCTGGTGAAGCGCCTGAGATCGTCCATCTTCGTGGAGACTGCCTTTCTGGAAGATGCCTGCGTTGAGCAGCGGGAACTGTCGGTTGATGGGAGGGTTTTACTATGTTTAAATGGGATATCCAAACAATAATAGGATAGAATTTCATGATTTAACCAGCAATAAATGGGGATTTCTATCTGATATCCATTAGGAATATTAGGAAACGTCAGCAGAACTCGAATCTGAGGCGTGTTCCTGTTAGCCCTGCTGGTTGATGATCACAGGGAATTATGCTACCTAATATCTTGGGGATTCTTGGGGATTATCATTATCCATATGATGGGAAACCCTATCAACCAACCACTAGTTCGGGGCTGAAAAAACTGGCCATGGATCGAGAAGTGACTAATGATGATTGATGAACAATGAGGTGAACTCAATAATACACCATCCCGGAAATCACCATTTTTATGGGTGGTATAAACCATCCCCAAATGGTATTGTTATCATTGAGTTTACCACACTAGTTTAGTCTTATTATGTTTTATTCATTGCTCAGTTTAATACAGCAGAACTTTTTCTTTGACCATCTCCTGAACCTGAAGCAATGTCAACTCTTCAATCATGTCCCCAGCATGATATATATATATATATGACACCTATATGACCTCTATGACACTTATGACACTTATGACACTTATATGACACTAAGGCAATAAAACTACAGTAGAAGCTTGACCATCAATTCTTCCAATTTCGACCCAGGAGAGACCCGCAGAGATTAGTTGCTCATCTTTGGATGGACCCAGCTGTCTCCATGCTATGCTCTCAGATGGCAACGTGTTGGATGGTCCTGGAGTGATTCCAGATGCTTGGCGAATAGCATGGCTTGGTGGAAATTGGGGACAGAATGAAAGAGATTGAAAGAGATTGAAAGAGCTTCTAGATGCTTTGCTCTGTTCTTTGAAGCTCTTAGGGACCGCACTTCAAGGGCATGGTCTTCAGTAAGGTGGCTGCTTCAGCCAGCTCAACGACACAGTGATAAACTGTAGTCCTGAATCAAATCCAACATGTCACACCTAAATAACTTGGCTCTTTGCCGACATGACCCAGAAATTCCAATGAACAGATCACGACACATCTTTATCAGGCACACTGCCAAACACCGCATTTTGGCATTTTGGAACGTGGCGCGCTGGCGATAGGAACGTCTGCTACATGATCTGGGAGTAGGGCCTGGAGATTTCACAACCGCTGAGCATCGCAGCTGCATGAATTGCATGAGCATGGGGTATCATGGGGTCCTGATGTCCAAAGATGCAGAGACACCAAGCACATCCAAGGAACAAGATGGAACAAGTACTTCCCTTCTACTAGAACGGACATTCTGAACATCTTCGCTTATTTTTTGTCTTGCCCAGCGCTTTAGTATGATAGAATCCCATGAGTTTCCCATGAGTTTATCCATTCATTGGTTCAATCCCAAGCTTTTTACGGTTTTCCCCAAGTTTCGGGATCCGTTGAGGCACTGGACGCTGGAAAGTGTCCTCCGCCAGGGGCAGTCAAACCAAGCGGTCGAGTCGGCACCGTTGCTGATGGGGGAGGAGGCCCTGGCCCTGATTTTCAGGTCACAGCACGCAAATACCATGAAGATCCATGAAGCTATGCGAAATCCAACATGGGATCCCAAACAATGGGTTTGAAGAATGTTTTTTCTATGATCAAATGATATAACATGTTGGGCATGTTGTAATCATTGGCATTTTGGGTTCCATCATTGACTTCAAGGGTGCCTCAGGTTTCATGATTTATGCTGGTCTGTTTTGTCAGCACATCGCATGGGGATTGATTGACAGTCCGAAGAGATGGCAAAGCCAATCTGAAATGTTGTTTCGGAGACTGTGCAGTCATTTGGGTGTTTCTCAAAAGAAGTTGTACCATTCTACCCCCTAAAATAGCGATGTTCATGAAATTTGGAGGGTTTCCCAACATTTTCAGACACACCCATCACTTGGACCTGTGAGGCCCGCCAGTACTTAGCCCTTGGTCGGAACAGCACCTCCACAGGTGGGACTCATCGTACCATCATTGGGTTTTTACATGTTTTTACACACCCAGAATTTCTGGCTTCATTAAAGATATACTTTAGATATTGAAAAATATTGAACCGCCTGGGTCTGGATGGTCTGGGAGTTTTTGGGTTCTCTTTTCACTCCAGGACTTCTGCACTTCGCCAGTGCCTCATTGGACCAGCGCCTACCCTTGACCTTCTCTGAGGGTTTGCCTAAAAACCTGGTGGCCACGTGGGATGGCCGGTGGATTGCTCGTGATTGTAACTTGGCGAAATCAATTGATGAAAGACTTCCATGAATTTGGGTGAATTTTGGGTAATTCTGAGATCAACGGTGCTGCGCCCTGAGTTGCTCTGGAGGCAGCTTCGCTGGTCAATTGGCAAGACTCCCGGCACCCGAAGTGGGTGATCTGGCTCTCGCGCAGAGCTCTGGAGCCGTTGGACAGCAAGGTGCGGACACCTGTTGGAGGGGCTGATATTTAAAGGGACATAGCGCCTGAGAAACTTGGCGCCAATGGTGGAATTTGTATATGTGTCTTGGCACTTTGCGGTTGTACGCTTCAATGATGGCAAAGGAAGATTCCCACAAAGAAAAAATATGATACTTTATGATCTTATGTGTGTATATATATATAACTATATATATAATATTATAATATGATTATGTATATAGGCATATATATATATACCATTGAAATTACAAAACCGGGACATTTCCCAGGTTTGCTTCGAAGCCCCGAGGTTTTCACCGGGTAAAACCAGTGACCTTCTCCTTGCAGGTCAGCTCTCAGTGTCCGTGGAGCTGGCAGGTGGGGACCTTGGACATATAAAATTTCTTAATCAACTAATTAAGTTCTAAAGTCAATACATATATTACAGTATATTATATATATATTAACTAATAATCATTTTGTTGTACACGTTCTTGTAGTTTATATATATAGATGTTTCTAGTTAGTATTGACATAAATTTGAAACTACATATATACCAGTAGTACTCGTACCGGACAAGGCTGTGGCGGAAGTTTCAAAAGTAGGAAACCTATAGGAGAGGTTGGTTGTTGTGAATCGCGGATGGCAGAGCGAATCCACTGATGGACCGAAAGGTGGTTGGAGTTTTGTTTTTTGGAGTGGTTGCAATTGTTGCAGTGGTCACCTCACCACATCTGTTGGATGTAATGTGGTGTAGCGCAGTTGCAGTTGCAGTTGTATTTGTAGCGTAGTGTAGTGGAGTTGTAGTTGTAATGTAGTGTCATTAGCATAGTGTAGTTGCAGTTGTAGCTGTGGTGTGGTGTAATTAGTGTAGCGTAATGTAGTTGTAGTTGTAGTTGTAGTGTAGTGGAGTTGCAGTTGCAGTTGCATTTGCATTTGCAGTTGTAGTTGTAGTGCAATGTAATGTAATTAGTGTAGCGGTAGTTGCATTTGTAGTTGCAATGCACTGCAGAGTAATTAGCGTAGTGTACTGTAATGTAGTGTAGTTGTAATTGTAGTTGTAGCTGTGGTGGTGGTGGTGGTGGTCGTCGTCGTCGTGGTAGTAGTAGTAGTAGTAGTAGTAGTAGTGGTAGTAGTGGTAGTAGTGGTAGTAGTGGTAGTAGTGGTAGTAGTCGTAGTAGTCGTAGTAGTTGTTGTTGTTGTTGTTGTTGTTGTGTGATTAGTGTTGTGTAATTAGTGTAGTGTAATTAGTGTAGTGTAATCGCCTGCCATCGTTTTTGGAAATACTAGGAAACCCGGAGGTGCACAATCCCTTGCGCCGGCCACGTGAAACGACATCTGAACGTCCAAAAGTGCTCCGAACCTGGTGTGTTTTGTACATTTTGACTTGGAAATGTGCTTCGCGCCACAACAGCGTACACTTTTTCGACATCTCAACTTCCAAAAGTGCTCCGACCCTGGTGTGGTTTGTACATTTTGACTTGGAAATGCGCTTCGCGCCACAACGGCGTGCACTTTTTCGACATCTCAACTTCCAAAAGTGGTCTGAGACCGTCAATTTTTTACACTTTTGACTTCGAAATGTGCTTTGCGGCACAACGGCGTGCAACTTTTTATCTCTCATTTGCCCAGATGGCTCCGCACCCGCCGCTTTAGCGAGCCTACTTTTCGACCCTCCGGAGCCACAAATCATTGGAAAAAACACAGTGTTTCGCCACTTTGCTACCTTTTCGCGCACCTGCATCTGCATCGTCTTTCCTCTGACTCTTTCTTTTCTCTGATCTTCATTTTTCTTCTCTTCTCTTCTCTGAGTCTTCCCACCTTTGCTTTTCGATCTGTCCATATTGCCGGAAGTTTGACTTCTAGACCTCCTTCGCTTATATTTATATATATATATATATATATTAATGTATATTTATTTATATATGTTTGTATACATATCATGCACACAAAACCATCCAAAAGCAACCTGATATATCTAAAATCAGAAAACCTGAAGTTTCAGAAACCTACATCATTTTCAGGAAACCACGGGCACGGCAGGCTCTTTGGGATATCTTCGCTTCTCTCGGCCCGTTTCAGTGCGCTCACTCTTCGTGCACTGGGACGTGGATCCAAGTGCAGCGCGGGCCCTGGTGGCTGGACGACTTGGCCTGGAGACTGCATGGAGCAGCTGCTTGGTTTGGTTTGTTATTCTGGTTGCTGCGTTTGGCTTGTGGTTGCTACTTGTACCAGGGAAATATGGGAAATGAGGAAATCCCGAGTATGGTAATTCTGCGATATTTTTGGTCATATGGTTGCCAGTTATGGTCATTGTGGTAAGACTACTATCATATTGATGATGGTTCGGATGTATATGATGATTGGGATGGTTTATAGTTGGCTAAACACATGTCCAAAAAGAAGTGGCTACAGGCTGTACAGCAGACAGATATGATAGAATTGATAGAAGTTCCGGGACGGTGACCACTGCAGGTGAAAACCATTGCAGATTTAAGGTCATCTTGATCCGAAACAGCTCGAGCTTGAGAAAGGATGGATTGATATCGCCGGAGACCCCTTGGTACAGATTGATGAGTCTCAGCTGCTAGATATTCCCATGCATGTTGATCTGAGAAGATTACTCATGACTCTATCCGTGTCCATGGGTTTTGGAACCGCAGATGAATCACGCTGTTTGGTTCCGTTTGCAAGGTGGCCTAAGGTGGCTTAGGGTGGCTGTGACATTAAGGAATTGGTCTTTATGGCCGCAAAAGGGCTACAGATTGGTGCAATTCAAACTGCTAACGCAGAGGACATGGAAGATGAGGAGCAATGTCACAGTTTTTCGCATCTTGTCACCTTGCTGTTTTCTTTTTTCTGAATCTGTCCACAACAGTCGAAACATATCCAAACATATCATGCATATCCAAACCACGTGCAATGAATGCGTGGCTTGTGCGGCTTCACAGGAGCGAACAGTGCTGCTGCTACGGCCTGTAAACCATGCTGAAGACCTGGATAGTGAGGATCGGCCAGAATTTCGCTTTACATTGCAAAAGTTTCTTGGTTGAAAGAGGGGGGTCACGCTGTTTTCCCCTGTGGCCCTGTGTAGTAGTGTTTGAAATTGTTTAAAAGATGGCATTGAATTGAATGGTGATGAAATTTAGAGATGCATTTAAGAAACCCTGCAGATTCAGGGTGACAGAAACAATTGAAACAATCCTGCAAAAACCAGTTTTGATGCTGATCCGTCTCGCCACCGACAACACAACGCGATGTGTCGACGGATGTCGACGGTAAATTTAGGCTTCGGGCCGATGCTGCACCATTTGTTGCTTCCATTCAAGAGGTGCGGTTGGGCCCAGAACAGCTTGGAGCAGCTTGGGAGATTCGGGCTCCTGCTCAATTATGAGAGTTTGGGAAGGAGAATCATCAGCACATGTGCCACGTGGCCAAGCGAATATCCAATGCCAAGGATTCCAGGTGTCTCATCCGGATGCCTCCATCTTTCCAGCAAAATGAGAAATCCACCAAATGGATCAAATGGAACTGGATGAACTGGCAGTGGTTTGTCAGAAAATGGGCGACGTTCCGGGATTCCGCGGCCTCGCTGACCCAGGTGGTGGATCACAACCTCCGGCTGCGTAGCAGCTTACCTCCGTACCTCAGAATCCGTGGGGCTCCGCTGAAAATCCATGAAAATCCATTGGTAAAATTGGATGTTCAATGTGTTCAATGATGTTTTATTAGTTATATTTAGTTTCACAATGTTTCACATGAGTCGTTACGTTAGTCATTATGTTGGTTATTACGATGGTCATTACATTGTACTATATGCTCATTTCTTCACGTATGAATTGGCTTCCTCAGTGGTTTGATTCTGCATGGAGTCTGCATTGATTCTGCCACAGTAACTTGATGTGAATTGGATGTGAATTGGAAGTGAATTGGATTGTCCAATCCATTGAGAATATTTGAAAATCATGAACACATACTGGCACTATCATATTGACGGTGTCTGAGATGCTCGTCAGGAGAGCCCTGGGCGGTCCGCGAGGTGACGATGTGCCCGGCTTGCGGCTTGGTTTCGGCTAGCGCTGGGGGCACTTTGATATGCTAAATGATTTTAGATGGGAGCCGATCGTTAATGTCTAAGTCTAAGTCTAAGAATGATGAAAGATGATGAAAGGGCGATTGGAAAACCCTGCATCGCGATTGATCGGCGATTGATTCGGGATTGAGACAAACCTGTGTTGTATGGCTAGTGTAAGAGGAGAAATCACTATGATATATATGGCATGATAATTGTGTTACATTTTAGCCTTATATTATATTAGGGTCTGCCTAGACACTGTGTTCAATAGTGATAGCCAATAATTAGCAAAGAAGAATCAAAACAACAAAGTTCAAAGTCTAACAACCCAGATCGATTCAATTTTCAAAAAATGTCGATGAAAAACTGCGATTGGTTCGCGGTTGATCCGCGATTGATCCGCGATTGTTAAACCCAGCTGAGTAGGCCCTGGCTCACGCCATGTCTCTAAATACTGTGATATGTAGCAGCGTAGCAATGTTTCGACGATTCTCTGCGCAAAATAATGTCGGATACGACAGAACCTTTCTGCGATTGACACCGTTGGGATCGCGGTTGACGCGGTTGATCGGCGATTGTAGCTGCTTGAGATACCTTTATTTTGATCAACACTCAAATGAAACAGTCAGCATCAGATAGCATCAGTTGATCCAGGTGGATCCAGGTGGATCAGCAAGCTGCAGTTTCTGAGGCTCTCGCTGCGAACAGCGCAGGAAAGTAGGGAACTCACAGAGGAGTCCCTGAATTTTCGATTGGCTGCACATCACAATGGAAATTTGTTGCTTGGAAGGTTGTATTGTACGACGTTGAACATTTGGTTGTGTTTGGATGTCTTTGGTAGGTAGTCCAAGGGTCTCAAAACTCCAGCCGATGAATTCAGCTCCAATATTTCTTGCGTGCGCTTGAAACTCCAAACTCTTGGTAGAGGAGCTTTGAATTGTACAACATGCAGTTTAGCCGAAACCCACATCGAACGTCTCCTTCCTGATAGTTTCCGATGTTGTGAGGTTTTCTGGCATTTACTTGATAGATATGGCTGCACATGACGCCAATGATATGCTGGCTGGCTTTGCCAGATTTCCGACAGGTGTGGTTTTTAGCACTTGCTCCCTTGCTGTATCAGCCTGAGTTTCCGATGTGACTGAAAAACTCAATTTTCTCCAAGAGCGAAAATGCTGAAAAGTCGGCTGGCTTGTGGTTTTATCATGTTTTATATATGTGGTTTCATATTCCATGATGTTTCCATCCCCTGATGTTTGGGATGGTTCACAAATGCATCTTTTTGATGTGTGGCTTGATGGACAGGTGTCTTACCAGAGGATTTGCGGCGTCAGTTGGCAATGGAAGGCCCAGATCTGGCCGAGACTATTCGGCAGCACGTGCGTGCGGGTGGCTGGAAGCGCAGCACTCCCACCAGGCTGCCACATGAGGGCTGCTTGGATCCAACTTGGACAGTTGATTTTTTGAAGAGACAGTTGATATCAGGGGACAAAGGTTGATTTTTCCATACTTTTCCACATTTTTCCAAGGGACAGTTGATATCAGTTGATGTTGATGTACCACCCATCACGCGTTGGGAGAAGTTGCGATGGTCACCTTGTTGAGCCAGGTTCAGAGGAAGCAGTTGCTTGGCAGGGCAAGAAACCGTGGGTGTGAGGTCATGAGGTGGCCATGAGGATGGTAGGGAAATGATGATCAACTATGAGAGTCTTGATACACAGGAATAATTACATAATATCATATATATTCATATTAAATTACACTTTCTTGCACTTTATTTCTCGATTTGTGAGGCAAACCGGCAAACCCAATAACAACGGGTACCATATTTTTGTGTGGCCACGAAGAGTTATCCAACAGTTTGACCCATTGCGACTCGACTGCGAAGATTGATGTGTGGAAAGGTCAAGAAGTACATGACCGCAAAGAAGCAGCAAACTTCCTTTGATTTGGTGAGTGCTGCAATGATATACATCTCCCACAATTCTGGATTTAATTGAGAGCTTCGGTGGTGAAGCTTGACCTGCAAGCTGGATGCTGCTGGATGTGGATGCTGATACGACGTAATGTGCTGTAGAATGCTTCCCATACGTGCAATACATGCCACTTTGTGACTGAAAACGATCCAAGCACATTGCAGTTGCATCAGCACCAAAGTGGCCATTGCCCTGTACAGTTCTGGCACCAGCATCACAGGCTTTTTCAAAGGCCTTCATGTTCAGTATTGTTCAGTTAAGGATCTCCAAAAGCATCCAAAAGCCCTTTGGTATTTTGGAGTTTCCCGTACCTTTCCCGACTGTCCAGCTGGTCCGCAACAACCATTGCGGCCAAATTCAGAGACCAAAGACCAGCGAACCACAAACTCAGTGTGGAGTGCTGTGGAGCGCGCTGGAAGGGATGTCAAAAAGGCAGTTTCTGATGGTTGTTGACGGGATGAGACTAACATCTATCATGGGATCTATGACTAGCTGCAGGGAGAAAACATCTCATTTGCCAGCCATTGCTATAGAGAAATACGCAGATGGGTTTGGTTGCTACTGTAAGAATTCATTGTGTCAGTCAGTACCAGACATCAGCTGGAGGATCAATTTCCTCTCAACACCACTTGTGTTACTGACCGCGTTGGAATCATTGATGCATCCAGGCCTATGATAGATTCACAAGCTGTCTGGCACAAGCCCTCAAATGGCAGGCCGCTGATCTGCTAAGCGAAGCAGTTGACTTTTTGGTTTCACAGAAGCTAATGGTCGGTGACATGGCGACGGACTTTTCATTGGTCAAGTGGTTCAAAGGGCGCCAATCCGCGACAGGTTCTGTGACCATCTTGAGACATGATGGTTGTATGGCAGGTGAATCTTCTCGCGGGCACTTCGCAGGTTTTTGAGGAGAAGCACCAAGTGCTTGAGCCACTTGAGCTGGAGGACCCCCCACATGCTGTCAACTGTGGGTCGCACACCTGGGCGTTTTGAGAAAGGAACTGAGGTTCAGGTTGATGGCGGATGGACAGGCTATGGCTATTTATATCTATTTAGTCTATTTAGTCTATTTATATTTATTATGTATTATTATGCTTAATTATTTCGGCTATTTTCCTTGGGAATTGGAAAGATGAAGATGCCATGAATTTGCCATCAATGAAGCCATGTCCTCGCATGTTGACGCAGGATGTTGCTTCGACACCTTCAGGGTTGCCATGTGGATGGGTATCTCAGCATAGAATGAACTGCTCAATTTCCAGCTAGGGAAACCGCTACTTGTTCAAGCAATGTTCAAGCAATGTTCAAGCAATGTTCAAGCAATGTTCAAGCAATGTTCAAGCAATGTTCAAGCAATGTTCATGTGGGGAGTTGGTTCCATTTTCCTTGCCAATCCTTGCCATGCTTCTGTGCAAGTTGATGCGGTTCACTGGATTGGATAGGAGGTGAAAGCCATATATATATAATTATATACAATGTAAGTTGGCAGTACGGAGTTTGTTGAACCATTTGTGCTTACTATATGCCTTTCGGAGAGAGTCAGACAGTACTAGTATCTTCCATGCCCACCAAGTTTGGCCAGCTGCCATAAAGATGAACTATTGAGGGAGATGGTTTGCAAAGCGTGGTATCACGAAATTCAATGTCCTCGTTTTCAATGTGACAGATACATGATGATACATGCACAAAAAGAAAGCCAAGGTCACTTGGGCTCTGTGGTCAATGGCACTGCTAGTGGTTGTCTTGCTGGTCATTGGAGCAGCTTGGTGGATGTTGCCTCTCGGAGGGTTCCCAGGCTTTTGCGATATCTCGTTCAAGACCCTCGGTCTCGGTTTGATCCAAAAGCATGGCTGATCATGTTCCAAAATTATGCTGCGAAGTCAGTATTTTCAAGCATGCCAGCATGTTCAGTATGACTGTATGACTTTCTGTATTTCGCGGGTTTGTCTTATGTTCCATTTATTTTTTAATTATTTTTATACCCTGGCCAGTCAAGATAGTCAAGTATCTCAATGACTGGAAGAACGTATAGGACATCAGGTTGTCCAGTGAGGCCGGCGCAACGCAGTTTCCTGGTCCTTTGAATCCAGGCTTCGTGTCCCAAGGTGCTCCTTTGGAAGCGACTCTGGACCACAAGGTCATCGGTACGCAGGTGCCGGAAGCAATCGGAAAAGGACACTGAGGCAGGGCATTGTGACGACTTGATATGACTTGTGAGTTGCGATTCGTGGATCCAACGCAGTTTCCCGGAACTTCATTCAATCTATACCCGGGTCATCCACCTTTTTCTATTTTTTTTCCCATTGTTTCCCAGTGAGTCCTGTCGTAACTCTAGTTCTATCCCAGGATGTCTGCACGACCAGCGTCGAAGCGGTGCCAGTCCTCCCAGGCTGGCGGTCGCTGCGAATGTTTTTTTTTGGACGCAAGATGCAGAGATTTTGGCAAAAAAACGTATGCAAAAATCAGCTTTCTACCACAAGAAACATTGGTTTCATGAGAATTGAAGTGAAGGTGGCAGAAAAACCAAAGAAAATGAGATATCACTACCTCCAAAATCGCCTCCCAAAAAGCTCCCAACAACTGCGAAACTAGCCGTATGATGAATTTTCAAAGTAAACCCATAAGTGGTTTCGAGACCTGGAACATCATTGAAGCAATTCAAAACCCCTCCGGGTCACTGAAATTGAAGAGTTCCTGCCGCCAGTGATGCCAAAAATGTTCATCAAGATGATTGACCAGAAAATTGGCTGGCTCAATACTACAAATTCATCAAAGGCCAGCCCACTTAGGTCGTTTCACCACGTTGAGCAAAGAGCGTGTGACGACAGGAGCCCAAGAAGATGTGGAGAAAGCAGCCAGTGTGGAGGAGCAATCTTGGTGGGTTGGATGATGGACATGCAATCTCAAACTGTCACTATTCAGGAACTACAGTACTCGATTACATGCGCGCATTCCATGAATAAGGTCTCAACATGTCTCAACCAATGGCCACACCAACAATGACTACACTTCTGAATAGTGGGTTTCATTCTTCGCTGTGTGGAAGGATTTTTACACTTGACGGGCGGTGTTTTGGTGTGGGTGGAATGCACCAATCGATGGTTTGACAGGAAGTGTTTGCATACTATGAATATCTATGAATCTAATATATAGTGACGAACAATTACTTAGAACGTATTTTGGAAAAAAAATGTTCATCAGAGCAGGTAGGACGTTCTAGGTGTTACTTTTAGAACGTAAGAAAGTCATCACTTAGAACGTGGTGTGACCCAAAATTCATCACTTAGAACGTACCCGAAATTTAACACTTAGAACTTAGAACGTGTCTAGGTCAATGATGATAGTGTGAAAGGCTTGAAGTCATGTTACCGCACTCTGCGAAGCCACTCAGGGACCAAATAGACAAATGTATTGGTGAGGCACTTCAAGAAGCTATGTATATACGTGTGCATACGTATGCTGACAATTGTTTACAATTGCATACGTTCTAAATGTTGGTTTACGTTCTAAGTGTTGAATTGGCCCCTACGTTCTAAGTGTTGGTTTACGTTCTAAGTGTTGAAAATATGTACGTTCTAAGTGTTGATTTATGCCTACGTTCTAAGTAGGAAAAAATAAACTTTGGAAAAAAAAAAACGTTCTAAGTAATTGTCCGTCGCTATAGACATAAAGAATCATAAAGACATCTCATGCAATACAGATATGTACACAAATAGCCACATGGATAAAACATGTAATAACATGTATTATATTAATATAAAATATAAAACATTATAAAACACAGTATCACATTCCATAGACCACGACCTTTTCCAAGCCTTGGCTTCATCCCATTGCGCCAGGGCTTGCAGAGATACATCGAAGAGCTCCAGGTGAAACATCAGGAGGAGTTACGGCAGCGTGATGCCAAGATGGAGGTGCCGAGGATGCCACGTTTTTCTGTGCGTTGGAACCATAGAGAACCATAGAGAACCATACCATACCCATTATGATAATATAATCTGTTCATTTGGGGGCTATCATTATTTGGGATGGGAAGGTGATATGGATTGCTTATTTTTTTGATGAATATTCATGATTTTGATCCATTTGGCACTCTGGCAATCTATCAGTGCCCCAATGTTGACCCATGGCATTTACCATTGTCGGGTTTGTTTACTGGAAGGGGTACCCTCCAACAGTTGGAACATGGAAATTCACATTGACCATATATTTCGCTGTATCCAAAAAAAACATATAATCTTTTGAAACCCAAAACTTGAGGTTCTCGCATTGGAGCGCAGGGGAAACATGGGGAACAGATCGTTTGGATGTCATAAGATGTCCTACAAGCCAAAATCAAACAGATAGGCAGTCAGGCCATTTGATCAGTTTTCCAAAGTTGATGATTGTAGGGTTATTGAATATATTGGGGATTATCATCATCCATAAGCTGGGAATCCCATACTTCACCAATATTTCATGGAATGACACACACATCAGGGGTTAGCAGCGACTCATTTGGAAGTGGATTTGGATCTCTCTGAGCAATAAAACATATCCTGTTTGATGGGTTAACACAGGGAGTATTATTACCTAATTGGTTGGGGATTATACTTTATAATGATCCATATTAGACATGGTGCCAAAATTAGTAATATGGAATCCATGTTGGTTGTATAGAGATGATAATGATCCATAGTAGTTACACCTATTAGATGGGATCATTCTTCCAGTTGGATCATTCGCTTTTAGGAGGTGAAGCAGGAGTTGCGGGAGAAAACGGCTGAGGGCCTTGAGTTGTGGGAAGATGCAAAGAGGTCGGGAGGAACCAGGAACCGAAGAATCCTAGACTTGGATGAAGGAAGCAAGACCTAGTCGCAGTTAAAGACTCATGGTTTCCTGTAGATTTTCCCCAATCCATTGAAGGCAGGAGTTGATCTCGATATCTGAAAGATCGTGGCCAGCGTCTCCATGCAGCTTCAAGATGCGTCAGTTCGATGTTCGTTGCTGTCATCTTCGAACCGTGACGTTCTGCAAAGTGAGACGTCAACCTTAAGATCTTCGGAATGGCACCAGTTTCTGGCTGGTCATATCATTATATCTCATATCCCAGATTATCCCACTTTGGCTGAGTCTTTTCCTGGGAACTCTCCTGATTATCGCGGGATGACCCCTTGAGAACTTTGGCAGCGCAATGCAGGCAGAGGAAGGAAGCGAACCGATGCTTGGCTTCATCGTGTTTTGCACTGAATAAATGAATGCGTAGTAATTATATCGGATATCTATACGTAACTATAAATAAAATTGATTGAAATTGTGTATATAATATTATATATATAATACCTGTATATGATATGCATGGATAGGTGGGTCGGTGGGTAGGTAGATACACATTCAAATATCATTGTGGGAGGATCTCAAGGACTCAAGGAAGGAACAACCATCGGTAGTGTACACTAGATGGAGATTTAGCACCGCACATATTTCAGGGAAATTTGTGCACCGAACCGATGTTCCATACCAGATGCCCATGGGTAAATGATCCTGATCATCCCAGTACAGTAGTCGGCCGAGGCTTGCAATCCTTTGCCATCTCTGCCACGAACTCACTTCGAAAGGTGCAGAGGGAGGCCTGCTGATCGAATCCAGATCGGCTGACTCGTATGGAGATGGGTCAACATGTCGTGGACTTTTTTGGGGTCTCACCTTTCTCTCACTTTTTTTTTTAAAAAGAGTTTTGGCTCAGTTTTTGGCCCAGTAAAGTACATGGTGGTGTCAGGTGAATCGGCTGCAGAGGGTCATTGCCCAGCAGAAAGCGAAATATGTCGAGCTCCAGGAGAGCCAGAGGGCTCGACGGGAAGTACCATGGCTCCAACTAAACAATCCAACAGGAATCCCAGCTGAGAAGATCAGCGATAAATCACATGAGGCCAAAAAAAAAGAGGGCATTTACCCATGTACTATTCATGTACTGCTGGATGGACATGTTAGGATTTTTGCCTCATATTTTTATTGGTAAATGGATGAATGATGAATGCTTGTGCCGGCCATCAGGATCTAGACCTAGCTTTGGTAAGAAAGATTCGTGGAGGATCTCACGACTGTTAGATAAACCAGCTCTGTCTTGAGACGGACTGCCTTCCTGGTGTAAAGATCTAACCACATTTTATACATAATTTATATATACGTAATTTTACAAAGAGTTTCTATATATATATATACACATACTAAACTAGGCTACACTATCCATTTCCGCTCCATGCCCTGGCAGTGAGTTCGCAGTTTAGGTCTTGATGCTAAAGGAGTTGGATCTGGCGAGGCGTGAGGCAGAGGTTTCCTCATTGGCCCAAGCAGAGCAGGATCAGTCGTTACGGCTTTTATGGTGGATGGGATGTGGATATACATATCGTATACGTGTGTGTATATATATAATTATATATATATATATATATCATATATATGTATAGAAATACAGTATTATTAGTATACGTACGTGTGTATATATATATATATAGAGAGAGATGTATGTATATGTATATATACATGCATAAAACATAGAGAGGGAGAGAAAGACGGATGATGGGAGATCATGGGGATGCAGGGGGATGATGCTCCCAGGAACATCCATGTTGGGTCGCACCCAACTGCGTCCTCTGCGTTGTGGGGTAAGCTATTTTTTCCACGTAGGAAATAAAGTCTCCACATACTTCCACATTATCCAAATTACATTATCCTATTCTGATAACATCGACATTCCATTATGTTTGAATATACCGTGATATACTTTTAACATCAATTCTGATACCTAATGTCACACATCTCAACATGCTGTTTTTTCTTGCTTCAAACATGAGCAGCAAAACATTCCAAATTGAATGTATCTTTAATGTTATCAACTGGGTGTGTTTAGAACTCAGGTGTATACCTGCAAAATTGCATTTTATGGGGAAAACTATAATATCTATAATGATAATCCATTGGAATTGGGGTTGTCCCCATATTGTTTAGTCAAACTCAGGTATTACAGTATAGAAAACTTATGATGATATCTCTGGGTCTTAGTCTCCCATACCACAATGATATCCGAATCATCCTTTGGGAAATCCCCAGGATGAGTTGGCTGAGCTCCGTGAATGGCTGGCCGCGCCCGAGGGCGCCAAAGATGAACACCGGCGAATCGCAGGGCTCCGTTGCTTGATGCCATGACGGCTGCCATCGGGTCGGATCGGGTCGCAACAAAAAATATATTGTGGTACACCAGAATTTGAAAAAAACATATACATACTATGTTACATACTATGTTACATACTATGTTACATACTATGTTACATACTATGTTACATACTATGTTACATACTATGTTACATACTATGTTACATACTGTGTTACATACTATGTTACATACTATGTTACATACTATGTTACATACTATGTTACATACTATGTTACATACTATGTTACATACTATGTTACATACTATGTTACATACTATGTTACATACTATGTTACATACTATGTTACACACTATGTTACATACTATGTTACATACTAAAGTGTGATGATTTAAGTTCCAGGCTCTTGATTGTTCCTGGGTACATCTCGGGCGAGATCACCAGGTTCGCAACGCGTCTTGCCGGCTCCGGCTTGGCCATGGGAAACCTCCAGAAAAACCCAACCATGAATTATACAATCCAGGTTGGGTATTATGATTACCTTATGATAATTACTATAACATACCGTAACTGTATTTTAAACTAATTCATATAATTAATACTTACTAGAAATCTACACATATCCAAAAGGGTTGCACATTGAAAAAAAACTAAGTCTATACATAATTGTATGAATACGTATATATATATATATATTAGACAGTGACATAGGCGTATGCTATGCCGATAGTAGATGTTGTTTTGTTAAATTGTTTCATGATGTCTGACAATACAGGGTGAGTTTTGGAGCCTGTCAGAATTCCTGCCTGACCTGTTTCTGCAAATACCTCAATCTCGTTGAAGGTGGTGTTTCAGACCTGTACTTTTGCAGACATTGGCGCGACATGGTTATCCACAAGCAAAATATCCGCGGTTTACGTGCTATAAATCCTTCAATCCTGCTAGACAATGCAGTGTCAGGTTGATACGAACCAAGACACTGCTATGACCCTAAAATGCTCAGGTGCTGAAGTCAAAGAGTGGCAAGAGACCTACAAGAAAGAGAAGGCCGAAACCCAACCGAAATTGGCACTCTTGTAGTTGCACGTGTTCTTTTCTGCAGTTATGTAAAAAATGGAAGCAGCAGGGAGGGATAGTAGCAGCCGCAGTCGCAACAGGAGTGGAGGTGGTGGTAGTGGGCACTGGTAGTGGTGGCCCTTATGCTCCGTTTGGGGATAAGGCTTGTCGCCTCTCAACATTTACTTGTTTAACCAGCAGAATTTGTCCCCGAGCGTTCCGCTGCTTCCTATGTCTTTGAAATAGGGAAACAACCAAGTGATATATGTGATATTGAAACTTCACTGACATCGCTTGGGCGAAGGCAAGCTGGATGCGGGCAATTTGCGAGCTGACAAAACAGCGAGATCTACAAGTATCCCGCGCAGACCTTTTCGCTAAGCAGCTCTCTGGCTGCAGAGAAAGTCAATGAGATTAGTTTCAAGTTGGCCTAGGCATCCTTTTATCACTTTTTCACCTTTTTTGGGGCGCATTAGTCCGTGATAGTCCGTGTTTCTTTCATTTCTTCCATTCCTGACATATCGCTCAGGCTGGGGCAATGGCGAGACATCTTTCAGGAAACAGACCTGACCAACCTGGAACAGGAGCTGAGAGTGTGAGATCAATGTGGGGCTGGGATCCGATCGTTTTTGATGCATTTTGGTGGATTTTCATGAATGCTCAGTAATTTGATGGATTTCGGTTGATTTTGGTCATTGTTAGGGCGGGGTCGTATCTCTTCAAGGTTTTCGGTTATTTCAAAACATTTCAAAACGACCCTTGATGTTTGCAAACCTGTGTTTTCGCTTGCCGTGGGGGCGTCGGCCCAGTCCTGTTCAGATTGTTTGCAGTGTCTGTACCATAGAGATATTATAGAGATCATATAGAGATCATATAGAGAAGATCTTGTGAAAGAAAGCGTCCTCTACCAATTTTTGGAAGACAAAACCAGAGCCGTGAGATTTCACGCTGGTTTGCTGTGGATGGAGGAGTGGGATCCTGAGTCCAGTTTCTATGCTAATGAAGATGCTGAACGTCGAGAGTGCCAGCCTTAGACTGGACTGGAGATAGTTGGAAAGGTTAGGGTCATTCATTAGATGTCATCAGATGTCATTAGATGTCTTTAGTCGCATTAGAAGGCTAATGTATCGGCTAATGTGTTAGTAATGTATCGGCTAATGTGTTGTAAAGGTTTCTATGATTTTTTATGTATCTATACCTCTGGCAGGAGGATGCAGGTAGGAATGGTTTGCAATGGCTAAGGTCGTGCCAAAGCTCTCCTGAGGCGTGGCCTCTTCCTGCAAGGGCTCTACCATGCTCTAGCTGCAAGATCCTGCCATGTTTGAAAAAACATAGGCTGCCTACAGCGTCGATGGCTTGTATTCGGCACTGAAAAAAGAAGAAGAAGAAGCAGAAGAAGAAGAAGAAGACGAATAAGTATGAATAAGTAGAAGGACCATAGTATTGTATTGACTCACAATGATGCATATTCAATTCAGACTGCCCCTTTAGCATTCACAGTCTCCACACCTCAAAGGCTAGCCTTGTGCCAGGTGTTTCACATGTCATCTCCGAGAAGTGATAGTGAGGCTTGAGAAAGGGGAGCGACTGATACATCATATTCTCCGTGAAAGATACAGGGTCTGCAAAAGGGTTCTGAGGGTTCAATTGCAGCACATATCGTATTACTGAAGTATATAAACATATATTTAATCATATTTTTATTTTTATTTTCAGATGTTTAAAACATTTCTTCATAATACATAATGATGTCCAAACCGGCCCCGTCGTATAGACCGAAACCGCGCAGGCACGGTCGAGCACTGATTGACGTCACAATAGTCACTGCGCTCAAAGATAGATCAGATAGACATTCTGAAACTCTAGGCTGTCGAAGCGAAAGTGGCTGATACGAGACATCAATAAGTGGCTGGCACGGAGGTGTTACAAGATTATAATAGATTGTGCATATCATATTATGAATTCATATCTTATATGTAAGGCTTACACCTAACTACCGTATATCCATGAATGGCTTGTGATAAGATCAATAGCTTTGAGGAAAACCACTTATTTATTTGAATGGATACTAAAATCGCTCACCCAACCACTTGTGAGACTGAGCGTGATCAGGCGCCAAGCACAGTATGTGTTAAAAAGGGCCATTGCATCAGCCATTTGAAGTCGACAGAAGTCCCGATTCGGCGACTTTTTTGAGCTGTGGGTCAAAAAAAATGACAAGGATCCCCATAAATATTTATGGTTGTGAGCGAGTGGTTGACCCCTATTGTATTTTTGGGTGTATTGAGTGTATTTATATAATGAAATTTAATAATTTTGACCCATGCCCTAGTAGACCCGAGTCAGGTATGGCTAAATGTACGTACTTGCGCATATAGAGGCTTGCTGCCCTCGGCTGCTGGACCATGGCTTATCGAGCACTGGTACAGGAACATTTTGTGAAATGGTCTTCCAGCAAAACCTTTGGTGAAGGAGATGCTGTTACAACATGTTAACATGTATATTGCACATTACTGCAACATCTATTCTAAGAATTCACAAGAACCATACAGTAGCTGTTTGAGATGATGTTGAACTTCCAAGTGTGGGCCCCACAAACCGAAGACCTTTCTTTCGGCTTCTGCATAGTAGCTCCGCCAGCCGTTTCTGGCGCTCAGCACAACGCTGAGAGGAGCGTCCTCTAGAGAGCTCGTGCGTCTGAAGAGGAGCAGACCTGGGTTGTATCATTGCTGTACTCATACTCTTGAATGATCATGAACTATGTCATTTTATATCACTTTACTGTATTTTGATATAGACATGGATAAATATATATACATACATACATTCATACATGCATGCATGCATGCATACATACATGCATACATACATGCATGCATGCATGCATGCATGCATGCATACATACGACATACATACATACATACATACGTACATACATACATACATACAGACAGACAGACAGACAGACATACATACATAAGTGCACAACACTCATTGCGTTATGATAAATAATTATAGAGAATGTTGTGCTATATACCAGGGTTGATAGGCATCAAGACAGCCCCTTATAGGATTCCCCATCAACTGTAGACCTTCTTGTGGGGATCTTCATCATTTTTCAACTTTCCTTGTGTTCGACAAGACGTGAAGATTGGTACAACGTAGACAACCCGAATTGAGTGGATGGACAGAACAACATACCAGGATCTACCAGGCTCCAGGGTATCAGGTGCCGCTTTGACTCCAAAGACTTTAAGCTTCTCTTTGTTCAGCGCGGAGCTGTCATTAACTCAGTTTCACTGGCTGAGTGACGCAAGCTGATCGCAGAACTGAGACAATAATGACACGGGTCGGGCTTGTTGCTCCTTTGCAAGCTTCCATCCATTAACAACATATTTATATAAGGTATAGTACATTATATGCATATAAACTACAGATACATTATACAATATTATAATATCTTATACATGTATATATCTATAATTGATTATAATTATATGTATGTATACACATATGCTGCACTATTTGTCATGTTAGCTTCAAGTTGAATGTTGGTTGTACTTGTTCCGGCTCCACTTTGGAATCATCTCAGTAAGTTGCCAGGCCAAAAGCAAACCGGTGAACCGGCTCTGAGACGGAGCGGATGGGTGCACAAGAAGGAGCAAAAGTGATGAGGAAGCACTGGAAATGAGTGAATTAAGATTTTGGAATCTGGATTTAGAGAGCCACTGCCATGGTTACCAGATTTATAGGCTTAGAGACATGGCAACCCTCTGAAAATCAGGAAGCCGAAGCACCCAAGTTTAAGTGTTTACCATGAGAATCACCCAAATCAGAAAATCCTGGCGAAGTATGCGCTATTTGAAAAGAGTAGACCCTGCAACACTTTGCCATGAAATACTGCATGTTGCTAGTGCCGCAGACCATTAGCCAGTCTGCACACAACTGGATACTGTGGTCTTTGACAGAATTCATTGCGCAGCACCAACTGTTTAGCAGACCGTGCGGCGCCGTAGTGTTTGGGACTCCATGGAAAATTAGAGGCTTAGAACATCTTGTAATACGCAGTCAAGAAATGGTCAAGACTTAGATTCTTTTTTTTCACCACATGGTGTCCTGAAATGCAGTTATCTCTCCTGTGTTTTGAATTGGCTTTTGCAGTGCCTGTGATGTGCATTGCACCAAGTTTAATCACAGATCCGCTGCCACAAACAGTTTCATCCGAATTACTCCATATCAGCAAAAAGCTGTTGCCACGTTGGTCACTGTCGTCTTTGTCCAACTTTGACAGGAATTTTGGGGTGTGAGGTCATGTGTTCTGGCCTAGCCACGTCAACTTGAAAATCCACGTCCATGATCCGCCCGGTCCAGCCCCTTTCAAGGTGCGCCATAGCTTGCTATAGATAGTCTATCATAGTTCACCAAATACACTTCTCAGTTCAGTTCGCCATGTGGGTGTGTGTCGCGACCTCGTGCGTGCTGGTAATCTTCTTCGCTTTGATCAACGTGGCTGTTGCCCTCCGTGGGCAAGCACACGAGCATGGGCAAGCTCAAGACCGTGGGCATGAGTTCCGTGAGAAGAAATATACCTATGATGATCAGGTGGCAGGTGGAGAGCTAAAGAAGCTCCAGGAAGAATATGCGAAGTACACATCCTTTTCCCAGGAACCTCCATGGTGGGAGCATGGGTTGGAAATGCAGGAAGTTGACTCCAAAGCCAATGCGGATGTACCAGATCATGACATTGCCAACTACAAGGGCCCAACAGTTTACAAGTATGAAGAGTACAAGAAGCCGTCTGATCCCACTTTTCTGCCATATACCGATGTGGTTGACAATACGGAGTCCATCGCGGCCTTTGAAGATGTTTTGCATTTGATGCCAAAAGAAGGCCTTTTGGTCGACATCGGTGGAGGTAGATACGACTCAGCCACCAAGTGGGTGGAAAGCAAGACCAGCATGAACATGATGGTGGCTGATCCTTTCAATCGGCCCGTGGAGCACAACAAGGAAGTACAGGCCTCTGTGGCCAAACACGGTGGTGCTGACATGGTAACTTCCATGAGCGTTCTCAATGTGATTCCAGACTTGCCGAGTCAGATTTGGCATGTTTGGCTGGTCCATCACATCTTGAAGCCCGGTCAACTGGCCATCTTCAAATTCTACGCGGGTTTGTGGCCCATCCGAGGCACCCGAGTGCAGACGGTGTCAGCTCCCTTGGTAGATCCAACAGCAGCCAACTCTCAAGCGCAGAACAATGCCTTTGCGGATGCCTATGTGCCAGTGATCGCCAAGGTCTTTGGGGAAGCCAACATCTTTGCAGATTCCAACCTCAATACCATCTTTGCCCGCAAAGCATCTGACTAACTGCGCCAGAAAAGGCTGCAGCTTTGCAATGGTGGGCATGCTGTTCTGTGGGAGATCTGAGGTTAAATCAACATCCTATCGGGCAAGCCAAATGCTTGAAGTGCGGCCGTACTGTATGTGGCCCTGGAATACCCCGTGCAATATGAAAAGACAAAATCATACAAAATCCATGTTCTGGCAAATCCCGTGAATCTATTCCAGAACGTTGGTTTTCCATGCGATTGGTGATCATTCGTGCATTTGTTGCCAACGGCCAAGGCTTCAATAGAAGCGATCAAGGTCCATGGCACGATGTAGCCTAAACATGCCTAAACTACGTAGCAACTGCAGCCCATTCCTCGAAACGGCTCACCATGGGTTCACCATCATGTCGATGTCGGCCCGAGAATGTTAGCACTTTCAGGCAGGAGTGGATTTCCATCAAGGGATTCAAGGGTGCTTCATCGAAACTGCCAAATTACTAGTTTGTGACAGGAGCGGAAGCTTCATGAGTCATGACACCTATGGTTTTCCAATGGTCCATATGGGTCAATGAACATCGAGCCGTATGGCTATGGATATTATGGATCACAACCGATGGAACATACCATTTTTTGCTGAACAGGAACATTCATTTAAAAATCCCAGCGGTCCCTAAAACATGGTGCTTCGCCAAGCAGAAAAGGCAAGCTTTTCTTTTTTCGGACTCAATGCACCAGCAATGCACCACCACCAGGCAATGCACCAGCACCAGCACCAGCAACGCACCAGCACCGGCATCTGCCTAGAAATGGCTGCCTTCAGTGATGTCGGTGCGATATGTTCCGAAGCCTCCTGCCGTCGACAGGTGAGGGCAGCGGTGAAGCGGTGTTTGATGCTTGGTTGGTAGGTTTAAACATAAAGAAAGTGGGGAAACTCGTGTCAGACATGAAATTTGATGTTGTCATATTATAAGATATTAGAAGTTGATATTGATTTGATAAAGATTGTTGGATTATGTGTTTTTGAGAATTCTGAACGTCTCTTGTGAATTGAGCACATAGGAGTTCAGAGACTGAATTGTGGGCGGCGTGGTGTTTCCACTGCGCATCACAGCTCCCTTGAAGTTTCGCCGAGCTCTGAGTTTGCACCAATTTGCCCAGGATTTTTTGCCCACCTCCTGCTTCGCCTGCAAGCGATTATTTTGCCGTCGCCTTGGTGTGATACCTGTCTCGCTGTAGGGGCAGATTGAATCCTGCTGGAGTATGAGGTGTTTCAGCCCAAACGGATCCAATTGTTTCAGTATTGAACACTATCCATGGATACCTCAAACCTAGCTGCAAATTTCACAAGAGGTGAACGATATCAAAAACCAGTGCAGCTGTCTCAGGTCAAGAGCATTATCGCCCAGTGCTTCACAGTTGCGATGCACTAAGGGAATCCCCGCCTCTTGAGGCCAACGGGATTTTGGAAGCGCTGCCTGGGACATCTCAGATCTACTCCGCTGGCAGGACTCCCCAAGTCCCAAGCGCCGCCAGCCATGTGCAGCGTGGGCGCCTGAGGATGAGGAATTTTCATGTTCCAGCTGTGTCCAGCTGTGCAGTTCTGATCTCGTTGGAGGCTATGTTTTGATATTCCATGATATTCCATTGCCATGGCAACACATGGCAACAAGAAGAGACATTTCTCCAGAAAGTTTGGTAGTGGCATTTGCTCATGCCGGCTCCTTTATTGGGAAGCTTATTGCTGACGGGGCATGGGATCATGTTCCATTGCACTGACTGGATCACAGCTGACTCAGACCTTGCAGGCCGGGTTGCAAGGAGCAGATCAGCGTGGGGCAACCCCAAGTTGTGATGACTTGAAGTGGTGTGGCAAAAAATAAGGATATGGACCCTATCATTTGGGATGACTGGTGGTTTCAAGCACTGTACTTTTAATTTTGAGCAGCATACCGTAAGAATTACCTGTAATGATGTTGCCTATTGTTACGGGAAACCACCAAGCAGATTGACAAAAGATCCTTGCCCACCAGTTTTCGGATCAGACCAACTTTAGCGCGCCACACAGCATTTCGGCTGAGTCAGTGGCAGACAGATCAGTCAGAGGCAACATGTGAAACATCATTTTTGGATGGTCCACATCACATAACGAAAGTCGCTAGAGACAAGACCTTTGAAGATTTGGCTCATGGACACAGGTTATGCTGGGTCATTCCAGTGTCATTCCAGTGTTGTCACCACACAACGTGCTGTGTGATTCCCTAAACATTGGTGTTTTGCTTGTCAACTCGAACCCAGAGTTCCAAAAGGCCAGGGAGCAGAAAATCCAGGACTGTTTTGGGCGTGTCGCGACTTCTGAAACTTTTCTCGTTTCTTCATTGTAGCACCATTCCTTTAGATTTTGAATGGCACCTCCCACTTGAAACTGAAAAGGTATGGCAATTCTCCTGTGCACTCACTTGCATTGAGGTGAAACCTTTGATTGAACAGGATTTTTAGATATTTTTAGATCTTAAGATGTTCCAACGAAAGCAAAAGTTTCAAAGGGTATCAGAAGGTTCTCTGTCCTCCTTTGAAGGAATGGCGGTGGTCGGAAGCCCAGGTTCTACTGGACCGGCTGAGAAGAGTAGGATGAACCAAGCGATCAAATCTCTATGATCCAGTTCTTTGACGCAAGCTGTTCTTGTGTAATTACTTTAGTGACTTTAATACACCCGTTATATATGGCGCATATGGCTCAGAGGCCTATTGGTACATGTGCTGAGGCTCTCCCGGCAGCGACATGCCAAGGAGGTCCAAGAGGATGCCCGTGCACACAGGCGCGGCGTGATGTTCAAAGCTTCACAGAATCTTCAACGCCAAATCTTCGTGAATGCTGCTGCCACATTATTTCATACACTGTATAACACATTTACAATGATATACAGTATTATGTGTATATATATATATGTGTGTGTGTACATTGGCATACTTGTATATCTTGTACTACACATAGGTTCATATAATATCATATCATATCATTTCATACCATATACGATATACCATGTACGAGATACCAGATACGAGATACCAGATACGATATACCATGTACGATATACCATGTACCATGTACTATATGTTATATCATATCTCATATCATATATCAAATACCATATAATCATATACCAGTATCTAATATCTAACATCATATATGACATATCATATATCATATATCATATATCATATATCATGTATCATATCATTTGGTTTTACTTATTGGAGAATCTTGGAGATACGGGCACTAGAAACATCCATGCGCAGATAGGTCGCGACGACCAGCTCTTGGGCACGGCCCTCCCAGATGTTGCCCTTGGGCATGGCGACTCGGCAAGACTCTTACCATATCTTACCATGTTTTCATCATTCATCATTTCATTTAAATATACATACATATACATATATATATACTGTATATATATAAGTATGTATATATATATATTATATATTAAATATATATATATATATTATATATATTACATATATATATATATATATATTATATATATATATATATGTGTATGCATGTCTCATCATGGTTTATGGCCACTTTATCTTCCCATTTTATCATTACCAGCTGCAGCCAGCTGCAGCCAGCTGCAGCCAGCCGCGCCGAGTCCGTCGCCGCCTTTGGCGCTACGGCCAGTCTGTCGCGTCGCGGCGCCCGAGCTCAACGAGCGCCCAAAGTGATGACGAAGGTCGAGTTTCAAGTGGGTTCTGATGAAAATTTTCAGGACATTTCAAGGAGTTTTTTTTAACTACCTATATAACCAAGTGACCCCCCAAAAGGTTGATCGTTTCATGATCCTTATACGGGATTTACATGGATTTACCATACTGACTATACCCCAACTAGCATCGACCCTGCCAGATCGGCGTTGGAAGACTACTTTCCTATCAACATTGGCAACTATCAGGATCTATGTTATCTGGGCAAATGATAGACAACACACATGGGGATCTGACAGACAGAAATTCTTCTTTAATGAAGAAAGAGGTGGGGATGTGTGAAACGAAGATGGGGATGTAAATAATGTAGGCAACAACGGAGGATTCTCCGATCATCACAGGGTGATTTTCTCTCTGCTTCAGTTGCAGATAGAGAGTAGAAAACCAGGAGTTGTTTGTTCATTTTGATCCACTCAGAAGATCTCCACAGATGATAATTTCCTAGCTTGACCAAGAAATCAACCCAGAGAATTTTGTCATTATATGGACTGCATATTTTGCGGTAGCCAAATATAAATGACAAGCGATAATATATCCAAGCCAAATCTACTTGTTCTTAGCACGCAGGTTACTCATAAAATGTGTCAAAATGTGAAGGTGAAAGTCAGGGCACTTCTGCCGTATGAGCCATGCTGTTTTTTTTCTGCAGCAGATGTTCAAAAGGCAGCAAAGCTCATGCTTATTCCCTCTCTCACTACCTTTCACTGTTCGTACCCTTTTGTTCTCCCCTTCACACGCAGGCTACTACAAATGCTGCCTTACAGAAGCTGGATGGCCTGCTCCAGTGTCTTGTCGATGTTAATGGCCAATGAGATTAGATGGGAGGTTTCCTGAGTTCGGGGCAAACTTGCGGGACCCCCAAGCCCCCAGACCACTTGGGGTTTGCGACAAAAACACAATTTTGGGTGGATTGCTGGGATCCAAGCGTTCGACCACGGATGTTGCTCTTTCATGAGATTTTCATTGGTCAAGTTCCTGTATTTTGTTGGCTAACCATCATCATTTTGTCAGCTTAGCCATCATTGGATAGATGAAAGGAATCATCCAACCTTGATCCGCGATGGGAAGCACTCAGGCGCGCCCTGCAAGCAGAGTTAGACCAAGAGTCCACCAGAACCAGAGCTGAGGCCTGACCGGCCGTGGTTGCCGATGATTTTCGGAAGGTTCATGCCAGGACTAAGAAATTCCAATGAAGATGAGGGGTTCCTCAAAGTTGTGAGAGTGTCACATGGGCAGCCGGCTCGAGCACAGCGCAAGCCATGGATCCCGCACTGTGGGTGCCCTCAAATGTTGCAGGGTCCCCACCTGGGCTCAGAGCACGGCCATTCGGGCAGCGCCTCAACGCTCCGGCGCAGTGTGGCACCAAGGCCATTGCTATCCCAGTGCTAGTGGCTATCTCCCAGCGCGGCAGGCGACGGCGTGTTGCTCGCCATGCGCAGACTGCAGAGGTGGATAGAGCACCCATCGTGGCAGCTTGTTGTGACGACCCTGCAGTTTGTTCACATGACAACCCCTGGCATGGCCCAGAGAGTGCAGAGCTACTCCCAGTGACTGTGTTGTCGGGCTTTCTGGGCTCAGGCAAGACAACGCTACTGAAGCGGATCCTGCGCTCAGCCAGCACTGAGCTGAAAGATGAAAAGGAAGAACCTGCTAAGGTGGCTGTGATCGTGAATGATATGGGTGAGGTGAACTTGGATGCATCAGAGATCAAGAACTCTAAGCTCATCCAGGAGGAAGCCACCATGGTGGAGATGCACAATGGCTGCATTTGCTGCACACTGCGTGGTGACTTGCTGAAGACAGTGAAGGCGTTGAGTGAGGAGAAGGCATTCGACTACCTGGTCATTGAGTCTACAGGTATCTCAGAGCCACTGCCAGTGGCGCAAACTTTTACAATGGATGTGGATGACCTGGAGGAGGGCGAAATGGAGGAGATGGAGGATGGCATGGAGGATGGCATGGAGGACCACATCCAAGGGCCGGACATGGAGCAAGATGCGGATTACGAGAGCTTTGAGGATGAGGCAGATGTTGAGGCCTATGAGGAGGGTTTGGAACTGAAGTCGCTGTCCCACTTTGCACGACTGGACACGATGGTGACAGTAGTAGATGCGCTGAATATCTACGATGTTTTGGCCAGCCTCGAGACCTTGGCCGAGAAGAACATCGCGGGTATGGCTGGCAACGACGAGGAAACCGATGACCGTAGTATTGCGCAGCTAATGCTGGACCAAATCGAATTTGCGAATGTGATCTTGCTGAGCAAAGTGCACCTGATGAAGGATGCCAGTGCTGTGGAAGAGATCCGTGCATTGCTCCAGAAGTTGAACCCTTACGCCAAGGTCATTGTGCCTTCCCAACCGCATTTCGCAGATGTCCCACTCAGCGATTTGATCAATACCCGTTTGTTTGACATGGACAAGGCGGAGTCTTCTGCAGGGTGGATGCAGGAGCTGGCGAAAGCTGCAGATGGTGGCCACACGCCTGAAACCGAGGAATACGACATCTCCAGCATGGTCTTCCGCTGCCACGAACGACCCTTCCACCCTGGCAGGCTTGCAGAGGTGCTCGCAGGTTTTGGCAACTACGCGAGTAGCGTGGCTTCAAAAGAGAATCTGGACTTGAGTTTGAGGTAGTTTTGGAATGTTTTTGAGGCATTTTGATGTCCTTTTGACACCTTTTGACCCCTCCACCACTTGCAATTCGGTTGTCTTGTGCGGTCCTTGCCATTCTCAGGAAGAAGTCGGCACATGGCGACAGCGTGTTCTCGGGGGTGGTTCGTGCAAAGGGGCATCTATGGCTGGCCAGCGCCGATGCACGGCCAATCGATCTCCATGTTGCAGGACCGTGAAGCCTAGAATGACATGAAGAAATGCTGTTCATTCCCAGACCCTAGTACCACACCTCAAAAATCACATAATTATAAAATATTACAAAATAAAATAAATACGTATAATAAAATCTGATAAAATCAAATACTATATAATATATATATATAATATATATAATATATTAATATATATCAATAGATTTTTTTAATCATGAATCATTGCCATCAAAGGAGCCCACAGCAACCCATCCAAAAGCCCGATGTTTTTGGGCGAAGGCCGGCACGTACAGCTGGGTGCTTCGGAGATGCCATTCCTTGCAGCTGTGCCCAGGGAGGAATGGGACGACGCCTTTGAAGATTATCATCGAGACTTGGCCAATGGGACGACGTCAATGGTTATGGCTTGGATTTTTTTGGGGAAAAAAGCAAGTCTGCTAATCTTATCCACTCTTATTTTGATTATCTATTGATATATAGTTATGTTGACCATGTATCTCCGATTTTGGCGGTTAACTGGTATGTATTTCTTGAGCCATATCAATTGGCTGCCCAGCTTCTTTTCGCGACCATGAGTCTTACACCACGAATCACCGCTAATTGACCATCAATGAGAGACGACTGGTTGGTGGTTTCAATGGTTGACTACTCAGAGGGTTAAAACAGAAACCATCGACCAGATAGATACGTTGGACAGGTGGACAGGTAGTAGATGGTAGTAGGATATGATCTCTCTTTTTCTTCCACGTTTGGAAATGTTTGGACCATTTTGAATCTGGGTGGCCTAGGCATCACCTGCGACTAAGGAGAGCTGCTGGAGGGGGGCTCATGGCACGATGCGCACGGCGACCGTGGAAGCATGCTGGTCTTTATCGGCGTAAAACTCGACAAGGCGGGGTGATCCTTCAAAGCTGACCTGTTACATCCTGTTACACGTTAGTAACATCCCCATATCTGAAGGTTTGAAATTCCGGTGCTCCCACATACATATACATATATCATCATATATCATATATGTATATATATATACATATTATATATTATATATTATACATTATTTATTATTGATTATATATTATATATTTTATGCTATATACTATATACTATGTTATATATATATTATTATATATTATATATTATATATTATATATTATATATTATAGATTATATACTATATATTATAGATTATATACTATATATTATAGATTATAAATGAAATATTATATATAATATATTATATATTATATATAGTATGATATATATATTTTATATTATATATTAATATATTGATATTATATATATATACACACATATTAAGTATCACAATGTAAATATAATATGTATATATAGACATATACTCTGTATATCTTAAAGTATACGTATATATCATATATATATATATACATATGTATGTATCTTAGATATTTATCAATTACCCACATATCTCAAAGTTCCCAGAAGCATTGTTCCTGTGTGAATTGTAGCAGATTAGGATGAGGTATGATGCAGAAGTTTTGCACCATGAAGCACCGTTTCAAACATGATTATCCCATTCTCTCTTTGGGCTGATTCTGAATTGACAGGCAGCTTTGGGATGTTTGGGGATGTTTTGTAGAAGAAAATCTTCCGAACTCTCTGCAATCTTGACAGTTATTCTGAAACTTACAGCATCTTCACAGATTGAGCTATATATTGAACTTTCTTGTATGCTATCGCTACTTTTTGCAAGGCAGCTTTTTGTTTTTCGGTTTATTGAGGCCAACTGCCGCGACAGTCCCCACCATACTATCGTCCCGAAGGGTACCACTTCCTGGCGAATAGTCTTTGGAAATCTTTGGAATGTGAATCCCAACAGCTTTTAACGACCAGTACATCCACTAAGCCTCCATAAACTCCAGAATCATGCCTGGGAGAACCAGGGTAACTCTGTTTGACTGTCCAAATCTGCTGGACGAGGTGGGCATTGGAGCAAAGCTTGAAGATGCGCTGCTTACGGATAAAGAGATGGCTGAGGGGAAAGCAGGATGGAAGGCACAGAAACACTGGTTGAGCAATCGAAAAGAGGTTTCATATTTTGCGAAGAGCTAAGAGCCCTAGACTTTCAAAACATGTGCGTCGGTTCCTCCCCATTTGTTGGTTTTTTGTGGGGCCATATAGGGTTTGCAGACTTTGTAAAGTGTACAGGTGTATTACTGAAGGGTGTAAGGCCAAGGTTTCAGTAGAGACTTTTGTGCAGCTTGTGACCGTTGATCCGGCGCAGGCCTTGGAGGATCCATTCTTTGGTGGTGAATACTTTGAGGCCTATGAACACCTCGAGGAACCCAAGATGGTGATCCTGGAGGAGTAGAAACCCTGCCATATCCTGCCATCGGCGAGTGGTGGTTTTCTGAGCGCAAAGACGCGATTTAGTTCGGAGATGTGCTGATACCTGCCCAAAGATTGAGGCCATCCATAATCCTCATAACCGTGTTGAAGCGTGTTGAAACTGTCGAAGACATCCGAAAGTGAATTCGCCTCAGGCAGGTATCAGCCAGTCTTGATCTTTGTGCAGCTTTGAAAGATCGATGTGTTGGTGGTTTAAGTTTAGTAAAACCGTACTTTGGAGAAAGTGAGCCGGATAACAAAAACACTGATTTATGTTGCGTTGGATGTGAAACGAACGACGTCTCTTTCCGCACTCTCTACAAGAATACCAGGTCAATGGTCTGGGGGATTATGAATTCGTTATTCTTTGCGGAGTAATTTGCTTGCCAACATTGCGTTATCATTTGCCAAGCCCAGATCCGGCAGGTGGAGTCAGAGGTCACCACCATGTGCCTGGGAGAATCGCTGAACGGGGGAGTTCCTGGAGTTGTTCCAGTGGTCGTCGCATGTCGTCGCTAAGCCAACCAGCGGCCGAGGCTTGACGCCGAGCTGCGGGGCAATCTGCGTGGCTTCGCATCGGCCGAGAAGAAGGTCAACTGGAAAATGGCTGGGATGCAGCAGAGGTTCCTTATAGAGGATATATAAACACACATGCACAGTATATACACATGGTTTGTAATATATATTTTATAAATTATATTATTATTATTATATTATTATTATTAGTAGTATTATTATTATTAGTATTATTATTATTATTTTATTTACTGTATGTTATGTTATATATACATATATATATATATATGTATCTAATGTGTACATGCGGTCCATAAACATCCCCTTTTTGGTGGTTAACCACTATTTAACCCGGAAAACGTGACGTTGAAACACCCCGAGCTGGAAATTATAGACGTGTTGCAGCAGTTACTAAAGCTCTCTGACTTCCCAGCACGACTGAGAATGACAGATTTGTCATCTGCAGAGTTGCCCATTGAACCACGTTGCCAATGGTGCCCTGCTGATCACAACTGTGCCAACCAGTGAAGGTGGCAAAGCGGTTGTACTCTTTGGAGGACTTGCCGATTTGAGCAATGGAGGGTACAAGCTGCAGGCTGTGTCACGCTCAAATCCTTGTGGTTCAGAACCACTGCGATGTGGAGGGACTGATGGGGTCATTTGCAGCCAAATCTTCAGGAAATGAAACAGAATGGTGTGGATGCAGCTCAATTTCTGATTCTTGGCTGCATTTTTTCTTGAATGGTTAAAGCTCCATGTTTCATGCACGTCCTGAATGACAAGCCAAACGAAATGCACACAGCTGGCACTTCACTCCACTTGATCAGTGAAGTGTCTTGGAACCAAGGAATCCTCAAGATAGTACGCTGGACTTGTTGAAGACAGTCATTGTTGGAGGCCGTCTGTTTGGATTCGTTCATATTCGTTCCAAAAACTTCATTTCCGTAATCTCGCAGAATCCCAATGCTGCACGGTCTTATCAACTATGAAATCTCATGCCTGTTGCCATCCCATGGTGTGACATCAATCTGCCATGGAGGGTGCGGTTGGGGTTATCAATGGGATTTTAACGCCCATACGTTGGGACATAAGACATACATAAATCCAATACCTGGACATATATATATATATATATGTATACATATATAATGTTAAAGTTACGTGTATGTATGCATGTATGTATATATATATATATATGTATACTACATGTGTATGTAAATAAGTATATTCTATAAACAAAATACATCCAGCACTTAGTTCACTTAGTTCACTTCACGCGTCTGGGTAGTCCGCCCAGTTGTGGCCTTGGGTGGTGCGGTCTTCATCTTGGCAGCGAAGCCTGGTCCGGGCGTGGTGATTTTCATGACACTGCTGGGGCTTTCCGTGCTCTTTTTCGATCAGGTGGTCGCCGTAGCTGCCGATGTTGACGTTGAGCAATTTTGGAAAAAAGGGCCCCAATATGAAACACTGGTGAACATAGATGATATGGATCTAGAATGATCTAGATATCAGAGTGATTCAGATGATGTCATTTGGGTGAAATAGCCAATTAGAAAGGTTGGATGGGAGGAAATTACTATCAAAAATTTCGTTCCCATGGCAAATAGGATGAACTGTTGCACGCTGCGATGAGGTTGAGCGTCACAACCTTTACAGATTATGACTTTCCAAATCTCCCAAAAAGCACGTGTGCAATCAAACTACTCATGTGAAGTGAAGAAGACAGAAGTGTAATTCATTCTCCGATATTCTGTGTATTTTGTTCATGATGAGGCATGTGAATCGGGCTATTCATGGATTCATCATGATTCATCATGCTTTCAGCCGTCCATATTTCCACGCTGTGCATTATCAGAAGGACTAGTGTTTGACACCCCATTGCCAAATAGTTGTTTTGTTGTTGCTAGTGGAGTGTCGCAAAACTGATCCATCTGATCCCAAATCTCATGAGCGTCAACGCTCGAAGATATATCTGGGGCACCCAGCAGACTTGGGACGGCCGCAGGTCATCAACAGAGGATTCGGCCCTTACCTCGGCAGATATTTTCAGATCTTGGGTCGCAGAATCAAATTGCTGCGTACAGTCCAGCAATCAAAAGGCCCAGGAGATTGCGCTTGCGCTCTTTACGGAGTTCTGAAGCAGCTCCAGACGGATCATGTTGCTTGCAGCCTGCTGGCATCTCCTCATCCCAGGTGAGTTGTTGCTGCTGGATTCCCTGGGTCGCCTGGTGAGCAAAGAATATCCTCAGCGAGTGGCCTGTCACGAGGCGGGTCACTTCCTGGTGGCCTACCTCCTGGGTGTCCTTCCCAAGGCACGTGGGGATGTGGGGTGTCAGATGATGTCAGATGTCATCAGCTTTTAACTGGCAGGGTCTTTTGATTTTGGATTGTGAGGAAATTGTGAGGTGTATGCAGGAAGTATCAGGAAGTCATTTTCAAGCAGATGATGAAGTTTGGGGTCACAGGACCTGTTTCATGCAACTTCTACATCATAACTTGATATAACTTGTACATCATTTGGGTGTGGGCCAAAATTTAAGACCCCTGAGGCCACAGGTTCCTTTTTCGCTCTGAGGTTGAACCAGGTCCAACCAAGCCAGTCGAACCAACTGCTTGGCCTCCCTTGGCCCATCTTGGCCTCCAGAGGCCTACACCTTGGGAGCTTGGGAGGCATTCTCCAAGTACAATTCCATGTCTGTCCAGGCAGGCACCACCTTCCTGGACCAGGCGGACCTGGGTTGCCTGGGTTGAGAGCACTAATCACATTCAGAAAGTGTTATGAAGTCTCATGCTGCAAAACATATTTTTGTTGTGGTTTTGAAGCTAGCTTCAATTTGCTGCGGCTTTGAAGTGATGCCATTTGAATCCATTTGATGTATTTGTTCGGTTGGCCTGAAGCCACCAGATCAAAACCTGGTGCATGTCGATGGCTATGAAATCTATGAACGCCAGGCAATCCAAATGGAGATGCAGTCGGGACAAATCTCTGGCAAGACATTGGTATCTTGGCTGAGTGGGCTGAGTATTGTGTTGTGACCTGGGCTTCAACATAGCAGGTCCAGTCGTGTGCTGCGTCCATTGACGGCCTAAGGACAACTTCGTTTGTGCGGCTTGATTGCACGAAAGCCTCCTATCCAGTCCCAATCAATGAACTAATTGGATATATGATGATATATGATATATGCCACCAAAGTTGAAGGGACCCGATATTCCTTGTAATAATGGTGGTTAATTTCCCATGGCTATACATACCAATTGTTTTCTTTGAATGGCCATGATTCAAACCATTATTAATCATCATGAACCCATCAACCCATTCTTAGCCATCATTAAATAAACCATCATATGAACTGTTATATAACCGTAACCATTATATAGATGTAACCTTCATTATATAACCATGATTATATAACCATTCATATGACCCGTCATTAAGCCATTCTTCACCGACGACTTGCTCACGAAGGTGGCCCTTGGTGGCATCGCAGCTGAATACGTGACCTACGGCCAGGCCAATGGCGGCATGTCGGACATCATCCAACTGGAGGAGCCATGGGACCCGCTGGTGGTTTGGGGATGTTCAATCATCTGGAATGGATGCGTTTTTTGTTTGCAAAATGGGATTTAACCCATTTAATCGATTTGGATCAGTTAGGTATGAAATAATTGATGTTGTATGAATTGTTGTAAAGACATATATGATCAAAAATGGGTGTGTCTCAAAATAGGAGACGCGCAGCAGCCATTTCAACAGGGAACATGATGATCAGCCAGAAAAGTTTGGGGGGTAATCGGATAATTTAGTACTAATTTAGTTTGATTCAAGCCCATGTATGGAGAAATCATGATATGATGGCACATTATTGAATACAACCCACAATGATATGGTGATTGCGGCATGGGCCCATCGTTTAAGGGATCAACATCCACCAAGTGGTTTTGCTGTGAGCTACAGGGTTTGACCCAGACCCACGTGGATCAATATCAAGGGACGTCGATAGCACAGTACAATTCCTCAATATATAAATGGATGAAAAATTTACAACATATTACAAAGGAAGAATGGTGATCACCCTGGTGGAACCCGGAGAATTCACCTGCGACATCTGCAATGGCTCACCGTGGTCCACGGTCAGGCCCTTTTTGAAGCCCTCAAGTTTGACCAGCAACAGACAAACGTTCTGTTGCGCACCAGTGTCATGACCCTCGCCACAGCTGTTCTCGGCCTTGGGAATCCTTGGGATTGGCAGATTGGGATCTCCAAGCTCTGGTAGATACAAGATGATACTATAAGATACTATAAGTCTATAAGTAATATAGGCCCAAAAGCATTGAATTCATTCGAATTCCACAGAATGGATGGGAAAGGACGGGAAAGGCATCCTCCAAATTCATCCGAATCCCGGCTTTGGACCATGAAATACAACACTGCAGGCTTCTTGGAGCGGTTCACTGTTTGATCTGAGGAACACGGTGGCAATCATCAAAGAGAAGCAAAAAGCGCACACAGCGTTGGTGGATGCTATGTCCCGTGGTGAGTCTGTTGGGCGATGTATTGAAATCATCGAACAAAGCCTGTAGATTCACACAATTGCTTGAAATACCAAAGCGTCGGCAGTGTCAAAAATCCACGACCAGATTAGGTACAAACCCAAAAAATGAAAAGCATGTTTGATAGTGTCATTTCAACTTGAGTAATTCATGCTGGATTTGAAGCACTGTTCGTTTTTACAGGCAGCCATTTGAGTGCTGCTTGGTGCATCTAGAAGCATCTCTCCTATATCTCCTATCTATCCGTTTGGACATGGGGACTGGAGTGTGGATCAGCGAAAGGCTGTTCTGCAGCCGTCAGACTTAGGAACCTGATTTGTTTTTCAGAGAAAAAGGCATGGCCTTGGTCTTTTCTCAATGCCTGTGCCACGAAGACATGCATATTTAGGTGTATTATACAGGCAGATGTTGAAGACGGTACCGGTGGTATAAAATACAGCTGTTCCCTTGTAAAAAAACATTCAGGTGAAGGTGGTACCTTTAGCGTTTAGTATGCGTTTCACAGACATTGGATTATACATGCCAGACCTTGGATCATCAAAATAGAAAGACATGCAATTAAAATGAATGGACATGAATACAAGAAGCAAGAACATAAATGCAAAATGAAGGAAAACAATGCCACTTGTAAATGAACAAAAGCAATGCGAATGAATGGAAAATAAATGCAAGTACAGTAGGTGGTGAAAGGTGCGCCTGTTCAATTCCCAAAAGGTCTGCCTAGCCGGAATTCCGTTGGGAGAAAGAATCAGTAGCTGAGATTTTTTCTCATGTTTTAGCTGCTCATTGTTTTCACAACAAGTGCCAGCTCAAGTGGAGCAATCTCGCTTCAGAAGCTCGTGGCGAGCTCCTGGACAAACCATATAGACTGACCTCGTATAGACCTCGTAGCGGACCTCGTATAAATGCATCCTTTTCTTTCCTTTTCCACCACAGTTTTTGATATGCAACCCTTCTGTCCAAACCTGACTTGTGAATCCGGAGTTCCAGTCTGAATTTAAACACACTGCGCATGAGATTCTGGCAAGAGTAGTCTTGAGAAGCGGAGTTCACATGGGGATTGGCTCAAGTGGTTTGGGCAGGTCTGAAGCATCAGTAAAGGCCAGCATTCCATGGGAACGGTGAGTGATCAACCAAATATGTTTAGTAGTTTGGGTACCGGCGTTCCATTGGAAAGAGGCTTCTGGAAGTGAGTGCTTTCACGTCTACCAACCGTAAGCGTTAAAGCGTTTCCATTGGGTTTCATAGTCCAGGTCCTGCCTTTTCTGACTTAGCCGTGACCACGGCGTTCCATGCAGGAACACATATTCTAGCACCATCGGTCCTGCCTTCAACGTCCACCTGTAATGATTCATATGTATATACCTAGCAAGATATGTTTTCTTTTGTATACACGTTCTACAGTATTATGCAGATAGATATCTTGCGTGTGTGTGCGGTCCACATTGGTATTATGTGCAGGGCTGGACGCATTGCATCGACGGGATGTGTGGATCGCATGGGTTGATAGTTGGAAAAGTTGGATAGCAGATAGATGCGGATAGAGTCAGTACGAATAGGCAGCTGAAGCTGGATGAGAAAATCGTTGAACAGACAGATCAGGTAAACTGGAACCGAACGGATATCAGTGGACAAATGAGATTAGACACACAGACAGCAGGGAGGCAGCGAGTTGGGCGAGTTAGAGAAGTCTGATGCTGGAAAGATACTGGTAGGGCGTAGTGAAGCTTCCCCAATCTAATGGCCATGTGCAGAAATTCTCATTGCGCGACGATCCCTGGCCAAAGGAATACACATCAATTTGTGAGCCAGATTGGATCAGCACTTCGTTCATCCCTATTTCCATAGCCTTATCCCCCTCCTTCACAGATGCCACTGCTTGCCACTGCTTGCCACTGCTTGCCACTGCTTGCCACTGCTTGCCACTGCTTGCCACTGCTTGTCACTGCTTGTCACTGCTTGCCACTGCAAGCTCTGAGGCGCACAACGCTTTGCAGTGCCAAAGATGTGGTCAGGCTGGTGATGCAAAACCTGTACTGCAGAAGTGCCATAGGATCTTGTTTTTTTTCTACTGTAATATCTTTTGCGACGACCAGCAGTATGCGCAGATGGTTTGTGTCCACCACCGCTTTGAAGACCAGCATCCTTGCGTGGACTTGGAGGCTTGGAGCATTCCATTTCTGTATTGATGTTTGTTTGGAAGTTCCCTTGCGGGTGCAGGAAACTTGTGGGGAATGACTCAAGGTTCTGAGGCTAAAAACAGGGGATGCTTGATCATGTTTGATCATGTTTGATACTGAAATCACGTCGGGCAATTACACCTCAGGCGGTAGAATGTCACGGGGCTGTTGGGCGCTGAGGCCGCAGTGAAGGAAGCCTTGAAAGTTGCTCGAAAGTCCTTGAGGCAGAGTCAAATGACTCAATCATTGTCCCGCCGAAACGTCTCAAAGCATCCAAAGGTTTCCAAAAGTGTTTCTTAAGTCTTAATTAGCCATTAGCCTTAATTGCTTGCATTTGCACTCATGTGCTTGAGCTGATGGTGCATGGCCTTTGTTCGAAGATGTTCGAAGCAGTGCCTGGCTTGCCCATCAGTTGAACCTCCCTGCAGCTGTTGCACCTTCTAGGCAAGAGGAATTCGCAGAAGCAGTGCGAACTTTGGGAAAAGTTTTCGGCAATGTCAGGTGCCAAGATGTGCAGTGCAGGTGCAGATCACGCTTGAAATCTGCAGACTTGTCTGTTGTAATTCTAGCCATTCAGAGCCCAGCCCGCAGTGGGTGCGGACTGCCCTCAAACCCAGATCCTGTCGCAGCCGAAGAATGAGAAATATCGGAGCTTGAGAAAAGACAATGCAGTGGTGAAGGCTGGGACTGGATTTCTGATGTCATTGCCAGTGAAGGAGACACAGCTGATTACTTGATTTACTTGTTGGCAGTGCTGCTTTGCACCTGCATTCTTTTGCCATAAAATCCGTTTATTTGTTCATATATAATTGTTTTGGTAGACTTTCGGTACTTATAGGATATTATAGGATTTTATAGGATATAAACATGTATGCTAAATTAATATGATATTGTATATGACACTATGCTAAGCATACAATAGATCCATGCAGAAAGCCAAATTTGATCTAGTCTGTTCTTGGATCAATGTCCTTTGCCACCCCAAACTTCTGCCCAGCAGGAGAAACTAAAGCATCCCTCCTGCATTGCATCACTGCAGCTGTGTGCCTCAGACATGTTTCAAAATGTCGAAAGACATCATGCCCAGGATTCGTTGACAGACATGGATCATTCAACAAGACTAGAAACGTTTGCAGCCCAATCAATCAAGCCTCCGTGTGTACACAAAACTCAAGATCTGGACGACACGGCGTCTTTCCTTGGCAGGTGGATTTTTTGACGACGGCGATTTTTTTGCAGCTGCCTTAAACGTTCAAGGAAGGTTATGACTGGCTTATTAGTGTAGCGGAGGCATGACGTTGATTTCGGAGGTTTGCTTTTACAATTTCCACAGAATTGTTTCATGAGGAATCATGAGCGTGGTTGCTATTTTAGATTATTTTAGCATATGTCAGCAAGGCCATGCAAACGAACATAAACTTACGTTGTTTCATATTACTGTATATTTTCATAATATGGGATCATCCTAAGTGGTTTATTCTGGGGACTCCAAGAAAGCAACCCCTATCAACTCAGAAGCCCCGGGCTCCGCTCAGGTTTGCCCAGATTCCAGAGCCATACGCTCAGATATCGGGTCAGGGTTTGTCTGAAAATAGGGTATAGCTCCAAATTACATCAAAATTCATGGTTTAGAACCTCATGATTTCAAAGATATAATCTGTCCTATTGACATTGCCATTTTCATTGGAGTATGTTCATGTTCCCCAGACGGATCCGTGCCTTTGCTGGGAAACTCCACTGTGGGGCTTAAGGACCTGACCACTATGCGGCGGGTTTGTGGTCTGTTGAAGGTGTGGTCGCCCGAGATTTGATATTCCACGATATTCCAAGAGTGTTTGGATCGGATTGTGTACTACATATAAATTGAATTAAATTAAATTGATGGTCCACTCTGTTTATTGTTTCGACGTTCAGACGTTTTATGAGAATGCTGCTATCCGGCTGCTATCCAATCCCTATAATATCCATGTCCCGGATGCCACTTTTGTACATGCCGCGGCTGCGAGAGGAAGTGCCTCTCACGGAAGGTGCACCTTTTGCCGCAGGGCCATTGTTTGGTGGTGATCTATCAAGGAGCAGATCAGTACATTTGGGTGTGTTTGAACATGTTTGAACATGGGTATACGGATGTATACGGTATACCCCCAATTCATGGCCAATGGATTGTCCCCACATTTTCAGTCAGGCCGTTTGGTTAGTTTTAGGGTCCGGTCCTGATATCATAGCACGATATGCCCTGCCACTGGCTGAATCTCTCAGGTTTACAAAAGGAGACAAGCTGACTCCCCAAATCTACAAACTCAATGAAAAGCACAACTTGCAGGTTGATTCACGACGTTTGCACCATTGCCTGCAGGTGTTCGGATCGTGGATGGAGTCATTATGCGCCCACCAAAGGCACCAGAACGGTTGCGCTACGGTTGGTTCATGGTCTCGTGGATTGGAACTACCAAGCTCACCGCAGAAATGCTTGCTCAAACAATCGATAAATTAACCGATAAATCAATCGATAAACCAATCAGTCAGTCAGTCCGCCAGTCAATTAGTCAGTCAATCAATCTATCAATCTATCAATCTATCTATCAATCTATCTATCTATCTCTCTATCTCTATCTCTATCTCTATCTCTATCTCTCTATCTATTTGTCTGTCTGTCTGTCTGTCTGTCTATCAATCAATCAATCTATCAATCAATCTATCTATCAATCTATCTATCTATCTATCTATGTATGTATGTATGTATTTATATATTCATATATATATATATATATATTCATATATTCAAATATTTATATGTTATTTATGTATATATATATATAATTATATTTATATTTATAAATTTATAAATTTATAAAATTATTTATTTATCTATTTAGATATATTTATATTTATATATTTATACATTTTTATTTTTATATATTTATATATTTATATGTTTATATGTTTATATATTTATATATTTATATGTATATATTTATGTTTATATATATATATAGAGTTATTTATATATTATATTAGTCACATAGTTCTGTATAATTATTATTCTCTACAATAAATATATATATATATAGATACAGTATATGCATAGATAATACCAGTTTTTCCTCATTGCAACTACAATGGTCCGTAGTAAAGGTCTGCAGCAGATGGCAAAGACAAAAGCGCTAGTCATAGGTAACCTTGGAGCATTGCCTTGACCATGTTCCACGAGACGGAGACGTGTCAAAACCAAACATTTCGATAATGGGCAGATGCTACTTGTCAAATGGTCCATTACTGTTTTACTGTACAATTTAACTATATATACTCTGTTCATTTTGGGATTTTCAAGAGGGCACCCGGTGAACTGACCCATACTTGGAGGTGTAGGATTTGTTGCATCGGCTCTCTTCAGTCTTTCAGTGTTGCTGTGCCATGCTGTGCCAGGTGGAAGCGAAAGAGACGACATCGAGCTCCACAAACAGAGGTGTCGTTGAAACTCGTTGACTTGTCACACGACTTTGCTGACGAGACTTGCAGCATCTTGAAGATATATACGAAAGCCAGCTAGGCTGAAGTTTATTTGCCAGCGAAGCGAGTATGGGGGGTGTGGGGGGGGGCAGAGCGGGCAAACGGTGTTCAAAAATCACGAAATTAGATGCATTTCTAGGTTTTTTTGCAGCCTCATGTACCAATATGCAAATGGCTGACGGTAGGCTTCGATTGGGGGGAGGCGGGATGTTACCAGGAAAGAGTATAGGCGACCATTTTTGACATGTTCATCAGGTCGAAACTCTGCAAAAAGGTCGCCTTCAGCCATTGTTCTAGGCTGCGATGGGGAGAGACATATGACTAGTGAGAATGATGGAGACAGCGAGTCATGGAAAGAAAAACAAAGACAAGACTATAGGTGACCTGTATTGTCCTTTGCTGCGATGGGGAGAGGGATGCAACTACCGAGAACGATTGGTAGAGGGGGGTAGGGGTAGCAGGACAGCGGGAGATGGAAAGAGAACAAAGAAATGACCATAGGCGACCTTTATCGTCTTTTGGCACGACGGGGAGAGAGATGAGACTATGAAGAACGACAGGGAGAGGACATGATGAACATGAGAGAACGGCAGCGGGAAAGCGGGAGATGGAAAGGGCATAAAGAAAGACTGTAGACTATACGCGACCTTTATTGTCTTTTGGCACGATGGGCAGAGAGATGGGACTTTTCAAAACGATGGGGAGATGAAAAGAGAATAATATTGGATGAATAAGGGAAAGATCATAGGTACTCCTTATTGATCTTTTCTTGGGTCGAAACCCGCCCGCTCCGGGCTAAAAGCGTTCTGGCTTTCGTTCCTCCCTTATCAGGTTTGATTTTGTGTGATACATTTGGGATCAAATCATACATAATGAACGCCCGCAAGGCTGTTACTTGAAGTTACTTGGAGGTGTGCAGCTATGGTCCTGTGCAGGTAAAATTCGGGGCACAGCTGCAAATCAGATAAAACATGATAAAACAGAGCTTTCCCGGCCGATGTGCCATAGATGCTATAGATGTAATGTGCTGAGTTGGTCACTGGATTTGACCATCTCGGTTGACCGTGTGGAGGCTATGTAGCTACGCCTTCCAGGCTTAGCGGTGCCTGGACGGGACCATTTTTGGGTCACCTTAGAGTCTGTCATATATTGAAACGACTGTTTTAGCTTGACTTGCTAGCTTCACATGCTTCCACAAAATGATACACAAGTCATCAAAAGTCTGTATAGTCTATTATAGTCTTAAGATCCATACTGCTTGGGATTTTATTCTGCCTAAATTTAACCTTGAACTGTCCAGAAAAGGCAGTGCTTTCTGCGGCCCGGGGACCTTAAAAACGACTCTGCAGCCGTCAAAGATGGCTCCCTTCGTGAACCGAAGTGACTTTTGATGTCTCTGTGAAGTCTCCACATGTGCTGCAGCCTCAGATCATGATCATGGGTCTCCCTGTTTGGAAGGTTGTTTTTTTTTCCAACAGAGAAACAGTCCCATTACCAAAGCATGTGAAGAATTCATACTCTACATCTTGCTTTGATGTGCTTTTATTGTGATGAAATCTTGCAGCTTGTAGAGATTGTGGAGCCACCACTTGACACAAGACCCTTTTGGTGCTGTGGTCGATAATGTTTCAAACATACATCGGACATCGAGACATACTTAATACAGATTGTGTATACACGCTTCAAAACAAAAAACATGTTCTTCGTTTCTTCGTCCCATTATGTATACGTAGTTATATAATGTTATATAGACTATAGCTATACTATAGCGGCTATATCAATATCTAAGATCTATAATGATCTATCTACATTATGATCATTATGTATCTTTGGATATGGTATGTTATGTAACCTATATATATATATATGTATATATAGCCTCGTCCCCGCTCTTGGAATCGCGCAAACCTGAATTAGGTTGGTAAAACTTGTCCATTCCGTGACGAAATTTAGTCGCCGAGTCGCGGAATTAACAAGTTTCATTAGGGTCATCATCATCATCATCATCATCATCATCATCATCATCATCATCATCATCATCATCATCATCACATCATCATCATCATCATCATCATCATCATCATCATCATCATCACCAGCATCATCAATCAGCCCCCCCCCGCGTGTGGCGTAGCATCAACTGCTTCTGCAAGTTCACATTAACGTTAACATCCCACCCCACCCGCCCCCCCGTGCGTAGCATCAACTTGCTTCTGCAAAGTTCACATGAACGTTAACATCCCACCCCATCCCCCCCCACCCCGCGTGTGCGTAGCATCAACTGCTTCTGCAAGTTCACATGAACGTTAACATCCCTCCCCATCCCCCCCCACCCCGCGTGTGCGTAGCATCAACTGCTTGTGCAAGTTCACATGAACGTTAATTCACATGAACGTTAACATCCCACGTTAATTCACATGAACGTTAACATCCCACCCCACCCCCCCACCCCATCGTATGTGGTTCCAGGAGCGGGGACGAGCCTATATATACATGTGTGTTTGCTGCGCAGTTTGCATGCCCCCAAAATAGCAGCAGGCTGCCTTCCATGCCTTCGGCCTTCCACACTCAGGAGCTCATGGCAGAGGTGACCCTGGCAGAGTTGCCCATCAGATGTCTCTGTGAGTTTTTGGGCACCTTTTTGCTGGTCTTCTCAGTTCCTTGGTAACTGGTGATCCTCCGGATCCACCGAATCCAGAAACAACTTGCGATCCAGGTTGGTTGGTTGAGAACAAAAACACGGGGAGAATCGGGGAGATGTTCTTAGAGATTGTGGGAAATGGGATGACTCACTATGACTTACAGCAAATTATATGGGTTATATGGGATGGTGTTGGAGAAGGGGTCAGATTTTGTGTTCAGATTGCGGTGGATGCTGCTAGAGTCACAGATGTTGCGAGATTGATTCTACAAGTCCTAAGGGAACTTGCACTGTAAAGACCAGCTGCTTATCAGTTTGGTACAAAGTGTTGTAGTGCAGCCTTCTGGTTGATCTTACTTTTCACTACTGGGTTTGTTACTTATGCTGTGCTAAGGATAAGGTTCCTTTAGCCGGGCAATTGAGTCAATCGACAAGTTGACTCGTTGCCATTGGGAACCATTGGAAATTTTCTGTGCATCACCACGACCAAAACGGCCATCGACCCCACACTTTTTTCCCCGTGGCCCACTTCCCCTCTCACACTTCTGAGTTCAAAACTCAGGTGAGTGGGTGCACGAGATAAGCACATAAGCACATATGGCAGAACGAACAGTTTCTCGTTTCTGTTGGTCACTTTAGATATTGTGTTTACTTCCTTATCTGCAATGATCTGAGGAGATTTCATCTTGGATGTCACAATCACCCAGCAGTTGTGGATGTTTCCCCAAATACCACTGGCATCAATTGGTTGATATCCCGGTCAAGCGGGAATGGCTCAAGCCTATAGCAACCCAGCCAAGAAACAGAAGAGAACAACCAATGAGTACTAAAATAGTGACAAAGGATGTTTACTGTATATAATTTTCAGGGCTTTAAGAGGCCTTTCCACTGAATAAACATGAATAAACGTGAATAAACTACAAAACACACCAAGGGCAGCGGCCCCCAACGACGTGACTGAGGTGATTTTCAGCAAGTTGACGGGGCATCCAATTTGGAGCGGTCTAGCCATAGCAGCAGTGCACATAGTCTTGCTGCAGCAGAGGCCTCAAGGAATGGCGTGGTGAATGGTCTGGGCAATACTTCTCTCATGGATAATGTGGTAGACCCATGTAAACCCAACAATGGACTATGCCAGTAGAGAATAGTAGATAGATGTAGATAATCATTTGGGTATCATTTTAGTTCATATTACAAAATCAAAAAAGAAATACAGCGATGAAGAAACGGTCTAGTCTATTGTATCTACGATAATCAGGTCTACCTCATTAGATGTTCATAGCCCAGGTCGATGGGAAAGATGGCATCGGGAATTTTCAATCCTGTATCTTGGCGACAGCCGGCCGAAGGACGAAGCTGTGCCAGTCGAGGAGTTTCAAAGTGTGAACCGTCATTTTTGGTTCCCTCGTGTTTTAAGGTGGTAAACCCAACAATATCAATAATAAACCATCCAATTAACCAACCATTCGTGGGTCATTTTAAATCATCCCAAAGAAGGCTATTTTTTCAATCAGTTATTGTGGCTGATCATTGTGCGCATCGATGACCTTAGGCCATGTCCGTCGCACTGGGAACGGTGAGAGTTCTTGGTGGCCCTGGTCTGCACTGCTCGCAGGCCATGGGGGGTGAAGATGCCCACAGATGTGTGGGTCGGAATCTTAGGAGTTGCGACTACTGGACTTCCCCCAAACAATTGGTCGCTACACCCAGGGAAAATCTTGGGGACTTTCAACATCATCCAAAACGGTCGTTGGTCGTCACCCGGTGATGTTCCATTGCAACAGCCATCACTATTCCCATCACCTCCATGAGAAATTGCAAAGCTGATATTCACATAAGTTAACACAGGCATGAATTCGATTGAATTCGGTCTATAGAGTCTATGCGAAAACAAGCAGTATACCCATGTATACCCCAAATCCACTGATGAAGCCCATCATTTTCCCATGATCTTCTCCATTGACATAGGATTCATAGGATGCCAAAGGTATGACACCCCCAGACCAGGTTTTAGCCATGGTGGTCGCCCAACTGCTTGGTGCCTTTACCGCAGCGCTGATGGCAACCCTTTCGACGCTCGTTGCAAATTGGCGTTGAACTTCTGCGCGAATGAAATTTTGAGACCAGAAAACTTCTAAAATGTTCAGAGAGATGTAGAGAATCAGAAATGGTTCAGCCATCCTCAGCTATTGGGCAGTTGGATGCTGATATTGCTTTGGATTTTTTTTGAACATGCTGAAGGCTGGGAAAGGAGCTGCCTGTTGGAGACTACATGGGGTACGGCCTGAATGCATTAGGCGGGAATGGATGGAATGGCAACTGTCAGTATCTGTCAGTGACTGTCACGGCCGTGAAGCCGCGCCGCTGCGCAGGTATTTGTGAGTTTGTTTACACCTGCATGATTTGCTTCGTGGCATTGAACGTTATGAGCCCTAAGAGACATGAGAAGGACATGCTGCGGCTCAAGGGGCTTGGTGGTTGGATGTTGTTGGTTTTATTTGAGGTCTAGATGCATTTGCCAGTTTACTGCAGATTTCTGAGCAAGCACTTGGAAACTTCAGCTCATTTGATTTTGGAGAACAACGCTGGTCCCATGAATGCAACTGACTGGCACCATGGACATCCCAAAGACATAGTCATGATTCCTTGCAATGTTTGGAACCTTCCGCACAGGAGAAGCTGGATTTCTATGCAGTGGCCATCGGTTTTGCGGTGCTGGCTGGTATATATGGAGGCCAACAGACGCTATTTAACCTTCACATACTTTTTGGGGATGCGACACGTGTATATCTTCAATATCGTTCAATTATCTATACATAAATATCATTTATCATTGTCATGTTTTTCAGACAGATAGGATACAATTCGTCCCGTCCTTGGTCCATAGATGATGGGAGATGTTGATCAGCGGAATGCTGCTAGATGCAACCTGTGGGTGTTGCCATCTTCGAAGCAAAGCACATCATCATCGCTGCAACTCAAAAAGTGAAACGTGACTGGTTGAGCAACCGATCAGTCTTCAGGGTCAACAGCGATGATAAAACATGATAAGCCAATGACATTGGGGTTCCCATGGGTTCCCAATTTTGAGACAGCACAGAGGCAATATGTGTGGTGCGGTTTTCAACCCAGCAGTGGCATTGGCTCTGGACATCACAAGTCCAAGTTCCTCGGTGTCAATCGATATTATGAATATGTACAGCGACCCCGAAAGATAAACATGTATTTCCAGGATGGTATAGACGGTATAGATGCATTCAGACTATGCTGTATGTATCTGTATATGTCTATGTATATATATATATATATACGATAATTACGATATACATGCTATAGAGACATTTCACTGGGATGGCAGGGAGACATCAGATAGCCGGCTCACAGGGCGATCAATACGACAATTGACAGCTTCAGAACCTGGAAGACTATAGTGACTATAGTACTAATTCATGCTCTGAAATTGTTAATGTGTTTTCCATGGTATGTCTGTGTGAAATCATGCAAGGCTACGGCTTCAACGGCGATGGGACATTCCTTAGTCTCTTCCACTTGTCGGCTGCGTACGTTGCGGCGCTGCTCTACTCCCAGGCAATACACACCCCAGATGGATCATCTGAGCGATGAGTAAGTCAGCAAAGGAACATATTTGAGACATTGAAACCTGGCTAGCAGTTCAGCTGATCGGATGAGAGGAGAGCATGGATCTCCACAGCGCCAGGTGCGTCCACAGGAGTTTAACAAGCCAAGAAGTGAAGGCCGTTTGCGTCGGGGATGCAACGGCTGTTTGGTTGAGGTCTACATGGCACATAAATCAGGCTGCCACAGTTCATCCCAAAAAATACCTAAGCTGGCTGGAAAATCTCCAGAAATAGATGCTTTCCTAAGGAGAGCTATTTATTGTTGGATGTTTTTTGGGGCCAGGTTTTGTTTTTTTGGGGGTTCCTGGTTCTCTGCTTTCCTTGCTTCTTTGCTTTTCCTGCTTCTCTGCTTCTCTGCTGTTTGTTTTCCCTGCTTCTTTGCTTTTTCTGCATTTCTGCTTTCCCTGCTTCTCTGTGTTTCTGCTTTTGTGCTTCTGTGCCTTTCTACTTCTACTATTCTACTTTTTCTTTTCTTCAGTCATGTCATGTGTCTTTGCTGCTCTACTTCCTGCTTCTCTGCTTCCTGTCTTTACTGTCTCTTTGTTTTCCATTTTCTTTGGTTTCTTCTCTCCTGTTTATATCCTAAATAAAACCCTAGAGAGACCCTAGGTGAAACCCAAAGAAACCCTAAAGAATTCCTGATAAGAAATACGGATAAGAAATCCTACATGAAACCCTAAAGGGACCATAAAGAAACCCTAAAGAAACCATGCATGAAGCCTTGAAGAAACCTTGAATCAAACCCTACATGACATAAAGGAAATCCTGATAAGAAACCCTTGCATGAAACCCTATATGAAACCCTAAATGAAACTCTAAAGAAACCCTAGATGAACCCCCCCTAAAGAACCCCCCTAAATGAAACCCTACATGAAAGCCTAAAGAAACCCTCAAGAAACCCACATGAACGTTGAAGTACCAAAATGTAGCAAATACCATGCAAATGAGAGGTTGAAGTGCCAAGATGTGGCAAATACCATGCCAAATGGAAGGCGAACATGGCCAAATGTAGCAAATAGCACGCAAAATGCAAAGTTACCATGCCCAAATGATGTAGCAAATACCATGCAAAATGACAGGTTCTAGTTCCAAACTGTTGCAAATACAAGGCAAATGGTACCAGGAAAGAAAGCCAAAAAAAAACTGACAAAAAAAAAAAAACTATTCTGCACCCCTTTCCTAGTCAAAGCGAGGATTTCCCAGCCAATTCAGATCACCTGTGCCACCAGTGCTACCTGTGTCATCCTGGTGTGCCAGGCGGATACTTTGAGCGAGGCGTCAGCGAATGTGTCGGCTCCGTCCTGGTAGCGCCTTAGTCAAATGGTGATCAGATGGATGGGACACAAGTGCACAGGTACATACATAATACAGATACAACATGAATCAACATGATACAATATGATGAAACAGCACACATTTATTTCTTTGCGCGGCCTTCTCCTGCAAGTGAGGTACTAACTGCCAGTCTCAACTTCAGAAAGGGTACGATTGTTGGTCCTTTGAGTGTTGCTGCTGCCATGACGAGCATGGCCTTTGCTCTGGAGGATATCTCAGGTGGCGACTGGTACGAAACTTCTGAGCGAACCGGGGCAACCATCTAAAGCTAAAGTGTTTGGACCTGTCAAAAGATGTCAAAGGATTGTTATTTGTTCAGTCAAAGCATGCTTGTGCGAGTGGGAGTGTCTATGTTTGTGGTAGGGTAGAGAATTCGCCAAGAAAAAGCAATTTCAAACTGGTTGTATCAAACTTCCATTACCATCAAACCTGCTTTTCAAATTTGATATGTCTCCCGGCAGGTGGACACTTCAATCCGGCCATCACTTGCGCCCACGCTCGAGCTGGCTGGTCAGGTGCCGCTTGATCCTCAAAGCTTCAAGGATATTTAGGAATATTTAGGATATATCAATATATTAATTTATATATTATATATAAAATATATCTTAATATATTTAAACATAAAAATATATATTGATCTATTGATATATTTATAATTTATATATATATATATTATATATGTTATTAAATATATATATAATATGTATTCACACCAGCCAGAGTAGTTTGATGAGGCGACCACAGCTGCTGATTTGAAAAGTGACCAACTGCCTCCAGGCCGATTTTCTTGGTATCGACACTGGCTGGCACAGATCTGCGGAGCTGGCATTGCTTCTTTATTGGTTCAGCTTGACACTTGGTTTGAAGCAGCTGTGACTGCTGCGCTTTTTCATCAAAACCAGTGGGACGAAACTGGGAATAACAGCTGTGTCGTATTGTGTCGTGCAATGGACCCCGGTCTGACAGTTTCCAAATTTCGTGCCTTGCCGCCTTGCCGCCTTGCCGCACTGTTCAGAATCTGTAGTTCTGGAATGTTCTGTTGATGCTTGTAGTTCCCTCAGCAGCCCTTGTGATGTAAACGTGGTACGCTGGGACATTTCACCTGTCATTATCGATGAGACTGGTGCGGTATAAATCAATTATAATCAATTACCATTCAACTATCATTAGCTTTGCAAAGTGGACTCGTAGGTTAACCACCTGCAACATTCAGGAAATCCCGCAGTTGGTTTTTCCGACAACCACGCAACTGAGACCCTACTGCAGCAGCGCTCCTTCGGGCCCAAGCTGCCATATGATTTGACACAGGCTCTAGTGTCTGAAGGGATTTTCACCTTTTTGCAGCTCGGTGATGTTGTTGATGGCTTTTGGAGGGAAGGGCCTAAAGAAAACATGGGGGTAACCCCTTTTTTGGAGTGGTACCCATTGAGCTGTTGATGCAGAAGATTGTTTTGTTTCAGTATGTTTCAGTAGGATGCATACAGCAACCCAGTTAGGGACCAAAAGTTGGAGTTCAAGGCAATTTCAGCAGCTCAAAGCTGTCAATTTGCATTTCTGGATGCAAAGGGGGCAGATTTGTTGGGTTTGACAGACGCCCTAACATCAAGGTTGTGCCTGGTCTCTTTGAGCGTGACAGTTTCCAGCAGAACCAAGGCGCGCACAAGGATACTCTGCTGACGATCATAACCTTATATAACCTTAATGAAATGAATTGCAACATCAATCACATCTAAGGTTGAATTGACCCTTTGAAAATCCTTTGAAAATCCTTTTAATATTGCAAGCTGCAGATAAATGCACCTCGGAGTAGGTCCCAAACATACCAGCACCACAAGCCTTCTCGGGGCAAAGCTGCAGAAGAGGACCAAACATTACTGTATCCAACAATACCATACAATACCCAACATTTGTTGAAGGGTGACATGTCACCAGCACCCTAAACGTGTTTGAATCGAGTCCTGTGGCATGTTGGTTTCACCCAGAAGGCCTCCCAGTTCTTTGGCTTAGCCATTGGATCGTGCATGATCGCGGGGGGCTATGCAATCAGTTCCTCGCCAGCGAGCCACAGTTTTCCCAGTGCTATTGGATCGGGGATTCCACCGAACTTGGATGACCTTGGATGACTGTGATAAATTGGATATGATTTCCATATGATTTCCATTGATTTCCCATAAACATACCATGTGAACCTCGAATAAGATTCCGATAGTTTGATATGTTTGAACCCACTGCGGTGATAGCAATTTGCTTTCTTCGGGATTCTTTAGGGCAGGTACCTTTGTTCTGAGACGTTCTGAGGTTCTGAAAGGTGTTGGGCTGAACAACATGTTATAATAAGTTATATCAGTTATATCTATGGATTCTACGTAGGTATGACGATCCAAAAATAGATACTGGTACAAGATGGAAATAGATGACTCCCTTGATGCCGCCATGTAGGTGGCACTTTGAAACGCAATTATGGACTTAGGAGTGTTCCAAACTTGCATCAAGTTGATGAATAGATTGGTTTGATATTTTTCTTCACGGGTTTCTAGAGTGTCCTTCAGTGTCAGATCTTCCAAGCAAACTAGTCGCAATGTGACTCTGCATCCTAAAATATTTGAGTCATTTGAGATTGCCTGGTAAAGATCCACAGATGTGGGTATTTGTCTGAGTCATTCTGAGTCTAAACTTTGGAACAAACACAACTAACACAACTAGTACAACTAGGGATCAGTCATCGTTGGGTGTTTCAGTGATCGTCCCAGGCAGCGTATCTGGTGGTGCATTGAATCCTGTGATCGGATTGGGCTTAGCCTTGGCGGGTGGTGGCCTGCGAAATGCGCTCGCGCCATGGCTGGGAGATCCCCTAGGTCCTAGGTGTGGGAAACCTCTGGGAAGATTCGTTTTCATTGCCATTACCAGAGGATCCAGAGGCCAATCATGGTGAGTAAAAATTGAACGACAGTGAAATGGGATAAAGATGGATAAAGTGGGTAAGTACACCGTCCCAGTATAGAGTCTGTTCTGTTCAATTTTGAGATGTGCACATCATGAAGCCATTGAAACTACTTGTCCTTCCAATCAGTCCTGCAGGTTTAGCACCATACGGGCAATGCCGAAAACCTACAGCATCATACGCTACTGGTTGGTTTGTGCAACAATAGCCATCTGAAAGTAACAACAATAGTGATGACAAAAAATGATTAATAACATCCCCATCCTCTCAAAACCTCTCAATATATATTAATCATACGTATAGTTAATACATTGTTGGACCATGAACCCCTTCACGATCCCCGTATCATGCTCAAGAAACCAGCGAGCATTCTAAATGCAACTCCTGATGTTTCCTAACACTTGAATTGGTCCTGGTTGCGTCTGCACCAAGGCATATGCTACCATTCAAATTGCGTCAGCTGCTCTGGCTGCTGCCACCTTCAAGGCACGACGTTTCTCCTTCTTTTCGTCTCGAAAAGTTCGAAAATGCTAACTTATTGATCTTATTGCTAGCTTGGCATGGCCCAAGTGACATCCAAAAACGAAATCAAGAGAGTACACTTGAGGTGTATAGAAGTGACATGATGCTTTGCAGCGATGCTCCGCGATGCAATCGGTTCCTATCTTTTTCTGAAGCATACCCCCTGCATGACAAGGCCTCTCTCCAAAACCAAAACCGTGATCTCAGTGATCTCATGAGAATCGATTGGCCCATATCTTGATAGCTTCTTGCTACAGTATGTATCTACATACACACACAGAGAATCACATAGACATGTTCATGCATTGCATAAAATACCCCACAAAAAGACCCTAGCCTTGGTTGAGGTCTAACCGTCTAACCCTTCAAACGATCCAGAGCCCTCCATTGCAGGTGCTGCACGGAGAAGCTGAGGTAAAACGTGTCTCGCTTCCTCCAAACTTCTCCAGCCCACAGATTTTGGCCCTTTTTTGGGGGAGGTTAATATAATAAAAATGGATATATTGGGATTAATGGGTATATACCAAGCATGGGGGCATTGCTGGGGATATATCCAACATTGACCAACTTGATATGATGATATATTTGGCTGTGTCGTAAAACTCCGAATGGCCATCTTCAAAGTCGGGGCCCATATGTTTTGGGGTTGTAGGCAGATATAGAAAGGAATTGTCATTCATGCGTTGATATAGTTGTTGGGTGCATGAATGGGATGGGTCAATGTTCACTAAGACTAAGAATTTGTAGGTGGATGATTTTATGTTAGGAATGTAAACCTCCATGGTATCAGGATTTGGAATCAGCTCCATACATTTAATATACTGTATGTGACTACATTTGCACAGTTGTCATAATACATCATTACCATGATGCGGTTGTATTGTTTGGCTTTGGTCCTCGATGTTTTTGGTGGCACTCAGCTGAGGAGAAAGTGAAATTGACGCCAGGGAGGAGCTCTGAAACTGGAGCTACAAGAGGTTTGATGTTACAATATGTTACAATAGAGATGGCAGGCGTGAGTTTCTTGAGAAAAATGGGCTGCATTGGTTGGGTTTCGCTGATGGAGAGACTGTTGACAGATTGATCATTTGCTCTAGCCAGCTTTGCCCAAACATTTCTGGGGCTAAATCAGAGAGTCATTCAGGGACCATTTAGAACAAGCAGCCTGTCACTGTAATTCCAAGCATATCAAAGCAGGTAAAAATAGCATGTTCAAACAGCAATCGGTGCAGAGGAGACAGCAGGCCCGGGTTTCCAGCGAGATCTTGTTGAAAGCTTCTATTTATACATATTTATATAAAACATATTTAAAAGATACAGATACCAAGCAGTTCCCGGTCTCAGTAAACGGTTGCTCCCTCCAGGATCCGTTTCTTTCGAAGAACGGCCCATGCAGTAACGGAGAAATTGCCAAATAGGGCACCATTGTTGCACTTGATGGATTTTCATGAACAAGTAAGTGGAATTCCAGTCTGAGATCGGTGGATGGATGAAGACTAAAATCGAATGGGGGGGAGCCGCGAGGGAAATTGATCATTTTATCTCTATTTGCCCAGTATCTACCCAGTTTGCCCCCCTTGCACCTAAGGGGTGTTGGGAGCAACCCTGCTGGATAGGGATAAACTAAAAAAACATGATAAAACATAGTAAAACTAGATCAAACCATCCAAGGTTGGTACCCACAGCCACTATTTGTGGACTGCTTGTTCTATTTCTTCGCCAGGCCACCTCCCGTTGCAGGCGTGGATGTTATCATATTCAGCAGATCCCATGGAAAAAACCGTGAACTGCTGACTTTCGGAGTGTACAATGATGAATATACATTGAATATACATTCATAAACTTTTCTGAACTTTCTCGCTTCGAATTCGCTTCGAGTCCCTGATTCTGCCAGGGTCAAACGCGCGACCCAAATCTGCGTTTGACTTTCAGCGCCGGGAGCGAGACACACAGCAGGCGGCGTTGATTGCGGTATCAACCTGCAGATCAGACTTAACTTGCTTAAGTGTTTCTGACTCGGTATCCGTATATCTCTATATATAGAGGTGAAGAGGATTATTATATTGGACTATGATATATTATATATTATGAATTTTGTTGGCCTGCTTGGACACATGCTGCAAGATGCATTTACAGCAAAGATATTGTGGAGCTGTTCTCACTTTAGCCAAGGGTATCTTTGAGTTTGGCCACACGGGTATGAAGGAAAGACAGCAGCGCTTCCTCACCTGAAGTGCCTTGACAGATGCCTTCCACACGTTTTGGTAACGGCCACGTCACAGCAGCTAATCACATAATGTATCAAGTGCCTTTTAGAGGTGCTCCAAAGTGCGCAAAGACGACCAAACAGACCAAACGACATTTTCGGGTTCCACAAAGTAAAAGTCACATAGCAGCCAGAGGTTTCCACAATTTTCAAATGTTTTCTAATGATTTTCTGGCTTTGCAATTGCCAGTCCCGACAGGCACAAGCGGATGATCTGCAAGAACTCAGACGGCAGCAGAAGGAGCGCGGATCAGCGAAGCCATGGCTCAAACAGCCTTCAGCTCCATAAAGGTTGCTGAAATCCAACAGCCACACCCAGCATCGCCAGACGTTGTCCTCTTGACTAAACAACATGAACAAACCTTGGTGAATGGCTCATTCATATTTAGCTATACATAGCTACAGTATGCTATCGCACAAATACAGATATAGAAGAATAGCGTGCTGATCCAGCTTAAGACTCTATGATTTGTTTGAGGGATATCGTCCAAGTTTTCCATGTCAATACAGAACTTCTTCGGGGAGCCATGGGTTTTAGTTCATGCTGTCAGTTGAGAGGAAGCATCATATTCTCAGGTGAGTGGCTTCAAGGGTCTTGTACTCTGCATCCCTGTTTCGATGTATTTTGAAATTTTGAAACATGGTCCTGTGATCTCCTCTGAACCTACGTAGATATATTATGATGATATATTATGATATATTCCTGATTTTCCTGGCAGGTTTCCAACAACCAGTTATGTGTTTTAAACTACTGCCTCGATGGAATAAAACATTTCAGGAGCGATACCAAACCGCTGGCCCGAAAGAAGGACAGGGGGTCCATCAGCCTTTGCTGATGGGCTTCCAATGGCTTTCCTATTTAGGGATCCAAATTTATGGGCAACCCAATGCCATAAACCATCAGAAACCATCATAAACCATCATAAATCTACCGTTTGGAGATGGTTCATATGGTTCATGGATGTTAATGGTATTGGATTTACCACACATTCACATTGGGATGGGTTTTTGCCACCAGCTTTGTTGCTGGTCGCCAGGAACAGCAGAAGGGCCTGCAGTGCCGGAGACCCCAGGGTGACAAGAAGCGCCTGCGTTCGCATATAGCGGGAATCACGTCAAAGGCATGCTCTGAATAGAGCAAAATATGGTTCTTCTTTTTTTTTTAGTGGTTTCTCCTGTGTAACTTATGCGAACCACAAGTTTTGTTTGACATATGACTTATATGTGACATATATTATATTATCAAATATATTATCATGATATATCCCTTCAACGATGAAAATTGCTGACGCTGCGACCTCCAGATGCCCTGGTTCCGTTGCTAGTCATGAGATTCTTCCTGCACAGCAGTTCTAGGCGCCAGTCGGGAGATTCTGGATGTTGCGTCCAGTGCCTTGATTTGAGACATGGCTGCGGCAGATACATGCAAATACCGCCACATGATCATCATGATGATGATGAGGATGATGATGATTATTATTATTAATTATTTATTATTATTATATATTATTATATATTATTATTATTATTTATTTATTAATAATATTATTATTATATATTATTTTATATTGTTATATAGTATTATTATTATTATCATTTATTTTTATTATTGTTATTATTATTATTATATTATTATTATTATATATTATTATATTTTATTATTAGTATTATTTATTATTATTATAAATTATCATTATTATTATAATATATTATTATATATTATTATATGTTATTATATATTATTATATATTATTATATATTATTATATATTATTATATGTTATTATATATTATTATATATTATTATTATTATATATTATTATTGTTATTATTATTATTTTATATTATTATTATATATTAGTATTATATATTATTATTATTATTATTATTATTATTATATATTATTATTATTATTGTTATTATTATTATTATTATATATTATTATTATTATATATTATTATTATTATATATCATTATATATTATTATTTTTATCATTATTATTATTATATATTCTTATTATTGTTATTATTATTATATATTATTACTATTATTATTATATATTTTATTATTATTATTATATATTATTATTATATATTATTATTAATTATATATTATTATTATATTATTATTATTATTTAATATATATATTATTATTATTATATATTAATATTATTATTATTACTATTATTATTTTTATATCCGTCTTGAAAAGGATGAATGCCCACGCGTAACACCACACCAAAGATGGAGTGACCGACATTTGGCAAAGAAAGATGCAGTGCACCAGAGATGACGCACTGTGCTGTCTCCATGCATTAGTCAGTATTCACATTCAATGGAATGGGCAAGGCGGGCTCACACGTAACTTTCAGCAGGAGCTCAGAAAGAAAGGTAATGAATGGAACTAAAGATTCTTGGTTGAGGGGTTTATATCTAAGGTTGAGGGGTATCATCATCATCATCATCCTCATCCACGGGCCTCGCCATCAATGTGATAATACATATCATCATTGATAATGATAATGTCAATGAGCCTTTGTCACCGTGGACTTCACAGGCTCTGCAGTTTGCAAAAAGATATTGATTATGCCTGCGGGAAGCGAACTCTGGGAATACATCGGAATGTTGACTGTATTTGACTGTCGTTATACTGTCGTTTAGGGGATACTGTAGCATTTGTAGCTCTTGCTCTTTGGATCCCGGTGCTGCTTTGGTGTCCTGAGGTAATCGCCTGGAAGCACCACTAAGTTGCAAAATTCTGTGATGGCTGCGGGCGAGAGGGCGGTTCAACTCGAAGCAAAAAAACCCAGGGGGCAAAGGGAGCTAAGGGGATAAGTACCAACCGTGATGAAGGCCATGATGGAGCTAAAATGATCTAAGACGGAGACGATGTTTGTCGCTGTCCCCTCCAAAGGACTAAAAGGCACAGTAGCAACTCGAAGAAGCAATCCTAGATATTAGAGCCAATCCACCTGAAAGAAGGGTTTGTCCAGGTGACAAGAAACCCTTCACAGTCAAAGTCATAGTGAGGCGTTAATGTATAGGTATGTCATTGTAAATGATTGTAAATGATTGTACATGTATCTATACAATACGCATGTTCATCCGAAAGTTCTTCTGCGTGACGTTGCCGTTTTTGCTTAACAAAATTTGGGCCCAGATCTTCGTGGGTTTTGTGAAATCCAATGGGCCGCAATGGGTCAGTGACGGGAAGCCCATGCGGGAAGCCACCTGATTCTGAATTTGGCTGATTTTGCTGTGGGATTGCGCGGTGTTTGTGACAGATTGTGACAGTTCAATGAACAATTGATGGGTTGCTCGTGGTTGCTCAATGAGCCTTGGATCGACTGGAAGCGATCTACTAGGTGTTGTTTTTTCCCGGCAGTCATGCACGTTGCAATTGACATCTCCGTGACAACCATCGCTTCAAAATGTGGGTTCGTCTGAAAAAGAAATGTATACACAAACAGGAATCACAATACGCTTTGGAAAGAACCAACCTCCCCTCGCTGAAGTTGGCTGCATCTATGGATTTGATTCACGCTTCGCAGAAGGAACTCCACCGCAGTGATTGATCAGCATGTTCCCCACTGTTCAATGGTATCCCCAATTCCAAACCCATGTTGAACTCAGGGACATGCAAAATTGGTGGAAGAGAGCAGCAGCGGTGAGGAGCCGCCTTGGTGCGGAGATGCGCAAGTGATGCCTGGCTATGCAACAAGCTTTGGCATAGCGGCATATCATTGGCAACCCAAAAATTATAAAATTGATCATCATGAGGTACTCTGAATATCACCTGTAAAATCAAGGAACAACTTCTATCCTTGGGGGGTATTGGCTCTTGCAGAATGCAGCTGGGCCATGGTCAGAGCATGGAACAGCGGAACAAATCTCAGGATCCAGACCGGTTTTTGTTTGCTGGCCAAATAGACTATGGACTGGCGAAATTGAATGGATTTGAGGAGATTTGAATGGCAAAATGGGGATCTTCAAATGGTATCCTGCCAAGGACATCGGAGCTTCGAAGCCAAGTGGTGGAAGTGGAAATTCAAAAGAATTGCCACGGAGCTGCGTTGCTGTCCATTGCTCAAGTCTACGATGCTTGGTGTGTTTGGCCAGGGATATCCACTTTATCCACAGTTCCACTGAGCGTTGGTTGGTGGTGAAGTCTATGGAAAATGTTATGAGGTTCTTAGGCAGATAGCTATGAAGTTGCGAACCGATTCAATATCTATAGATTTACTTTTTTTCGGAAAATCGTCAGATCCTCTGGGAGTCCTACTAGTAGGGGTTTCACCCTGTTTCATCCTATTCTATCTATTCTCGCAAAAGTGTATTCTATTGCTGGGGGCTGGCAGTGTTGGCTCTGAAACGTTGCTATTTTGCCTGGTGTTATTGAAGATTAGCGGGGCCAGAGCGGGGACATTGCAACGACTTGAAGTGATTCACAGCTGGTCGTTATCCATCAGGACCCGGACTATATTAGCGAGAACGGCAGAAACCAGGCGGCATGCATCTCCACATGTACTCCAGATGCGCTCTGTTAGATGTCAATTCAGATAACGTTCAAGCTCGCACATCCAATGCTACAAGTCAGCAGCTGCACTTTTGGTGCTTCTGAACAATGAACAAATACAAGTTTGAGATATTTTGAGCGGGTAGCCAGCTCATTATGCCGGCAAGGCGCTGGGCCGTTTGGCAAATGGTATATTGCTGTTGCTGCTGGGTTGCGGCATCCAAGGTGGTACCCTGGAGAACCAGACATACAAACATCATTGAAACTAGTTGACAGGTCAGCTGAAACTAGAGGTGCCTTGTTTCAAAGTCGACCTACTTTGCCTGTGAAGTTCTCGTGGTCTCTGTGATGTGACATGACTCAGGTATTGATTGCCCTCCTCTATTTCTTCTCAGAAGAGAGAATGCAAGACCCCTGTGAAGAAGTCGAAACCTCTAAGCTGGCTCAGGAGTCGAAACCGAGATTGGCACAAGCTGCAGGTTGGGCACGTTGAACTACCTTGTGTCACTACCAAGGAAGCAATCCCAACCAGTATTCCAATGTATTCCATGTATTTGTAAGATTTCCCAAGTGAATTTGTGATTTGTGATGTCATAGTCATACAAGCCGGGTTTTCTTGCCGTCATCATCCGTCATCCATGCGCTTGCCCGTCGGCCTTTGTAGGAACTGCGAGGAGCAATGGCTGGCAACGAAGCGTTGCCAACGCAACTTGGCCTCAGAGCTTGGATAAAGACAGACCAAGTGTCCAGAAATCCGGGATACAGATTAAATACAGTACCCTGTATAGCTACACAGTTCTGCACATATGCAAACTATGCATGATTATACATTATACAAATTATATATGTATGTATACATTGTATCCAATATCTAATATACGTCTATATATATACAGATGATACACATGTAGAGAAATGGAAAGAACTGGTTGGTTGGAGGATGCCAGCTTTCCGCAGTAATAGATCCTGGATCCAGACCAGTTGGTGGATGTTGGTGGCTAAGGGCTTCACTGAATTTGTGGCACCCTACATATCCAAAATTAGTCAAACTGGTTGAAAACAGATAGTGTGAGTATGCTGGTTGAAAACCGATGAGTGGTCACACACTAAGTCACTATGTTAGTGAAACCTGTTTCACTTGAGAGGATGGATTGGGTGGTTGATGAAAAAAGATGTTGAAAACATGAATGGGACAAACATTAATGCTGCTACATTAATACTGTAAGCGTGTTGCAATTGATTTGCATGCTGATTATTCTGCACCCAACAATTTTCTGAGGACGCAGCATGCAGCGCACCTGTGTTTGCAAGACCACAGTCTGCCGTATTCGCAATCAATGGTGAGCTTCGTATGGCTTTGCAGCTGCGACGCATATTACCCGAAAAAATGTGGGTCCATTGTGCATCCAATGTTTCAGCCATACCTGTTTAATTTTGGAAGGCAATTTCAAATGATTAAAGGTATAATATGATGATTCCTGATCCTAAATGTATCTCCATTGTTGTGGGACGTATTGTTTGATCGCTTGCAGGCCTTTTCATAAATTGAATGGTCAAAGTGTTTCGCTGCTTCTCCCCATCATCCTGTAAATCCAAATTGGTGCCTTTTCCGCTGCAATTTTGCAGGCAAGTGCGTCCCTGCCATTGTGAATGCTGCTTGGGGAACGATGGTTTTGATCTCATTGCCAACTGGTGGTCAAAGTACTATCAGAAGCAAGGCAGGAAAGCTGGACGTGGTGGGTCTTCCTGTGATGCCAAAGGTGCTCGCAGTGATCTTCATCCAAGTGCCGCTGGTTTCGCTTGAGCTCAGCCTTGCAATGGTGGGCATGAAATTTCTCATGTACTGCAATGCGCTTGGCAAGTTGCTGGTGAAAGCTATGAGCCTTTCTTACATTGAGACAGTTTCAGCCGTGGTATTCGTGACTTTGAAGCAGCGAGATGTTTCCTGTCCCCTCATTTCATAGTGTAGAATCTCTTATCTCTCATTTTGAAATGAGCCCTTAGTGATCCTTAGCTGCCTTAGCTGGATATCCTTCTGTGGGGAAACTGTTCGTGAATATCTCAGGTGGGCCTGTCGTCCAATGCGTTTCAGCTCGAAGTCAGTCCTTTCTAGCGCATGAGTTCAAGCGGCTATGGATCTTCCGTTTGGAATCATGGCTTTCTGGAATCTTCGGCTAAACAGTTACAGTAGATTGAAATTTCTTGGAAAGGAAAACGAAAGATGCAACACTTGACACTGTAGTATCTGTAGTTCTGCTATGATTTGCATTGCTGTGCTTTTTGTTCTGGCAAACGGTCACAATGAGGTCAGGGATGCCCAGAATTATAAGTTTTCTGCAATTCAACGTGTTTTCTTTGCATGCAGAGGATTGATCAAGATCCTCAGCGTCGCTGCTGTAGTTCTTTGGTATTGCCGCATCAGACATGGCAGCCTCCAAGACTTTCGGCTCGCTTGCTTTGAGTACAAGTACCTTATCCCGCAAAAGTCTTTTGAATTTTATGGTTCATTTCCCCGAGTCCAATCTTGGAAAAATGGATTCCAAGCTGGGTGTTGCCACCGTTTTTGCTTGCCATGAAGGTATCAGTTCGTAGTTCCCAATTGTGGCCATTGCAAACTAAGCCTCTCCGATGCTGGAGAGATGCGATCTGACTTGCGGATCCACAAGTCGATGCGGTCGACAAAAGGATAGAAAGGCAGAACATGTTAATCTATAGGGATCTAGCGAATCAATGCAAATCATTATTGCTTCCATCAACATGAAGATGCATGTTGCATGAGAAAAGATGATAGCAACAAATTCCAAAGGAACTAAATACACTTTCAAGGTCTTTCAAGTCTGCAAACATGTTTGGCTTCCACCAGGTCGTCAGGAGCATTCTGTAGACGCAGTAGACTCAAGGTGACACTGTGATACATCCTCCAAGGATGATTTGCGGATGGGTAATGCTTTGACTCTGTGCAGACTCCAAACAGTTGGCAAGTCAAGTATACACTGTGTAGTGCAAATCGATGAATCGATGGAAGAGCAATTTACACCTGATTGCTGCAACAGGGGGAACAATTTTCTGTCAAGACCATAATCTTAATTAATAGTCATGGTGTGACCTGTTGACGCCTTGTTTTTCAAGTTAGAAAAGCAGCCATGAGTTGAAGTGAAGCTCCCAACCTTGAGTGCACTCGAATCACGCTGGGGCATGCTTTTGTTGTGCCATATTTGTTGATTCAATATGATCAAATGATTATGTGCCATGATGTTTTGAATGACAATATGTCTAGTCCAGCGTTCGGAACATGCACTTCTGCACAACCTTTGCCGCATGACCTCTTCCATTGGTAGCTGCGGACGGTTCCATTTGAAGATTGATAACTTTGAGCCTTTGAGCCTGGAATAAGTAAGCTCTGAGCATCTCAAATCAGAACATGAAGCACTTTGGAAAACACTCCACAGTCAACGGAAGCAGCACAGCAAAATTATTTACGGCACAAAGCGCTTATCCATTTGGTTCATCAGTCGAGCACCAATTCACTCTAACGGGCGCTGCTTCATAATTCAAGCCATGCCAGATGACAAGCGCGCAACTTGTCATCCTTCAACATGATCATGATAGATCATGATCATCCACCCAGCATCAGCAGATCTGAATATTGTGACATGTTCAAGGGAGATATCGTTATTTTATATATATATATATATACTTTACTTATATATATATATTTATAATTACATATATTATACTATGTTCTCCGTCATCATCGTCATCATGTTGCTGCAGCACTGGCTACAAAGTCGCAATCGCCACCACCATCACCATCACCATCACCATCACCATCACCACCACCACCATCATCATCATCATCACCATCACCATCATCACCATCATCACCATCATCACCATCATCATCATCATCCTCATCCTCATCCTCATCCTCATCCTCATCCTCATCCTCATCCTCATCCTCCTCATCGTCGTCATCACCATCTCCATCACCGATCTTGTTCCCGAGGGGTCTCTTGCGTTGTCCCCGCTTTCATTCTGGTTGCTCGGGAGTCAAGGCTCTTGCACTCGCAGAGGAGAGTGGTGATGGTGGCAGCAGCGATGAACAGCTTTGGTGTACAGGTCCCGGTTTGATGCTTGCCGGGGCTTTCCCTTGCTTCCTTGTCTGTGTGGATTCGATAGCTTGTTGCCCGAAGTGTAAGTTGAAGCTGCAGATGGCTCAAGGCGCAAGGAAATGTGGAGATAGTCGTGACATTTGCTGAGACCGTTGATGTTTTATTTTGCTCCAGGCTTTTCTGTGTTGACTTCCAAACAATTCCTCCCAAGGACGCCAGAAGTCCAAGGAGAACTTGTAGAGGTTGAAATTCCAAAGAGTACCCACGGAGCGGCCATTTTGGGCATCGCACAAGCATGCGATGCTTGGCCCAAGAATGAAGTCAATTTGGGAAACAGTGCAGCCAGTGCATGTCCCTTAAATGGCCATTTAAAAATACCAGTTTCTACGTGTCTCTGTTAGGAAGCCAACTCGTGGTTGACTGGGTTCCATCGAGTTCCTCTGTTGATGGCTGACTGGCAAGGACCAGCACTATACGGATGAGTTGGGCACGCATCAGGCACAGAAGGGAGCAATCATGTGGCAAAATGTGTTGCACAAATTCATGAGCCGTTTTTTTAATATCTCAAAAGTGTTTGTGCTAATCATCTCATGATGGACTTGTTCACGTATTTCGAACCCATAGTGCTTGGTACATGCTCACGCGACAGCAAACCCTGGCAGGCATTCGGCCGGATGGCAAACGGCATAGTGCTTTTCATTTTGGGCGGCGGTATCCAGATTGTGCCTTGGATAACGCACAGTTTTGGGCCAGCTTGGAGCATTGCCTGTCAGAGATCTCCCGATTTGAATGTGAGTACTTGAAAACTCTAAAATGTGTATGAGAATCAGCCGTGAACAAGACCGCATGCGCAACAAGACCAGTCATGAAATGCAACTCATTTGCATTGTATATGTAAAACGAAAAGGGATGACAAAAAGTCCAATGGACCCACGGACCGACAAGGTTTCTACTTCCCTTCACAATCTTCACAGATGGTGCACCAAAGTTTTTTTTCCTGGGTTCAGTACACCGTCCTCGGATGTTTAAAAGAGTGAGTAACATTCATCAACAGTGATGGACCGTGATGGAGCCGGTGCTTTCCCTTGCCATTCAGGTGCTGGTTGGCCTTCTTTACTTCTTCTCAGAAGAGCGAATGCAAGATCCCTACGAAGCCATTGGGACCGATGTGCTTGCCAAGGAGCCATACGGAGGTGGCAATTGTCTTGAGATCTTTGGAGAAATCCGTCTTGCCAAAATTGGGTATCCTATCTTTCAGCCACTTGGGAGTGGACTTTAGAAGGTTGTCCGACACCCACTGGTGTATTTCATTGTCGGCCTGTGAAGCGCCGTTTGTGTTTGATTCATTGCACTTCCTCATGGCTTTCCAGTACTGGTCGTACCGTGATTAGGCTGCGAGAGTTTTTTCACAATCGCAGTGTCATGTTTCACATTGTTTCGTATTGTTTTGTTACCTCTTGAGGAATGAGAGATATGAATTTCAAATATTTCAATGAGGAAAGCAGTGCAATGTTCGATTCGAATGATTCGATGCGATTCTGTGTTTTGTTCTGGTTTCTTTGTAGGACTTGCGAGGGGCTTTGGCGTCTGGTAAAGCCCTGGATCAGCTCCTTGGTTGAAAAGGCTGCATGATTGGCAGCAAACATCAGCAAACCGTTGAAGCACAAGAACGGAACACAACATTGAAATACATTGAATCATATTGCCCAAGTTGTCAGTCTATGTTCTCGCTGTGGTCTCTCATGTTCAGCGTTGAAGAGCAATCCCCAAGATTTTTACACAATATTATCAACCTCCACCCGCATTTATATAATTGACTATAATTTATTAATATAGGTCTAACTGCCTCAAAAGAGTGAAGTTTACAGCACTTGTTTTCAGCAGTTGATCATGAAATGCATGACATGCCTTGTTGTGTGTTTATGTGCATAGTGTTCGCACCAAAGGTCCATGGCATGTGCCTGCCTGTCTGCCTGATTGTTTGCTTGCTTGCGTGCTTGCCTGCTTGCTTGCGTGCTTGCTACCCATCATGGGTTTGACATTCTATATACCATCAATATACACATGTGAAGCATTGCTGGTTGATGGTTTCAAATCGTGTCTGGGGAAAAATTATATTTCAGATTAGTATCGAATGTTTTGGCCACCACCCAGACTAGTCGCGCAAAATAGACAAGTGGTGCTCTCATACCTCTCTGAAGGGACAGAAAAAGGTGTTCCTTGCTGGCAAGGTCACATGATGCTCTGCAGTTGTGCCTGAAAGACCACAGCGTGCCATGGTCCCAGTCAATGGTCAGCTTCGTTTGGCTTTGCAACTGAGATCCATCATGAGCGCTGGGGGGCAAGCCTTCTTGGGTTTGGCAGTTTGTTGGGTGACAAACGGGTTTGGTTAAACGGAGTATAAAATGTATGAAACTTATTGAAACATACAGTAATGTCATTTTTCCCATGCTCATGTCATCTCATGTCCAACAGATCAACACTGGATTGGTGATATAGCCAAGCAGATCCTATGACCTATGAGGACATCAGGTTCTATTGCCGGCAGAACTGGCCAGATTTCCCAAATTCTGAGCAAGTGTTGCTTCTACATGTTTCGATTGCTCATTTTGATATGCTCATCTCTGTTACTTTCCAATATTTAGAGGTAATTTAGAGGTGCATTTCATGCAAAATGATGCTGCTGCTAACCCTGAATGAAGGCAAGTGTGTCCCTCACATTGTGAATGCTGCTTGGGCGACTTGGGTCTTGGCCTCTTTGCCCAGTGGGTCAAAGACCATCAGCAGCAAGATGGGGAAGTTAAACATCGTGAGTTTGCCTTTGATTCCGAAGATGTGTGCTGTGATCTTCATCCAACTACCGCTGGTGTTTCTGGATGTCGCCCTGGCCATCGTTGGCATGAAATTTCTCATGTATTGCAACGCTCTGGGCAAACTGATTGTGAAAGCTATGAGCCTGTCCTACATTGAAACAGTGGCAGGCGTCGTCTTTGTGACTCTGACGCATGAGTTGTCCAGTTGATGGTTTCTGATCTTTGTGGCTGTGCCATTCTGAGCTGGGATGAATGGTCCCAAGTGGCTCTCTAGTGACTCTAGTGTTTTTTGGGTGGATTGAAACCCCCATCCGGTTTTTGAGGCCACAAATAGGATCCGGGACTGCAGAGGCCTTTGACCTTGAAAGGGGATGATATCAAGCTGTAGTTCCTCCATGTTCCCATTTCAAGCCTTTCAAGTGACTTTGAGGCTGGCCTGTCATCCAAAGCATTTCAGCTGGAAGTCAACAAAACTTTTTTGGTTCACGAGTTCACGAAGATGCCTCTTTATAAGCTGGAGTCCTGGCTGTCTGGAAGCTTCGGTCTCAGAATGTCGCAACTTTTTTCTTGTTTCTTAAACTGAAGAACATCATTTGGAGTTCCCCAAATTTGATGGCTCATCAGCGATTTCCTCATTAATTTGCTATTTTAAGATATTTTCAGGTGAATGTATGTTAATACCCTATTTTCAGACATATTTGTAAGCATTTCAATATCTGTGCCTGGTTTCTCGGATCCTCTCAGGACTACTGAAGATCCTTTGCATCGCTGGCTTGACTATCTGGTATTGCCGAATCAAACATGGAGATCTCCAAGACTTTCGGCTTGCTTGCTTTCAGTACAAGTAGCTTGATTTGCATCAACTTGTTCTTCCCTAGTTTTGCAAATGTCACGTTGAACAACTTGGCGAGTTCTGCCAATTAAGGTATCAATTCGTATTTCCCAATTGCGAACATTGCGGATTGGATTTCTTTGGTTTACATTTGGCAAATTAAATAAACATGATGAAAATAAAATGGGAAAAATGGAAAGAATCCGGTAATTTGGATATATATATAATTATATATAATATAAATATATGTAAATATATGGAAATATATGGAAATATATGGAAATATCATGATATTTACTTTGTAAGATAATGACGGCAATACAATTGTACGCGATTGTACGTGCCTTTTCTGGATCTTCAATCTATATTTATATTATATTTATAAATTGTTTTTTTTGGATATTCGATCTAGAAACATTCGAAATATAATTTAAAAAAAATGGTCGATTTATTTCTAAAATACATATAAATATAATTAAATATATCGAATTCCGATATTTCCTAATAAATAATATAAAAATAAATATATTTAATTTAATATATGTTTTTATATAAATTTAATTTATAAAAATGTTTTATTTATAATTATATAATATTAAATATATATAATATGTTTTAATAAAAAAATAAGATTTAAAATTTAAATTTATAAA